CCGCCTCTATTATAGCAGACACTCGGGTATATGCTGGACATTTCCAAACTCGATGAAGCCTTTGGAGAGCGGAATGCGTCAGCGAGCCGGCGGCAACGGTTGTATTACGCTTGAACGATTGTACAGTCGACTCTGTCCTAACCCATAACGGGTCGTGGAACCCAAAAGTTATGGGTTTTTGCAGACTATGGGTTACCAGAGCGTGTGACATTGTGTGACTACCTAGTAAGCGTGACAGACAGCCTATTCGGTATAGGCCGGACGTCGTTTATGACAACGTTTAGATACGGAATCTTGAATCTGGTAAGGGTTATCTTCTGAAATACCACGAGAACCGAGAATTAAGGGTCGAGATAGTCCAGGTTCTCGTGGGAAGGAGACCTGCACCTTCCTAATATAGGTTGTTTTATGGGTTATGACCCTCCAAAAAGTTATGGGTTATGGGATACGGCAGACTTATGGGTTTTTACTATCTACCATGTCGGTGGAAGCCAAAAACCTATGGGTTATTACAGGTTATGGGTTATGACAGGTATGGGTTAAGACAGAGTCGACTGTACCTCCGTCTGCTATATATATACCAAGGCCATGGCACTTCAAAAATCAGAGGCCCTTGCTGGTTTAGCCATACCATTTAACATTTAGCGATGTTGCTCATAGCTACGAGGCCCCTACAGACGTCTTGTCTTCAAATTCAGCCCACACGAGAACTCATATTCATCAGGGCAATTATCTTGGTCCCGCACTGATCTGGACAGGAGTTCTTGATCTGCTAGGTGGCGAAGTATTGTGCGTTCGACCAGTTACAGACTACAGTGGGTCACCGGTCACCAGTCACCAGTCAGCGTCTGTCATCGGCCGTGCAATTTTCAACAGCTGCTAGATCTGTTCATCCACAGCTGACTGGTACTTACGCAGAATAATGACGGTCTCGCCGCTGCTGCGCCGCTGTAGCCTTCCTTAGCCCGGTCGCAAATTACCTCGTGCAATCCATACTGCTCTCAGCAGGCCTAGGGACGTCGCTCGGACTCACCAGCTGGACATGAGTAAAGTAACTCATTTGTCGGTTGCAAAGCCACGCTCGAGTATCACGAGTTCTCCCTGCCATCATAGCCCGTGCTACCAACCCGTTCTTTCCGTGAGTGAATAGCGAGAGGAACGTCTTCGCAAGCGGGCAATCCGCGCGTGCGAGGTGGCGCAACCTAAGCTTAGGAACGAGGACGCACCGGAAGAACACAAACTACAGTCGACTCTCCCTTAACCCATACCTCCAATAACCCATAACCTCTAATAACCCATACATTTTTGCGTCCACCGATTTGGTTCCTAATTAATTGTCACGACAACCCATAACTCTCTGATACCCCATAACCCATGCCTTTGTGAGGGTCCATAACCCATAAATCGTCCTATTTTTAGCCCAATCAGAGCCATATAGACCACTACTTATTACTTTTATACTAATTACTTTCATATTCCAACCCAAAGCCACTTTTGGTACTTCACCCCTACAAAGCACGAACAAACAATCCAAATCAGGCAGGTAAATCATGTGACATTCCGAAGGCTCCGTCGACTACTCTATTAGGAAGCCGCCCTAACCCTAGTTCTGATATATAGGTATTAATATCTCAATTTCTCATGACTGAATGGTGTAATGGATAGTGCGTCGAGTACATTATACCTGGTGCTGCTGGGTTCGATTCTGTGCGGTGTATTTTTCAGCGCTACATCATTTTTTTTGTAACTCATATCTGGAGCGGTAGTAAATCATTTTCTGTATTACTTATGCACCCTGTAGCACACAATTTTCATTCTGAAAATTTTATTATTTGTTTCTGAGTGAACAGAACACCAACAGTATGCACTACTTCTAAATGTGGCTGCGCGGCCTTGAGCGTGTGACTGCCCGGCGCTGGCGGAGGTCACATGACTCACCTTCCAGATGTAGCGTTGTTTGTTCGTGCTTTGTAGGGGCGAAATAAGGCCAACTACCCAAAGCCCGTACTAATATGGCGTTGCACACCCATACCGGGCCACACGTAGCATAATGTGGCATCACGGACCGTCCGGCGTATGCCGGGTTCCCAGCCACATGTCACGCTACCCGCCACTGTCACAGTCTGTCACACCCTGGTAACCCATAGTCTCCGAAAACCCATACCTTTCTGGGTCCACGGACCGCTATGGGTTATGGGAGAGTCGACTGTAGAGGGATTCGGAATACCAACTTGCAAGGAGTGGCGTAGGACATCGGTGTACATGAAGTCGAGGGAAACTAACATGCGCTGAGTTCAGGCTCCACCGGAAGTTGAAATTTCAAGCATGCATATAGGCGAGTACCGACGGCTGTGAGACACCCGCATTACACACATACTTATACCTTAAGTACTGTCGCAGACGCCAAGCTCGCCTCCGCAAGCGCGGGTACTGGCACTGGGCCTGCGCGTGAGTGCTTCAATTTGAAACATTTGTGCCGAAGGCCAGGGCTCAAGGTGACCAGCTTGTTGTCTGTTGTCCATGGCCCGGTGATTCTCAGCACATCCTACTGTACATACGAAGTAGTATCAAACTGCGAATCGAAGCAGTTTGGCCTGGAAATGTACAACAATACGCTGGGTTCCAAAGTAAATTCTCGCGTGTGGTGTTTGGGCCGTCGAGTCGTACCTATCAGTACATATGCTTCTGGTAGAAAAAGTGCAGGACCTATGCAATCAAGCTCGAGAGACCGGAAACGCTTGGTTGCCCATGCCCGTGAATCGGGAGTAGCGGTATTGATCCGTTCCCACGTGCCAACGGAGGCCTTCCTCCGAAGTTTGAACTTCGTTAGTCGAAGCATTCCAATTTCTCTACCGCTCACCCTGAAACACCTCCAAGGGATCTCGTCGTTCAGGCGCCATCATAGACATTGATATCTCCCTGTCTGCCGCTCGTGATCATCCTGGCCCACTTCGGACCCAAGTCGCGATGGATGCAACCCAAGGGCAGTCTGCACTTGTGGAGGCCGCTAAGATGCAGCCTACAACATCGCTGCCACAGTCACTGAATGCATCCTTTTTAACCAATATAATGGGCGACAAGTGAGTAACCCAACAGAATCAACTTTTTCTCGATTCTCAAGAATGACATAAAGCTAGTCCATACTTCCAGGCGGGGTTCGGTCTGATGGTGAGTCTTCCATGAAGCCACCGCGGCGTGGCATTCCCCGTGATATCTTCTGAATATTATATGCTTGCAGGGTTTAGGCGTAGGCCTGACTGCTCTAAGGCAAGGGGCCATGCTCGCCTCAACTGTGTTACGCCGTCGCATGCTTGTGGAACTGGAAATAAACAATAAAGACCGGTCATATGAGTGGTTCCTCGCATGGATGGCTCATCAAGCGCAGCACGCTTCGGCATCCTCAAGCAAGCTCCCATGGAAAAACAGGTGGTGGCTGGCAAGCCACCAGTTGAGCGTCGAAACGATGTACGAACAACGGAAGAACGGAAGTTCCTCGGTGCTGTTCAAGTTGGTCGCAGGTCCCGGGACGCATTGGTTCAAATACCGAGGGGCTTGGATGCAGGTATACTAAACTCTCTGTGTGCGTCCTGTTCCTGAAGTTCACTCCTGGAGCTAGGTAAAACGTGAACGCGAAACGCGGGCTATGCAAATGATGTCGGGCGTCCCTTGGGAGACCATCACTCTGACCACCCTGTCTCGAGACCGCTTGCTCTTTCCGCGACTCCTCTCCGATGCGAGGGATCTGGCAATGAAGGGGCAAGAGGGCAAGCTCGTCATACATACAGCCTGGGGTATCGAATGGAGGCCGTTTGGCCAGCCGAGGCGCAAACGACCACTACACAGCGTCGTACTAGACGAAGGGGTCGCCGATACGATACACCGAGACTTGACTTCGTTCTTGGAAAGACGGCAGTGGTACGCAGACCGAGGTAGGGGTGTCGTCGCTGTCCTCATGGTTCACGCCCGCTTACCCTGTAAAGGTATACCATATCGACGGGGGTACCTGCTGTATGGCCCACCTGGATCAGGGAAGACGTCGTTTATTCAGGCGCTTGCAGGCACGTTGGCGTATGACATATGCTTGCTCAATCTGTCCGAACGCGGCCTCACGGACGACAAGCTGAACCATCTCCTTTCGAACGTTCCCGATCGGAGCTTCGTCTTAATCGAGGATGTAGACGCTGCCTTCAATAAGCGGGTGAAGACGGGAGAAGATGGGTAAGTGGAGTTTCGATGTGATATTATGTCCAGTCCTCAGGCGGCGCTGAATCCTTCCCATAGCTACCAATCAGCAGTCACTTTCTCTGGCTTTCTCAACGTCTTAGATGGCGTTGCATCAGGCGAAGAGCGCATCATATTTATGACGACGAACCATATCGAAAAACTAGACCCTGCTCTCATTCGTCCAGGGCGCGTCGACCTCGCGGTCCTCATAGACGACGCGAGCCCTGCACAAGCAAGGAACCTATTCACGCAGTTTTATGGGGGTGATGATGCCCGGCAAGCTGCGGGCGTCCCAGACGATGAGCTGAAGGGTCTTGGGGATATGCTGGAGCATAAAGTAGCTGCAGAGGCGAAAACGGGAAGACGGGTCAGTATGGCTGCCTTGCAAGGCCTGTTCATACGTGCCGGCCCGAAGGAGGCTATCGATCGGTGCACGGAGCTTTTCGTGACAAGACGAACACCCACCTCGTCAGACGAGGAAGTTTTGGATGCTCTCGCTGTCGAGTAGGCTCGGTCACAGATTTATCTCGTCTGCATTTCTTCTCGAATGGCTATAGACGGGCCACGACTGGGTCAGCGACTCTGATGTCCACACAGGACTGAATCGTTACAGAGCGAGGGAACTAGTAGATAGTGGCTGCCATACACACATACAACTAGAATGCAGGTCGCCGTTTCCGCCCTGTATATTGACTGTCTCTTGGTACGTCTTCCTTACCGCGACGCCGATACAGCTAGGACGAAATTCAAATGAGCGAGATTCTTCCGGCGCAAGAGAGATGAATGCTTACATCTTTCTTCTTCAAAATCCAGTCACGATCCTTGACATTATTCTTCTTGCTGTCCTTCCTTCTTTTCTCTCGCTCTCTCCGTTTCTCGAATTTAGCCCTCTCCCCCGCTTCTTCGCCTTCCAGGCCCTTGGGTACTTGCTGCCCTCCACCATTACCTACGAAAAGACACAGAAAGACCTTCTTGGCCTTTTTCGAGTTGGGATAATCGACTACGACACCTCCACCAAAGCCCGCTTTTTGGGCGATGGACGTTATGAGTTGAATTTGATCGTCTGAGGAGGGATAGAATTGCAGGACGGCTCGGGAGGGATTTCGTAAGGCTGAGTGCAGGGTCGTGAAGAAGCGGGTGAGGCGTCGTGGTGGTGAGGACGAGGGGTGGCTTGTCTCAGCATTGAGAAGCCATTGAATGACGGATATGCTGTACCGAATTATTAGCGCATGAGACCACAGGCATTTCCGCAGACTAACCTTATTGCACCATCGAAACTCCCTGGGCGGAATCCGAACCCTTGCCCGATGTCTTGCAAGAATAAATCGCCTTCAACCTCCCGTTCCAGAGCCACCTCTCCGCACGAACGTTACCTTAGCGGGTACACAAACACAGACATAAGCCCTACTCACCTAGCATACTGGGGGCAATATCTACTCCTACCCAGGCGTGGCCTTGCTCTTCCAAGATTTCTCCTGATAGTCCAGATCCGCAACCTATATCCAGGAGGAAGGCTGGCTGGTCTGGGGGGAGGTTAAGTAGTTCCAATGCTCGATAAGTCATTTCGGCCTGGATCTGTTGAATTCGAGAACTGCAATGACAGTGAGTAAATATGATCCATTGGCGGACAGGTCGACGTACTTCTGCGTATACTTTTTCGCCTCCGTATCCCCGTAGTACTGCCATCCTTTCCTGAGTGACTGCGATCTGCGATAATTCATTGAGCAAGCTCACAATTTCAGGAGGTGCTATTAATTCTGGTCTGGACATTCTCCGAGATTGATACCAGCAATGGGGACGAGGACGTCGACGGTGGAGGGCGATTCGAGGTTTGCAAGGCTGGAAATTGTATAATTAGAGATCGGTGAGGCTTTGGCGTGAATGAGTCTTCTTTTCTCACGCTTCAGTGGGCACGTCCGATAATTCCTTCGGCTTGTGTTGGGCTTGTGCACATTCCAGGGACGATGGCAACGTCAAGCAAGCAGTACAAGGCCATCGGCGAAGACATATGGAAGGGCAGAACGGAGAAAATTGTGAGTATCCACCCATCCTGATCCGCGACTGCCTCCCTGAACTAATGTGTCTAGAGTAGAACGCAGAGCTCTTTGCTTTGACGTATGGCGCTCTGGTCGTGCAACTTATACAAGACTACGAGGACTATGCCGAGGTCAACAAGCAACTCGAGAAAATGGGTTATAATATCGGCACGCGTCTGATCGAGGACTTCCTGGCGAGGAGTAATATTGGACGCTGCTCTGACTTTAGGGACGTGGGCGAGGCCGTGGCCAAGGTATGCACCGCGCATCCTTCGTTCTTCTGTTGCGTGTCAAACAAGAATGTTGGCTAGGTCGGATTCAAGTCATTCCTCAACATTACACCCACCGTCACACATTCTCAGCTACCACCCACGTCACCCACCGCCCCCTCTACCCAGGCAGGGACGTCATTTGTCTTGACGCTGGACGAGAATCCGTTGGCCGAGTTCGTAGAGTTGCCAGAAGAGGCTCTCGAAGGTGGACTATGGTTTAGCAATGTTCTCTGCGGTGTGCTACGAGGGTCATTAGAAATGGTGCATATGCCTGTCCAGTCCATATTTCACTGCACCGCTGAACACACTCCAGATTCAAATGCAAGTCCAGGTCGATTTTTTGTCCGACGTATTAAGAGGTGATGAGAGCACTCAGATCCAAGTCAAACTGGTGAAGTATTTAGAGGAGGAAGTCCCGGTGGGAGATGATTAGGTGCTTCATAGACTCGATGTCTGTACGATATGTAGCTGGGCAGGCAGCATATAATGTTCGAAGTACTTCCTACTCCCTGAGTTCAGCATGTTTAGCCCCCTATCAGCAGGAGGATGTGCAAGCAGCCACTCTTCATTTTGGCGATAGAATGCACTGACTATCCTGCTGCCATGCCTGAAAAGGGATCTCAGTCGAATTCATTCGATAAACGAGAATAGCGCTCACCCCGTAGGTCGGCCAGGGAAACGTTAGAGATCCCTCTAAGCATAACGCTCAATCCTGTTGAGCTTTCGTGCCGTACTGGCATTGGTCTGCGTATTTTGACCTCTGACGGGCAAGCCCATGGCATGCCGTTTACCGACGTAGCTGCCGATCATACGCTGGTGGGCAATGTTTTCGCGCACCTCCCTTCGGAGGTCCGTTTCGATCTTCAGACCTTGGAGTGGATCTGCGTGGAACCTGTTCCCGTTATGCCGTCCTGAAGGCTTCGCCTTGACATCTTTCGGAATCTCTGGAGCTTTCAGCTGCTGCACCGGTGTGGAGGGAGGGGGTGGCAGGAAGTCTGGCGAAGCGAGAGGGAACCTAGGCACGGGCGGTGCGGTTGAAGGTGAAGACAGGAACGCGGTCAGAGAGGTGATCTGGTTCGCGGTCAAGTCTCGGATTCTGCATTTGTCGTGAATTTGTAGTCTGGCGCAAAGGCGATGGGACACCTTGGGTCCGATGCCATAGAAGTGCGTCAACGCAAACTATGCAGGAAAAGTCAGCAGCTGACAGGTGCAGACCCGAGTAAACTTTCACGTACCCGTGCCAACTGTCTGTCGGGGAGGTTAACCCCCAGAACATGCACCATATCCCTAGCCGCGAACTATCGAGGAACAAGCCGATCGGGAGTGCAAGCCCAATTCAAGCTCCGCTGCCACAGCACAGGACTACGACCGCCACCGCTTTCTACTGCAGACCATACTTCTTCACCTAACTCCTTGATACCGCGAGCTCGAGCCTTGGACAATGGCCGATAACAGAGGAGAAGCGCGTCGTACTGATGTCCTTGCAAAAGAACGCGACCGGATGCGCCAGGAGTACGAACGCCAGAAACAAGCCCTAGTTAACGAGACTGAGAAAGCTCGCCCTTCGAACAACAAATTCGTCGGTCAAAATGATTCAATGGAAGAGTCGTTAAAGAAGAGCACTGTGGGTTTAGTCAGGCTAGAAGATTTTCAGCAGAGGAGGAAAGAGCTGGAGGAAGCCAAAGCCCGCGAGGCGGCTAGGACGAACGAACTCAAGTATGTCGTCAGCTACGGATTCTCGCTCCCTGCACTGTCTCTTTGGAGCTTTGCTGCTTGTCAGGGACGGATGGCTTACAGGGTGTGGAGTACTTGTTTAGGGATGAGCAGAAGAAAGTGAAGAAGCGGAAGAAGACTGCCAAGGCGACCTTGTCGTTTGCTATGGACGAAGAGGGAGCAGACGACGGTACACCCACGCCGGCTGAGGACTCTGGAAGTGAACCACCTTCTAAGCGGTCGAAATTCCGCAAGAACCCCGACGTTGACACCTCTTTTTTGCCCGACCGGGACCGTGAAGAAGCTGAGCGGCGGGAGCGGGAAAGGCTTAGGAAAGAATGGTTACAACGACAGGAAGAAATGAAACAAGAGGAGATTGAGATCACTTATTCGTATTGGGATGGGACCGGTCACCGGAAGAGCGTCGTCGTGAGTTTGTTACATACATCCTATACCGTGACAGAGAAGCTCATGCTCCTATTGTGTGAAAACGTTGATATTTATGCTGTGCGACGGGCAATACGTATTGTCAGTGCAAGAAAGGAGATGATATCGCGGCTTTCCTGTCGAAGTGCAGGCAGCAATTTCCTGAGTTACGGGGTGTCAGTGTGGATAATTTGATGTATATCAAGGTATGCATCTATCCCTCTAGAAAGCTGTCTATGTTGATTCCTGTGGGTAGGAGGATCTTATCATCCCGCATGTACGTGTTTTGGTATGCTAACCCTGTATGAGGCCCGGTACTCACGTCGCGCAGCATTACACCTTCTACGACTTCATCATAAACAAAGCACGTGGGAAGTCGGGTCCATTATTCAACTTCGACGTGCATGACGACGTACGCTTATTGGCGGACGCTACCAAGGAGAAGGACGAGTCGCATGCCGGTAAGGTAGTGGAACGGAGTTGGTATAATAAGAATAAGCATATATTCCCCGCTTCGAGATGGGAGGTGAGTGCCTACACCCGGCGAGTCTGCACTCTCCATTCATACGTCTTTACCTTGCTAGGTCTATGACCCGGAGAAGACCTATGGCAAATATACTATTGCTTGACGGATGAAGTGTCCACACCGTTGTACTGATCCTATTCGCTCGCCGATGCCAGCATATTTGAGGTAGAAATGCATGTATTAGATCTCATAGGTTGGAATGCAATCTGGGCATATCTCTTCGGATGAATGCACAACACCAAACATAACATGCGTCTGAATGAGAACTTGCAGGTCTTCGGTCCATCGCCAGAGCCGGGTTATCTAGGGCGCACAGGAATGTATCAATTTGGCCAGTCAGTCATCGTTTCCTGGATAGGACTTACGGGTACCTTGTTTAAGCTAATATGACAAGTACGCAGGGTGTTTTCATTAGGGGTCTGCTTCCCGCCGGTACGGGGCGCTGCCCTCGGAGCCAGGGGGAGTGCGAGCCTGCACGCCACCTACATAGGCGGCAGCAAGACATGTGGCAATGGCACGGCGAGTAAGTTGTAAGGTACGTACCTGGAGCGGCGAAGGTAATCCCGGCAGTCAAGAGGCCTAGCAAAATAACGAGGGTCTTCGGAGACAACATAGCGGGTGTGGAATGCAGAATACTTTCAGTCGACGCTTATATATCATGCAGGCCTCCCCTGTGACCCGGGGTGCTGACGGACTGTCAGACGCGTGAAATGCTGCAAGACGCTGCACTACGTAACGCAGTCACCTCTATAAATATGGGGACTTTCATTCGAGCTGGCACGAAGTGTCCTATATGTGCAGACAAGCATAAGTTCGCCCGAGGGACGAACTGGAGGAATCATACTCTCCATGACAGACCCTGGGGCCCCGTAGCCATGGTATCTCCCGCTCAGTCAGGATGTTGTTTGGGTAACAGAGGTGGACTCTACCACGGCCACGTCGTCACGCGCACAAGACTTCCTTCATCTTTCCTCAGAGCCTTCACGGAACATACCACCCAGGGAGCGCTAGGAGCTACTCAGCGAGGAAACATTCGCATCCACCTAGGCTGGGAACAGGCGTGCTCGCAGAACGGCGCGTCTAGGGGGGACAACCCACGGTCCATTGGCGTATCGGAAAAGAATCAGATGGTGACAGCGGACAGATTTGTGTTCAACTGATGCCCTCCGTAATGGGACGCGGCAGTCGCTGTCTGTGCCTTAATCTGCTCAACGAGACCCCAGCCCATATGATCACCAAGACAGGCCTAACTCTGACAGATGGCTCTCCTCGCAGTTGCTCCTGGGGCGCGAGCCTAAGGTCCAAACGGGTCAAACCCGTGCCTCAGGCCATCTGGTAATCACTGGGAATCGGACTCTGGGAGGGCGAGTGATACGACTCCGAGCTGCAGGAGCATGTCCTTGGACCTACCGGCCATTTGTGAGGTCCGGAAGAAGGTTTGATCAGGAAGACTCACGCCTGTACCCATGGAGTAATTCACAGAATATCATGGTGAGGAAGGGTTCAGCGGCGTCAACGTACGCACATAATATATGCTATTGGAACCCTGTCATGCCAGCGTTGCTTGAGCTGATTTGGGATGCTCTGAGCTGCCAGTACGATGTGTAACGGTTGCTACTCATGAAAGCTTGAACAGCCAATCACGGCCGGAGTCGCGGGGTACAGTACTCGGAGTGTCCCGGGATGAAATGCATTCACTGGCAGGAGATCTCATATCTACCTACCTCCGGACTCTAGGAAAGGTACGGCCTGTGCAATATTAATTGTCTCGCTCAACTCATGCATTAGCTCGAACCAGGCCGGTGAAACCTGTGCTGGACAGGTATCTAGGAATGACCATACTTATTCCAGCCTTCTTTTCCCTAACGGGGCTACATTAATATTTCTCGTACCATTTTCCTAAGCAATACTTATGACCATGAGCGGACTACTGAACAGTGGATTGGGACATGACTGTCACTGATATTGATTTCAATGGCGCGGACCTTCCTTCGTACGTCTGACTCACATTTTCAGGATATGATCTCGTGGACCTGACATGTGACCTGGTAGGCGCATTGCAACGGAAGACAATGGTAGATAGATCCTGGTCTCCAAGTCCGGTCCATAAAGGAGAGGGCATCACCGAAGACGCCTTGATTGAATATCGAGCTACACATTGAGTTATTATTGCCTTACAGTGCCAATGAGAAAAATTGATTTTCTACAGCTTCCAATGAGCGACGCGGGGTACTTTCCCGAAAAGGCGTCACTAAGACGAAGGGCGGATAGGCTGTGCACTTTGGATGTCCGTCTTACTTCCCCTTTCCGGAGGCCCATTTGCTTCCTGGGAGGCTGTGTCGATGTCTTGTAGTGAGACATCAACGAAAAAGATGCCCCGGTATCTCCTCGATGTCCGTCTCGTCCGAAACCGAGTTCCCCGAAGCACTGGCAGATGTCATCCGTATAAAAGGGAGTAGACTATCGCCAACGTCTACTCCCAGCAGAGTCTTGCCTGTTCCCTTCTTCCAACTTTCTCCCTACTAACGGCAGGCCAAGACCGGCATGCAATTCCTCTCCGTCTTAGCTGCCTCTTTAGTGACCGTTGCTTCGGCGACAAATTACGACGTTTCTGTCGGTGCAAACGGCCAGCTTCGTTTTGATCCAGAGACCGTGACAGCTGCCGTCGGGGATGTTGTCAATTTCACCTTGTAAGTCACCCAAACCCGAAGATATGCAGATGAGCATGAATGATGAGCCCTTGCTTAGCCACCCGAAGAACCACACTGTCTCGCAATCTTCGTTCAATGAGCCTTGTGTGAAAGTAGCGGATGGGTTCGACTCTGGGTTGTGAGTCAACCGTGCGGCAGAGCTAAGTGTGTGCCAGGCTGACCCTTCTGCGTCGTAGTATGGCTGTTGCTGCAGAAGGAGGCGATCTGCCAAGTTTCCAAGTCACAGTTAATGATACAAACCCAGTTTGGGTATACTGCCGGCAAACGGGACATTGTGGGAAAGGTAATGATATATCTTGCCTAGGTAAACTGTCGCTCACGCGTGATTAGGAATGGTCTTCGCGATCAACGCCCCTGCGGACCCGAACCCCCATTCTTTCAGTGCATTCCAGCAATTAGCGTTATCCATTAACGGCACTAATACCACGAGTTCCTCTGTCTCTGCCTCCGCGTCCGCCTATGTGACTCCTCCTGCGCCGTCGGAAGTCACAGTAACAGCTACGGTAACTGTCGCTTCGTCGACATGGACGACTACGTATGCAAGCTATGATGGCACTCCGCGTAAGTATACGCGATTTTCGGCCCTGTTAGGTGCTAATGCGGTACATAGCTCCCACTCCGGCGGCTCAGCCACAGGACCATAAGATCACCGTCGGGGCCAATGGGCAACTGGCATTCAGTCCCTCGAACATCAGCGCCGCTATTGGTGATACGGTTACGTTCGAATTGTGAGCGATTGCGTTAATGAGATATTTTCGTCGCTAATCTTGCTTATCAGCCACCCGAAGAACCACACCGTGACCCAGTCGAGTTTCCTGGCACCCTGCCAGCCGCTGGCTGATACATCGTCTATTCATCAAGTAGGATTCGACTCCGGATTGTAAGCGTGCTATCTGGCTTTTCCACTGCGGATATACTTACAGTGACTGCCATTCCCTCAGCAACCCGGTTGCATCTGAATCTTCCAACTTGCCGACTTTCCAGATTAAGATCAACGATGTAAGAGCGTCCTCCCCTTGCTCTAGTTAGTACTGACAATTTTCCTCCAGACTGCCCCCATCTGGGGATTCTGCGGTCAAACGGGACACTGCGGAAAAGGTCCGTTTCGGTTTCATCGCGCTCTTGGCCTCTTAATCTCATCCCCTTTTAGGGATGGTCTTCTCCATCAATGCAGTGGAGAGTGGGCCAAACAACTTTGCTGCCTTCCAAGCGCTGGCAGAACATGTTAACGGCACCTCGACGACCTCAGGCTCCGGCACTAGTACCTCTGCCCCTTCTTCGTCCAGTACCAAGGCCAGCAGTGCCATGCACATCCAGAAGAGCCCTGTTGTGGTGGTCTTGGTCGCGGGTCTGGCTGCTCTTTTCACGTGAAGAAACTAGCTACCTTGCACTTTGCACTTTGCACTTTGGGGTGGTGGGTTTTCAAATGACATTCTTTGAAGGTGATAGGGCTTGACGCAAGTGATATCGGACTTGCAGGACTTTGATATCACGAGATTGATTATGGACTAGTTTTTGGCTCTTTACGTCGGGTTGAATTAACGTAATAATATAATAGTTCTTCTACGCTCGTTTACTCACAACACGGAGCACGCCAGCCTGTAAGTAAGTGTAAGCGAAAGTTCGAAAGACAACAGTTTGTGGGTCCCGATCACGGTGGCCGCCATGTACTGCGCGCCACCGCCACATTTCGTAGCAATGGCTTGCTCAGGCTTCTTCTCACTGCATGATCTGGTGTAATTCGAGAATCCTATCCTTCGTACTACGTGGAAACGTCCATCGCCCAAATTCACTATTCAGGACGTCTGCCGTCCACCGGTATCGTCCCGCGATGCCTAAAATCGCTTCATCCGCGCTCCCCGTCTCGGGTCTGTTCGGGGTAGCGAAGCCCTCCGGCCCCACCTCTATGGCAATTATCAACGACCTCAAGCAACTCATTGGGAGCTCTCGGCTATTCGTCGAAGAGTCCAAGATCCCGAAGGATAAAGCCAAGCAGCGCAATAAGGGGAAACGAGGCAAGGAAGCTGTCAAGATCGGGCAGGGCGGGACGCTCGACCCCCTCGCCGACGGAGTCCTCGGTGCATGTCTACGTTTTCCGGCTGCTGGAATGATGATCTCTCAATAAGCTCGCATGTGTGTGTGTGTCTCGCTCGCTACCAGTGCTCGGGATTGGGAAGGGCACGAAAAAGCTGGGGGAGTTCCTGGACTGCGTGAAGGTACGCTGAGTGAATACGGCTTGGGTGTGCTTTCGCCAATGCGAGTAGGAATACCGGACGACTTGTCTGCTTGGGTGCGAAACGGACTCTTATGATAGTGAAGGGGCGCAAGTGCGATTAGCTCCCTGGAAGCATGTTACACGGGAGAGCGTGGAGAATGCCCTCGATCAATTTCGAGGAGATATTGAGCAAAAGCCCCCGATGTATGCCCTATTTTATGATTATATTGAGGTGTACCGTACTCATGTCACACCCAGTTTCTCTGCATTGAAGATGGACGGTAAACCACTGTACGAGTACGCGCGCAAAGGAATCCCTCTGCCCCGGCCTATCGAAAAACGGCCGGTGACGGTGCACGAGCTCGAACTCGTCGACTGGCTCGGGAGCGAGCACACCTTCTCCTACCCCGAGAAGAAATTCACCGAGGAGGAAAAACAGGCGCTCGCAAAGTCGCTGCAGAGCGTTGAGGGGGCCGTGGACGTCAGGGACGAGGTTGACGCGGACCCTGTCCCGCAGCGGCCGGCCGCGTTCGTGCTGCGGATGCGTGTGTCGGGCGGGACGTACGTGCGGTCAATCGCGCACGACCTTGGGCACGCGCTGGGTTCCGCCGCGCACGTCGTGACTCTGACACGCACAAGGCAGGGGCGGTTCGCGCTGGAGCCGAAGCCTGAGGAGCCGGGGGACTTTGGGTGCGTGCCGTGGGAGGTGTTCGAGCGGGCGCTGGTAGACGCTGGCGAGGCGGATGCGGACGGCTGGACGGAGTGGGAGAGGGAGGTGATGGAGAGGCTCGATGTCGTGGACGGGGAGAAAGGTTCATCCTCCTGATAGTGAGCGCTTGGACTTTGGGAGTTTTCTTAATTCATCAAGGTGCAATATATACTTTCTGGGTGAAGAAGCTTAGAAGGCTCGGACACAGACAGGAGACTTGCGCGTACACTTCGATGGGTGCGGTCGCAGTGGAACGAGATTTTGGTAAGTGCTTGCTTCACCTGAATTTATTGCGGATGACGAGGTGAGTATCGAATTGCTCGCGGCCTACCCTTGGACGTCTGGACCTTCGGGGGCCCTCCGTTAACGAACGTAGGTACAGGCAAGGGGCCAACGGCCAGAAAACGCGCGACGGCAACCCCCTGAAGTGAACAGGACCCCGAAAGCATCACGTAAGAGAGAGGACCACCTTGATAAGGCAATTTGTGGCGGCTCCTCTTCTGCCTGGGTTTATGTTTTGTGTGGTCTATTGTCGGGAATCAACAAGCCTCTGTCATCCATGTACACATAGGTAATAGCTTATAACTACTTATATATATCTTTGATCCCTAAGATCACATTGTTCAGTTCTGAAAGATCCCCAACACTTCTCAGTCGATGATATTTCTGCACTGACTCAGACATACAGGAACACCTCTCTACTTCCTGATGCATAAGACTGGTTATGAACAGTGCTTATAATATAGTAGTTCTCTTGACAGAGCTGTTGGTGGGCGCATATTTGCCAAAGGTCCGTTGTGACCATGACCGTAGGGCTTGATGGATACATATTTCTTCAAATTTGCCGATGTACTAGTATAGGAAGCACAAGATACTTTGACAGGCTACAGACTCTACATGATACAATATACAACTGCAAATTCAAGACTACCAGCAATCCTTGCACCATTCAACGAGGACTGTTAGAAAAAGTCTCGCATCGCCGGTTTTCAGACACACTGCGTCGTTTGTCCGAATCAGGCAAGTGGTCTACAGCTCGCGTCCTCAGATTTTGCTTGATGCATTTATCAAAGGTATAGCGTATGTCCTACCACTTCAAAAAGTATGTAGACCTGTGATAGAATGCTACTCAACGGTACAGAAAAAGATTCAGATTTTAATACAGCTCTGGGAAATCGCAAATAGAAAGTGCACGCAAACCGTGCAAGAAAGTGAAAATCGGGACCCCGTAAACTTGGAAAGGGACAACGACAATAGGGTTGACGTCGTCGGTAATACCCGCGTTGGCCCCTTGGGTACAGGTCTCGCGTCATCGGAGCGGCCAGTACGAAGTACGGCGTACATACTTCCGGTACGATCGTGATGGCCATGAATCGGTCCATTTTCCTAGACCACTGTTTATTGTGGGTGGCCATTGAGATGTTATGCGAATGCCGTGACGCATTTGAGAGACTGTCCAAGACAGTCGTTACTACATCTTGCATTGGAGCTCTAGGCGAAATGACAAGGAAAACTTCCTGAGCATCTCAGTATGACTTAGGGCAACTATATCATGAGATGCACCCATGATGCAGCTCCTCGCACGTATCTATATGACTGCAGGAGCGTGGCTAGATGCAGGTGGGTCACCGTGCTTAGACACCACGACAAGCAAATGCAACTTTTTTCGTAGCAGTAAGACCTCGTCAACTGTGAGCTCGGGCTTTAGATGCACTGACCGAAGGGGATCTACAACAGGCCGCGCTTCTCGCGGGCTCAACTGCCTCGGGGGTGGCAAATGCTTCCGCGTACGTATGGGCTCGGTCGTAGAGCCAGTCGGAATGCACACTGCGGTCAGCTCGAGAAGCTCACGGAGATCTAATATCCCAGATCGATGCCGTCGGTACGTCGCGGATGGAATGTGATACAAGGCGTGGTAGATCGTCCTCGTCGAGAGTGGCAAACGTAAAGGGATATGTCTAAGGTATTGGGATGTAAAAATAGGATGGAGGGCCGGGATGTCTGCTGGGATTACGCGGGCTCGATGGGGGTCGGAGACGCTTCGGTGGCTTATCGCTGACGCTGAGAGTTTTCTTTGCGTACGCCAGGCACCCGAGGGCTGCGAGGTATTTTCGAGTGGCCCGCAGCAAGCGAGGGAAGGATGGAAGCTTGGGCGATCAGGGCTACATATACATAGCAATAAATCAGCTTGCCCAAAATTTTGGGATATGTTTGTCGCATGCCCGATGACTGACGGACCGCGAGTGTTCAACGATTGCGTATCCTGACATGGGCGTATGTCAGGAGATGACGCTGAGTGAGAAGGGCCGGGGACGAGACCGGGATATATTACAGATAGGATGCAGTGTTGAAGTGCAATCAAGTCAAGTGGAAAGTGTATGCCGGGAGAGCAGATGAACCCGGCGGCAGAGCACTCACATGATTCAAAGTGGCTTTCGGGGAGTCGGTAAGTTGACAGCTCTTTGGGCGTGTTGTGAGCGCACCGGTCAGTCAGTGAACACTGAGGCGACCTTGGTAAGCACCCAGCTGAATTGTGAATAGATACGCAGAACAGAAGACTTCAAACAACGGAGACCGCCACAAACAAAAGCGCAAACAAGGCAGTGAAGGTACCCCGTGGGGCGGGCCGAGCCCGAACCGGGACGGGATGCGCCTGGAGAAACCGGACCGCAGTGCGCGCTTCGTCTAGCAAGGGCCCGCAATGGCTTATATACCGCCCGCGCCGCCGTCCCCCGCTTGCCCGTCCTCTTCTTCTGCCTCCTCCCGCCATGGCCCCCAACGGTATCAACGGCGTCCACCAGCCCGTCCGCCCCCTCAAGCCCGGCATCTACGCCCCCATCCCCACCTTCTTCCTCCCAGACTCCGAGGACCTAGGTGCGTCCAGTTTATCCTCTGCAAGGCGCAGTATTAATGATACTACTTCACTAGATGTCCCATCATTCGAGCAGCACGTCGTGCGTGTCGCGAAAGCAGGCGTAGGTCCCCTCTTGGCTGGTTCCATGGGCGAGGCACACCACCTGTCACATGGCGAGCGCACGACCCTCATCAAGGCGGCCCGCAAGGCCCTCGACGGCGCTGGCCTGTCAGACTTCCCGATAATTGCGGGGACTGGTTCCGGCAGCCTACGCGAAACTCTGCAGCTCTGCGACGAGGCCGCAGAAGCGGGCGCGGACTATGCCATCGTTATCACCAGCGGGTACTTCGCTGGTGCGCTGGACAAGCGGGCGTTGAAGGCCTTCTATACGGAGGTGGCGGAGAAGAGCCCGATCCCGGTGATGATATACAACTGTAAGTGGTGTGGCACCGCGTGCATCCAGCGTCTTCTGACCCGGCACCAAGTCCCCGGTGCAAGTGGAGGCATCGATATCGACTCGGACCTCATCACAGAACTCGCCACGGAATGTCCAAACCTCTGCGGTGTAAAGCTAACGTGAGCACACATCCCTCTCCTCAACTAACTGCGCCCTGAACCGTGCACACAGATGTGGTAACGTCGGCAAACTCACGCGGGTGTGCGCAACCGTCTCCGACGCCTCCTTCTCCTCCCTCCACCCGCGCAAGAACGCCGCGGCGCCCTTCCTCGTGCTCGGCGGGTTCATCGACTTCCTCGTGCCCGCCGCCTACGCGAACGGCCACGGCGCGATCACGGGGCTCGCGAACGTCGCCCCGCACGCGTGCTCGCGGCTCTACGCGCTCGCGGAGCAATCCAAGGCCGACGCGTCCGTGCTGCCCGAGGCGCTGCGCGTGCAGGGCATCGTCGCGCGCGCGGACTACACCATCGCCAAGTACAGCATCGCCGGGACGAAGTATCTCATCGAGAAGCTTTACGGGTACGGCGGCGTGCCGCGGAAGCCGCTGTTGGGCCTGCTGGAGGAAAAGAAGGACGAGATCTGGGCGCACCCGCATACGCAAGACTTGGTCAAACTGGAGAGGGAGCTGTCGGGCAAGGCTTAGACTGTCCGAAGGCACGACTAGATGTCAGTGGTCGCAAGGATTGCCGGATAGATATACTTGTATCTTTGGAATAGTCCCGGAGGGGAGGTGGTAGGTATTATCGGATGTTTATTATTTTGCCCTCCACACATGTGTCACTATGCAGCACAACAATGTATTACTTGACATTTTGGTCTCAGCGAAGAGCCCGCCGAAGTGATCCTCCGGTGTCCACCCTGAGGAAATGGCTGCGAAGTGATTCGAATTTGCTGTTGTCACATCTGGTGGCTGTGTCCAGGCTGGCTGTACATGAAAGCCGTCGGTCCGTCAGGTACCGCCGTACCGCAAAACATACTGGAAATGGCGACTTATCGGCTTCCCCCTCATGGACGCTGGATCGTACTCCTGGCAGAGGCGAACGAGCGCAGACGGGGATTCCCTCTACACCCGGCCGCTGGGCTTGACGGAACTGGGATTCTACTGGGACGCTCAGTTCAACGGCACTGCTGACATCGTCACCTCAGACACGGTCAAGGTCGTCGGTCGGACAGCCAACGCAGAGGATATATTCTCGCGCAAGAACGTTCACCGTGCATGGACTGCCCTGAAGCGGCGGTACCCTCTCCTTGGTGCTCGAATCGTCTCGGACGCGAGGAAAGAGCAGGTGGACTTTGAAGTCTCCCAACAAATCTGGGATAGCGAGAAACCCGGATTCAGTGGTGTCGAAGACCCGACCTTTGTCACCATCGGATCCGCTGCAGAGGCGTACGAGTTCGGGAACGCGCTCAACAATGGCCCAAGGCAACTCTCGGACGACCTCCTCGCCCGCCTGTACATCCTCCGCCAGACGGACGAACCTGGGGTCTACCATGTCTTCTTCCACCTCGCGCACCTGATCAACGACGGCATGTCCAACGCGGCGCTCCGGAGGATCATCCTGGATCTCCTTGCTTCGGGAGACATAGAGTCCATCGAGGCGGGGTGGGATCTGCGCTTGGAAGAGCGGCTGGACATGGTCAGGGCAACTGACTCGTTGGACCCAAATTGGCGCCTCAGCGCTCCTCGTAGAAGGTGGCGGAGAGTGATTGGGAGGGTTATGGCCGAACGAAGGCAGAATGCATTGAAAGTGCGTGTCGATTCATTGCTATAACCACCCCTGTACGCCCTGTATCGAGTAATAGCACTTCAATTACTACATTCGCCTGCAGCGATAATTAACCCTGCCTCCCCAGGGCGGCCACACACTTCCTCGCAATGTCACCCCTTCAACGGCCGCCACACCGGCGAAATCATGCGAGACCCGCATATCCCTGCCCTACGAGCTCTCCTCCCGCATCATCTCGACCTGCCGCCAAAATCGCATCACATTCGGGCACGCCCACCCCGTCCTCGGGCAGCTCGCGCTCTCCCGCGTGTTGCACCGGCTCCGTGGGCAGGGTAAAATATCCGACGCAGAGTGGGAGACGCGCAGGCGCCAGCCCATGCACAACGGCGGCCCCGCAAACCTGCGCCCCTTCCTCGACCGGGAATGGGTCGCGCGGGGCGGGGACTCGGAGGCCATGATCGCGATCAGCTTCTACTGGAATACGCTGCCATTCATGCCTTGCGCTGCGGATGGAGATGCCAACCCGTCTTTTGATAAGCTTCTGAGCAGAGAGCGTTTTTTCTACCGCTGCCGGATGATGAAGGCGCAGTCGGACGGGTTCTTCAGGCACCCGCTGTTCTTGGAAATCGCGAGTGCCCGGCTACCTGGCCGGATCGAAAGAGCGAGATCTGGAACACTACAGTGGATGGCAAAGGAGGGGACCTTGACTAAGGAGCTCGAAGAAGTTCATCGCAACGTTTTCCAGATCCAAAATGACGAGTCGAAACGTGACCGGGGCGTATTCTCCGACGCCCTCACAATCACGCATGGAGGTTCGCCTATAGGGAATGTACGACTGTTCTGGCATCCATAGAGCCCGCCTACTGACTGACTTATACTGTAGGTCGATCAAATCACTCCGTTAGAGTACCCTCTCCCACGAATACACCCACTATCGTCCCGCCAGAGAGTACCAAAGATACAACCGGGCGCCCCAGCCACGGACGAATCCGCCGTAATCCTGAAGGTACTCGACGCACGCACTCTTCTACACTGTCGCCCCACTGAGCTGTATCTGGGTGCCGCCACTTCACGCAAAATACTACATCTGAATGTCTTCTGGGATGGCAACGTCTATGACACGGGATTAGTTCATGAATGGCTGGACGAGGTAAAAAATGCTGCCGTATGGTATCTGGGTGGCTCCCAGGCCGGAAAAGAGCTAGCCAAATTGTAATGGTGTAATAGTTTGGATATATATGCATTGCACATCCTCAGGAAGGCAGTCCTCTGTTAGCCTTGCTGATCGATCATGAAGCGCGTCCCCCGCCCCTGATTGTCTCCAGCGAAATGGCAAGACCATGGCCTCCACTATGCTTGAAGTATTTTGCGAGGCAGGCATTACTCATTCTCTAAAATGTCTTATTATTATGTTAGTACAACAATAGTGCCGTGAGTACAGATGCTCCAGCGTAGTATCCGAACGGATTGGCATCCCGCTGAGAGTTTGCCCGTCATCAATGGTGGTTAGCGTTCGACCATAATCCTCCGCAGATACAGTTCAGCGTCCACCTCCTTTCCCAGGCACGCCATCGCTCTGAAGAGTTTCCTGAGCCACGGAACTGCCGAGCCACTTCCGAGAGCCCACCGCATCGCACACACCTCAGGCTAGCGCCAGCATTCACTAAGACGCCCTTTGTCAGAACGTCCCTTGCTTTCTCCTTTCGATCTTGGTCTTCCATACAGAGTTTCGTTAGTCCGTCGACCAGGCTCGATGGTTTGATGAATAGCCGTGGCTTGTCCGCGACATTAGCACCAAGAAGTTTCTGCACCGCCTGGTGCACGACCCCGTTCATAGAGAAGTGCGGCTTGCAGGATGCGAGACTCCTCAAGGATGCTTCGGCTATACAGGAGACCTGTTGTGAGCATCAAATGGCTAACTCAGGGTTTGCGACTTACGGTCAACGGTCTGCGAGGTCTTCAGTGAGTCGAGTATGCCATGTAGCTTTGGAACGTCTACCGCGGAGGCATCAAACAAGTCGAGGAAAACTGCTTTTGCTAGGTGGGCATGTTCGCCACCAGCTGGTAATGGTTGCACGTAGTTCCTAAAACTATTCAGATGTCCAACCAGATCCGTGAGATTTCCTAATAGATACGGATGCGCGAGGTGCAAGAGAGTCGGCGACACTGAGTAGGAAAAAGGGTGCTCTCGTTCGCCGGCCGGCGATGCTGCGAAGATCACTTCACATGCGAAGCAGATGGGTAATAGTGAGATGTACTTACGAGGGTTGGAGCCAAACAAGTCGTCATGGGCTTCCGGCTTCACTTGCGCGGGAGGCGTAGTATCGCAGAGGATGCACTCCTTAATCAACTTTTCCAGAAACTGGATGGTCCAACTGCATATACCATTTAAACCCCATACCGCACCTAGTGCGAGGGACAGTCAGGCACACCCCAAGAATTGTTCTAGAAGAGAAGATGCCTCACTCAAGTCCCAGCTGTCCCCATCTCGACAATCCTTGAAAGCACTCAGACAAGCGACGACGGACAACGCATCGTGAGCAGTCCGCCAACGAAGAGCCAAGTCCTCCTTGACGGATTCACCTTCCGTAGATCTTGATCTCGCCCTACGTTTGAATATGCGGTCAATTCATATCCTAGTTTGGCGGGACAGAAAAATACTAACCTGTAGCATTCCATGGCAACCCCAAGGACGTCTTCCAGCCACATCTCCCAGAGTCCGTCATCCAATTTAGTGAAACTGGACAGAGTGGCATACAATGTATCCTCTACATCTTGCAGAGTGGTGGATGGTAAAGAGAGGAGATACGTGATATCAGACGTGGCTCGTCGCATATATATCGTTGATTCTAAAATCTTAGTTATATAGCTCGGCGTGCGCCGCGCGCGAGGTCCTTTGAAAACAGGTGAGCTAATAAAGCTATCTAGGCACCAGCTTTGTCCGACGTACCCGGCGTCCCCCCATCGCTCTGGGTAGGCGAAGGAAAAGGATGAACCGCAGGATGTGTATCTGCCTCGAACGCAGCAGGCACGGTGCATATAAGGCTATGATTCGGTGAGATCACTGCACGTTGAGGGACTTCATGCTCGTGAGTCCTGGCACAGGGGTGACTTTGAATAGGAAGGTACGTACAGATTCGGCCCAACTGGTTTGAGCCGCAGAGTAGAGGGCAACGATCCCACATCTCATTATTGCTCAAGTCAGATCTAGAGGTAGCGATCAACGGACAGTCGGAGCCAGAGTCGACGACATAGACATACAACTTCAAGAGTTCTACGGTCCCGAAAGTCGCCTGCCTAGGCCGAGCTTTGCTTTTGGACACTATCCCCGCAGTGTCCATGACACCGACGAGCAAACCCGCAGTATATAACCCCGGAGGGGGAGGTGATATGAAAGTTGCGATGCCGGATGCTAAGGAGCGAGAGGCTTGCAATTGCGATGACTATTGTCATCGGATTAACTGAGCTATGCTCCGAAACGTATGGGACAGCAAGGGAATAGCTCACCCAAGCGGGCCGGATGGGAGTTGTCATGGAATTGCGGCGAAAAGCATGCACAATTAATTTAGATTTTGGCGTGGAGGTATCTAGAGAAAAAAGAACTATAATACTAAATGGCGCGTGAGAAGGGGGGCGACTCACAGTCGCCAAAATCAAGAACGATCGCTGCTAGTAACAAAGACGCCGGTTTGCGAGGATCTCCGCCGTGCACGCTACCACTATCGGACTCCTTCTTTACGGATCCTCCTGACCGCACCGACAGTGCCGGCGACGCAGTCGGGTCGTAAGCGGTGCTTGTGGGAGGCGTCGGGACAAATACCATATTGCACAGATGATGCGGGTGAGATATAGAAGGCAGCGGTGTAGTGGACAAACCTGCACTCCGACAACTTAACATACTAGAAAGGCAGATGATGGTAAAGGGACGTACACATTTGGAGACCATCGCAGTCTAGGTCCACTTCGCACAGCTCGATGGTCGGGGTCTCTCCCCAAGTCTCCCATTCGAGGGCCAGACTGGCATCCGCAAATAAGGAGCGGGTGCGCGGCATGTCGAGCGACAGGTTCAGGTCCATGCCATTGTACGTATTCGGATCTGCCTGAAACAGAGGAAGAACACGAGATCGCATAGCGATGATTATAGAGGATTCTGGTACAGATCTAAGAGAGGGAACAGACTCGCGGCGAACTTCGCTTACCTTCGTAAGAGAGACCTATGGCGGCATCAGTACATATCTTAGTGCCTCCTGGGGTACTTGCAATGTCTGCATGGGAAGACGCGTCCCTCTCCAGCATAGAACTTGGGTGCGTCAAAGAACAGGTTAGGAATCTAAGGTTAGGAAATCCGTGCCGCAAGTAACACACGTGAACTTGGCAAGCTTCCGTGACAAGCACCAGAGTCGGAGATGATACAGGTGGACGAGGACCAAGAGGAGGGAGTCGAGTTATTGAGCCCGACTCTTGAACAGCACACTAAACTTCTACGGTGAGTCTTCGGGAGATATGGAGCAAGCTCGCGGGACATACCTCTCTCTCTTGTCCGATCCACGACGCAGCGATGACTCCGGCACCTCTCGCGCAAGTCCAACAGTCCTTTATTTGCCATTCATCCGCTTGCGGCATTTTCTTCCACAGACACGATATGCCATCACAGTCTTTCCCCGGAAAGTATGCAAAGAGCCATTCGTCATTGAGCGCTACGGATATGATGGTCGGTGGTTCATACGACGCCGGCGTTGATAGGATCTGTGGTGGGGATGGTATAGTACACGGCTTCGAAGAAGGAAACAGACGGGCGACAATTTTCGGCTCACTAGCGTGAGCCGTGAATATGGTCGATGACCGTGACCAAGCAAGAGGGCTACACGCGCATTGAGTGCGACACAGAAGGACCAACTGACTGAACAACTCACGGTGGTTTCCCCTCAGCCAAGGAACACAGATCCCACCACTCTATCTGCCATGGTCTATCCTCTTTGGCCTTGCCTTTCCATTGAGAGCCGAAAGACAACCTGTCATGCTTGGGCCTCGGCGAGTATGGCTTGAATTCGCCAGCCATGACAGCAGGACTAGACATCGTGTATACCTCTCCGTCTCTGTCGCCTGTGTAGTGCAATGCAGCCGTCCTCCAGAGCGAGCGCGCAAAGATGTGAGGATCCGTGAGCCACTACCGACGCACGCTATAGGAACAAGGTGGCTGTGGGCTTCTGACGCCACAGACGCGTCTGACGATTTGCCACAAACTCAGTTTGAAACTCGCCGCCGCAGAACAACTGCTATTGCACGGGACGCGTAGCTGTAAAAGGGGAGCCTGTGGGAGCATAAAGACATCTTGCTAAGCATGCAAGCAGTTCTACAGAAGTCTGTCGAGATATCTGGGCAACAGACGGAAGTACTCATCCAATCTTACCTGGATCGAGTGCTCGTCTTGGTCACACAGCTAGGTAAAGTGGGCAATCTCGTGCGTAAATAATCCATGCTCAGGAGATCTGAACCTATGCTGAAATATCGACAATAGATCCAAGCCAGTATACCCCAAACTTCTCCGTTGCCGCCTGTCCCTAAGTCAGACCCAAACGAACCCAACGCCTCCCCTTTGCCGGAACCTCCTGCGTCCATCCAACTCACCCCCCTGTTCGGGAGTGCGTCGTCTGAGCACGTACGGACATTACATTCCCTCTATGCATCTCAGATCGCTACAATCGTATGGACGACAGAGGCAGAACAGGCACTAGACGCACCGTCAAGGAGGACGGTAATCGTCGGGATTGCCCTGAAGAAAGGATCTGATGATGGTAACTCCGCCTTGAGCGGAAACGAAAGAGCGGTATTCCATGGTGTGATGAATGTCATACGCGACATGCTTAGCAGGAAATAGAGTACATGGACCCTTTACTTGGCCTCGGAACACGGAATAATCCATAAGTATATTCTTGTTATGGCGTTAAAGTTATACATGCGGTTTCACAGGTCCCCAGGGAAGGTTCACAGGGATCGACGAGTCCAGTCTAAACCATGGAAAAGAATGCAAGCTGAGTATAGAATGAGGGTGGGTTCGTGAAGGTTTGCGAACTATTTTAAATGGGCCGGCGATACAGCACGCAGCGCTGAAGGGAAAGTGCGCGTTCCAGTCGACCCTCGCCCACGGTAAATTGATGGTAGAGCGCGGTACAACTTTCAAAGACAACAAGGTCCATCCACCTGGATCGCACGATTTTGAGGATAAGCCCTGTAGTAAGTTCACACTGCTGCCCACCCACTGGCCCGCTTCTACCGCTGCCAACATCTCTTTCATGGGGAACCTGATTGAGTGACGTCTTGTCCAATTCTTTTGCTCTCCGTCCGCAGACAGACAATCCGGCCGCAATATAAAAAGTAAGAAGTAGACTCACCGACGAGCTTTAAAATCGTGGTTACCACTCGGTTTCCCTTGGGTCAGATCCGCTGCTCCAAGAGATACGCTAGGAAATATGAGGGGAAGCGAGAGGCAAAGCGAAGGCTTCCGAACCCAATAATGCCGATTGCCCCTTGAGGTTGGAGATGATTCATCGAGAAGATACACGTAGTCGGCGGTCTTGAGGATGGTAAGAATCCGGTCAATCGTGTTCGAGTAAGGAGGGCGTGGAGCTGGAGACATTCATATCGTTGGCGTCAAGCCGCTGTGGCTGAGCGTCCAGAAGATGAGGGAAAGACGACGACTGTGAAACAAGCGTCTGCCAGGAGGACTCCTTGCATGTTCAGTAGCTAAGTAAGAAGACGAAGGGGCTGGTGTGATGGACAGTCGCAGTGATAATAGCGCTGGGAATCCAGCCCAGATCTCGAAACATTGTCGAGCTTTGGCGCAGGGAGAAGTGTGGCGCTTGGGTGAATCGGAAGGTCCAGAATGTAAAGCAGTCGCTAGTGACGGAGGCGCTACCAGAGACAGGTTCAGTGTTTCGGGCACTCAAGACGGACGGCAGGGGGGCCGTGCACATTTTTCTGTTTGCCGGCTGCGAAGCGGCGAGGCTTCTCGGAATGTCGCGGACGCCTGCTTGTCGCCACTTGCCCACTGATCTGCGACTTGTTGATGAATCGCTTTGGTTTCTTCGTCTTGACATCCACCAATTCTTTCTGGCTTTGCTGCTCATGTCGCCGTCGGAACTGTGAATTCCCTGGCTTTAGAGCCAACGTTTCGGGAGATACCTTGCTCTTGTTACCCTGCTGGATGCTTGAGGCTTTGACGACTCGCTGGGTTGCTTGATCGCTATATGGATTTTGGCACGAGCAACAGATAAAATCACTTTACGACGGGGTCTGCAATCTGATATCTTAATTTTCTCGGATCGCCATGGATGACCTCTGGAAGGGCCACAAAACCTGATGTCATGATTTCGCGTGGACGACATTTTCAAGCGGTGGTCTGGTCGCTAGGAGAAGTAGAGGTTGAAAGAGGTATCGTATCTGGCTCCTTGCTGGTAAGTGCGTTTCATTTTGTGGACTCATTTCAGTCGGTCTTCTGTGCATGGATGTTGAGGCTGGCGACGAGGACTGTTGTTATCTGGATGGTCGCCCGCCCGCTTGACTCTTGCCAGGTCTTGCATCCAACTTGGCTTGTCGGCGGATTGATGGTCTTGATCACACACTCTATGCTTGAGGAGGCTCTGCATTAAGCGTGACAGCTTCAGGTTGACGGTAAAAATGTGGCGAATGGCAGGCTGCTTACCGAGCGCGATCTTGACGATATGCGTGTGACATGTCACGAAGTCACACATATCCTGTCACGAGCGGTCCATCCTACTCGAAAGGATGCGAAATGATTCGTTTCGAGCATGTTTAGAAGGATAAAATGAGGAGGAGATTGAGTACTGACCTTCATTTTATTTTTTCTATCCTAGGAGTCATCTACGAGTTCCTTGTCCTCCGACAAAGCTGAACACGGAAGCAAATGGGTAGAGCCAGCCCACCGCATGAGCATTCTTCCATTAGGAACTCGACAGCGAGATGCTCGTCTGAGGCGATTCCGCGTCAGCTTCTTTGCGAACGTTTTCCGATGGTGAAACCGTTAGCCAGCAGCTTGTCGTGGACTATCCTGCCTTCAGTGCTTGATAACGGTGCAACAATGCGCACGACGGATTTGCGCGCCATGACAACCTTTCGAGACGATGTCATTGGCCCTGGATAGTACCGACATCGTGTTCAGCAAGGTATGGTTCGCCTAGGCAAATATTGGGAGCTCCCTAAAATTTGGCATCTGGAGGAGTCCGTCGCGAGGTGGATCATTTGGCGAGGCGCGTCCGGAATGCCGTAACCTTGAAGGCTCGAGGAGGCGTACCAAGGACTCGGACAGCCCGATGCCCTGTCTCATCAAGGAAGAACGTGCGGCGTATGAACTGTGGCGGGCCTGCTCCTCCCATGTTATTGGCCAGATGCGAGGCGGCAGCTGCGCTCACGGCTGCATTGGGTAAATCTCGACTCATGTTCGCTTGGAGAAGCCCGCTTCTGTTACATTCTCCGTGACAACTCAGTTATTGGCGTATATAAGCGGCGACGGGGCCTTGAACCGTTTTCTTTGCTCCCGCCTCGACGACAGCCACCCTTCTCCGGTCTACTTACTCATTTAATCACACTACCGACAGAATTTGCCATGAGCTCGATGCGCAGACCTGAACCGCTCCTCCCGTCCTTCACCCTGGTACTGAACCAGGCGCCCTATCCGCCGCCGCTCATCTATGGCTCATCCCCGTCGGAACGCGTCGGATATGTGTCTTATGCGTCCTCGCAGCAGATACCACTCCAGGATCCTTCCCTGGTGCGTACGAGTGCAGTGATAGGCTCTTCGCACCGGCGAGCATACATAATTCCCTAGCCGACTATCAACTTCCACGACGAAAATATGCCATTCTTCCCTACTCTGGCATGGGTGGGTGTACATATGCGAGTAGGCATCAACCACTGACTTCGTCGCGCAGACCGAGCCGCCAGAGCTGGAGAAGGAGACCATGAACCTCCAAGCTGCACTGCAGCAGGACGGGGGCATTGAGGAAGCGTCGCATCTAAAGCGGCTACGATTTTCCGCCCTGGTCGTCGTGAGTGAAGGGATGCACAGTCTTCTTAGGGAACTTCTAATCGAAAAGTGTCTTTCAGGACCTGGCGCTTAGAGTGAGACGCAGATGCATGTCGGTGTTCTCCAGCAAGTCGAAGGCGCGCGCCTGTTAGAGTTCCTCTGCCCTAGCCTCCAAAATTGTGCAAGCACATAGCGATAACCATTTGCTAGACGGAGTACAGGAGGGTCATTTCGATCGTGCTGTGTGTCCTCGGGTTGTTCCTTTTTCTTGCTTAATATCTTGATTGTCCCGTCACTCTCATTAATTCCCGTCGACCCGGTAGATACACTAGATATTGATACAATCTTGTGGTATATAGTGTACAATACATTAAGTCCGCGCAGTCGTGTGTCATAGCACTTCATCCCAGCTACCCCATTCTCCGCCTACCTTCCTGACCTTGACCTTCTCGCCGGCACTACCGAAGTAAAACGCCTTGTACCAAGCCTGCATCTCGTCCTCGCTGTACGGGCCAAATACCTGGCCTTCCGGCGCGGTAGCGTCTGGCACCGCCCATTTGAACTCGTATTTCGCGTTATCCGCCGATGGGGGCTCCCAAGAGGGATCGACGCTCCCTGACGAGCGTACAGCACGGACTATTTCCTCCCATGTCTTGGAGTAGATGTCGGTGTCTCCGAACGACATAAGTTTTGAAGCTAGGTCGGTGACACGCTCGATGTCTGTCGGTTGATGTGGTGCCGGTTTAGCGTCTACATCCATGTTGTTGCTGCCTGCGTCGGGCTTGTTTCGGTTGTTGGGTCTTGTTCTACATGACGGTCTATCAGTGGGATCGTGGAGGTAATATTAGCAGATACACTTCACCGTTTCTGATTAGACCCATTTTTCTTTGCTTTAGCTCCTAGGCGCTGCAGTGCCTCCAGAACGGTCTCTCCCCTCTTCAGCATCTCGAGTAACTGCTTTTCTATGGCTTCTTTTCCCCCGCTCTGCTGTAGCTCTCGCTCTTCCGCAGCTTGCCTCTCCCTTTCCTGCCTCTCCCGTTCCCTATGTTTCTTCCGGGCCTTCTTGATCTCCTCTTCGTCAAGGCCCTCCATCCAACGGTCGTGGATAGCATGGGGATCGAATGTCTTAATATACGTGCCGTCCTCTGCGAACTTCCCCTCCTCCATCTCCTCGCGCATGTTGAATGAAGACAACTCATATCCCATCCCTTTCTTCTTCCGCCGCTCAGCCTCATCCTCGTCCGCGGGCTCGTCCTCGTCGTCTTCATCCTCATCGCCCGACTTCTGCTCGTCGAATTCCTGCCCCTCAATATCCCCCAACCGCAGGAACTTCTCCTCCTTGCGCTTAGGACCGTCATCATCCTGGGCGGGCTTCTCAGCCTCGGCGAACATGTCGTCCTCATCGTCCACGACGTCAGCGGGCTTTCCCGCCCGGGGCTTAACATCGTCTTCGTCGCCGCTCGAGTCCGACTCATAGCCCTCGGTCTTGACGCGTCCGCGGCGCGTGGCGGAGGGGTTCTCGAGCTGGGAGTCGACCTCCTCGGCGAAGTTGACTGGGTCTTCGGATGGCTCGAGAAAGCGTGTTTTCTTGGACGCCGATGGGTCCTCTGATGATGCGGCGGATCGCTTCTGGGATGGCCGGGGAGGCATGGTGAGGGGACTGGATAGTGAGTGCCGGTACCAGGCTTGGATCTGCGAACGCGATCGAGACGGTGTCCGCATATGTCATGTTTGTTTGTGTTGTCGCGCTGTGGCGGAAGGAGGATGGAAAGGTCGACTTGCTGTATATCACCAGATCCTGCAGCCCAGAGCAGCACTTCGATAACTCCTTCGCAAAATTCAGCCATTACTGATCTACTGTATGTGTATTCAGACGCGATGCTCAGATATGAAACATGGTCCTTCTATCTTCCTTCCGTTCTCGCACTTCCTGCAGTTCAGTGTTATAGTTGTACCGCGGCCTCACGCGAAATCTCCGCTCCCGAGTCAATTATGAGAGTCCCCCGTAGAGGGATGCCAGACGGCCGATATTCGAGCGAGATGGCCGACCGAGACAGATTCAGACGAGTGCCGACTCGAAGTCACCGAAGATCGCGACGTGATTGGCTGAAGCGACTCAAAAGAGGCACGCTCCCGGTTCGGAACCTGGGGTATAAGTTCCTGAGATACATTATCTCGCCAGCGGGCGACCTCTATCGGCTCCAGTCTCACCGCTGGGCTGTCCGTCATGAACTTAAGCGACCTCCTGGGCTACACGTCAATAGGATGCTGGCTGTTTGCGCAATTCCCGTGAGTCTCTTTTGCCTGCCCAACTAGGGATATGACTCGCGCTGGGTCCAGAATTGCGCGATAAGGACCGAGAAGGTGCTCACTCGAGGTGTTTTATAGGCAAGTGTTAGAGAATATACGGCAGCAATCTGTTGAGGGACTTGCTCTACCGTTCCTTCTTAACTGGCTCCTTGGTCTGTCTCATCCCTCATGAACGAACACGAGATGTACTCAGGCGCAGTCGTCCGATAGGCGATTTGACCAACCTCATAGGCTGTATACTGACTCATCAACTCCCATTCCAAGTGAGTACGAGTTCACCCATGTTTCGTGTCTTTGACCCGTAATGCTCGCTAGACATACCTTGCAACCTACTTTTGTTTCGTCGACTTCTCCCTCCTCTCGCAATTCTTCTACTACCGCTCCCTCAAGAAAGCATATGTTCCCACGCTCCCGCCCTACCATCGTACCAGCACCATATCTGCCATTCCCCGCGTCCGGCGATCCTCCAGCGAAGCACCCGCCGCCCATTACCGCTCAATCTCCGTAGTAGCCGCAAACGTAGCCGCAGCCGCAGCCCTCGCAGCGCAGCAAGAAGCGCCCGAGCACATCCAAGTGCACAGACAGCGGAAGCTGGATGCCTCCGCGTCCGCCGAGAGGGAAGAGACTGAGGACGAAGTAGACCCCGAGGCCCTGGCTCGGCTTGCGGACAGCTTCCAGTCCGACATGTCCACGGCCAGTACCGCTCAGAAGCATGTCTCCTGGAGCAGGGAGAGGTACGGCGCGCGAGGCGGGAGTTTGGGGCGGGGAATGGTTTCACCGTGGTCTTCAATGACGCGCCTCCACATCCCCTCTGCCCAGGCGGAGGCCACAGACGCAGCGCAGGCGCGGGGCAGGCCGCTGCAGCGGGTCTACAACTTGAGTGAGCCGGGCGTAGGGGCGTGGAGCGAAGAGAGTGCTGGGGAAGAGAGCAGCGCGAGTAGACATAGACGGAGCTCGCGGGCGAGTCGCACGGGCGCCGGGATCGTGTTCTTGGGAATATTTGCGTTCCTCAGTGTTGGCCGTTTATCTGAGAGTCTGTCGGCTGCGAAGGTACCCCGCGGCCATGACGGTTACGTCCTAGCTCCTAACCCTATGGCGAGTCTCGTGAATGATACCGCCGCGCCCAGTACGCTTGACCTTTTGCTGTCGTCCATTGCGCACGGCGGGGCGACCGCAAATGTTTACGGGGAGGACGCGTCGATGGAACGGATTATTGGACGAATATTCGCGTGGGCTTGCACAACTCTATATCTGACGTCTCGACTACCACAGATTTGGAAGAACGTGCGTCCTTTTCGTAACTTCCTTCTCCTCTTTTTATTCTCATGTTCCACGCACGTGTAGTACGCTAGGAAATCGGTTGAGGTGCGCCATATCCTGTTCACGAATTCGTGATTTTTGTAGTATTGACCCGAGTTACTGCAGGGCCTTTCCGTGTATCTATTTGTTTTCGCTTTCTTGGGGAATTTCTTCTATGTATCATCAATCCTTTCCTCGCCAAGCATGCACCTGCCTCCACCCCAGGCAGAGGCATTCATCAGGGAGAGTATACCGTAAGTCGCATCAGAACTGTGCTATTGTGGTGCGAATCCTCACCAGGGTACGCGACACCTAGGTATCTTTTGGGAAGCGGCGGCACGCTCATGTTCGACATCACGATCGTCACGCAATCATTCCTGTACCGCCCGGGCCAGCGTCCGCCCCACAGCCGAAGTAAGAGTCGCGAGCGTATTGGTAGCCCTGTGGGCGACGAGGAAACGGGGCTGCTGAGCGGGGATCAGCTGGCGGAGTCCAGAGGATCTCTAGGCGGACGAGCTGGGCGGGGCAGCCACGGGCGGGTTAGCACCAGCCGAACACGGACATCTGACTTGTAGCATATGTATAGATGTGTAGCATGTACCTCTTGGACGTAGCCTATGCTAGATGAGTGTGGAATGCCGTAGGCCAGGTGCTGTAGATTATAGGATACTGCGGGTCTATATTTACGATGAATGAACATGGACAGCAAGAGCATGATGGACAACAGTACAACCAGAGCGGAAGTGAGGAGTGAACAAATATACCCGATAAACCCCCGAGCCCAAGAAGAGAAGTAAACCACGTATCAACCCAATATCATGCCATGGTACTGCTTGGAGCGCTGGACTCTGCAATACTAGCACCCTCCTTCAAATCACTGGCACTGTCTGTATCACCCTCAGCCTCCTCATACGGCTTCCTGTTATACAAGAATGCAGCAAAGTCTTTCGCGACCCAGTCGTGGATCCGGCTCGTGGGATGGACCTGGTCGACCCAAACCTCGCCAAAGGCGGTCACGGTGTCTAGCGAAGAGAAGCCGTGCGAGATGGGGTCGTTTAGGATGCGGCTGAATGTGCGGTGGGCGGAGTAGATGAAGACGGAGGCGTCGGGGTGGTCGGCGGCGAACGCTTTGCAGTGCTCACGGAGGCGCCTGTTCCAGCTGTCGTAAAGAGAGGAAGAGCGCGAGCTTCCTGTGATACAAGATATAGTTCATTCGGGGCACGAAGGAAAACATGGGCGACGTACCGATCGGTGCACGTTCAATTGGAGGGACGTCGATGAAGCAGAAGTTGCGAGCGCCTGTCTCGTATAGCGAATGTTGCAGCTCAAACAGCTCACTCATACCGGGCAGGGCGACTCCCTGCCATCTAAAGACGCAAAGTTTTAGATTCTGACTTGCGCCACCGTGACTCTGACACCCACGAGATATCATTAATCCCGATCCAGGTAACTGTGAAGTATAGCTCCATCAATACATGCATCACTGGATATCGATGAGCGGGTAACTTACCAAAAAGTGTATCTTCCGCAGTCCAGGGTGCCCAATCTGGCTTCTGCCCGACATGAGGAAGGAATTGCCGCTCAACCTGTCTCTTTACACCAGCGATGGTGTCGCCTCCTACGGCATAATCATAGACTAAAAGCGGATTCGGGGTATATTTTGTAACGAGGTGTCCAACCCAATTAGGCTGGTCTTGTTCTGTCCAGGTAATCCCGGGGAAGTCTACGCCGAGAGGCTCTTCAGGTCTTGGGTGTCTCGAGCGCGAGTTATATCCTACATCGGAATAGGAATCGCCGCTGAAGGTTGCTATATAGAGCTGCAGCCGAATGCACTACACGTCTACTCACAAGATCACGAGGTGCTTGAGCCCGCTGTAACCTGGCCAACTGCTGGTCGTTTGCACGGCCTCCCCCATTGAGTATCGGGGTAACAGCAATCTAGCTCTTGTCTCTGGCGAAGCAGACAAAGAGCTAGCGAGGCGTCGAGCTACTCTACAGATAGATGCTAGGGCCACTGTGAAAGGCGAGAGACCTGATCCCTGTGAGATCGAGGTATAAGAGGAAGACAGGTAGATCTGGAGATCTATGTATATCAGAGCAAGCCTGATATGCCAAGGTGGAGCGTGATGGCGGTTAGGATGTGGCCCGTCAGTGGCGGTGCTCCTTTGTTAGGATCAGAGGCTCTTGACAAACAAGGCCACGTGGTTTTGCCTTCAACGCGGATCCGGTGCGAAACGGAACTCTGCCTGGCATGTCGCATCCGCACACCCTCGTCCTTCACATATGGCCGGGACGCTGGGGTCTCATATCCGTGGACCCGGCCTGTCTAGCAGCCGCATTGTACTTGCAACTCACTATCCCCGGCGAGTTCTCTGTTGCAGAATGCACGAACCCGGATCTATCTCCTAGTGGTGGGTTAGTGCGTCTGCTGTCCGCGGACGTCTAGTCTTCTGACCTTTGGAGATAGGCAAACTGCCTTTTCTAACTGATGGAATGCACTCCGTCTCTCCCCTGGCATCCATCATGAAGTTCGTCTCGTACCGGAGACTCGGCGAGTCACCCTCGGAGAGCGCTGACCATAGGGTCAACGATTTGGATGCCATCCTGAATGTCCACGAGAGGGCGCAGAAGGCGGCGTGGTGCGCTCACATAGAGTCGCAGCTTGGAGACCTTCTGGTATGCCATCTACTCATGTTCCTCCTGACAAAGCTTAGCGCGATCCCAGGGCCATGCAATGTACGCCATGCAAGTCAACTGGCGTGAGCTCGTCCACCCCACGTTTGCTATGATGCTGCCCGTACCTCAGCGCTATTATGTCCCAGGACGTCTGCGAGACACATACAAGTCTCGCTTGGAATCATCTGACCTGTGGGATGTTTCTGGCGAGGAGGTCGAGGAGAAGCCGAAATTCGGCGAGAAAAAGAAGGAAGAACCAAAGGAGCACCAGTTCAAGCGAGTGTTCCAAAGGGACAAGGTACAACGCGTTCCTTTCATTGTGCTTCGCCTTCCTTCCTAAATTTGTGACCCAGATAGTAGAGAAGGCCAGAGACATTCTGGACATCTATGCGAGACTGCTCGGAGACAAGTCATTCTTTTTCCATGATCGGTTAGTGATCACATACGCTCCGACTCGATATCGGTGCTAAGCGACTTTGTAGGCCAACGACTTTGGATATTGTGTTAGCCGCCCATATACTTCTTCTCATCGAGCCACCCTATCCAGACCCTCTTTTGAAGTCACTCGTGAACGAGTCCTACCCTCGCCTCGCCTCGCACGCCCGATCCGTGTACTCGGCCGCTTTCCCCGTGAGCGAGTCTTATCCACCTCTGGCTTCGTCTAGCCAATCCTCGCTCCGAGCACTCCTTCCCTCGTTCAGTTGGAGTAGTGTCCGTCCTGCATCAGCCCCGAAGAACACCAAAGAGGATAGCAAGATTGACTTGTGGACGCTGGGGTGGATCGCTCTCGCTACTATCGGTACCATCGGGTTTTGGGCAGTCGCTGGACCAAGAATCACGTTTGTGGTTGCAGTAGATGATGAGGACGAGGTAAACGAGTTGGATGAGGCGGAAGATGACGCACCGGAGAATCCACCGATATCTGACGATGAAGGAGGGGTATCGTAATGGGACAATATCGATCTACGTATAGCTTATTACCTTCGAATGTGAATTTCAGCATCCACAGTGGATTTGACGGGTCGCGGCAGGACCCCCGATAATTGGTATAAATGCCTGATCAGGTTCCGGACAAATTTTGGGACTTTAGAGCCCTCAATGGCTGATTTTTTACAGACAAATCGGCCGATTCTGGAGAACAGGCCTGATTTTTTTCCGGACATTTTGGTCAGACTTGGCCATTTCGATGCCATATTTACCCCGGCACCTGCCGGGGAAGCTAAATTTAGACGTACCCACGCCACAGTTGCCTTTTAGAGCCACTTTTTCGCTGTGATGCCTGTTTTTTTCCGGACAAAAGGTCCAAAATCGGCGATTTTCTTCCGGACAAAATGGGTCTACTTATGGGTCCTCGGGATCAGGCATTTATACTGATTATCGGGGGTCCTGTCGCGGCGGGTGAGTCCATCGCACGTGGTGTTGTGACCGGCACAGCCACACACTCGACGATCACCCACGCCACCGAGATCGTGACCTCGTCTCCGCTCTTAGAGTATTTGGATTTGTCGCGGTTGCCTCTCCCGCCATGGATGACGAACACATCGTCGTCGACGACATTGACGAAAAGCCTACTACTAATGGATCATCGTATGCTACCACAGCCGCTCATCGCGCCGCCCGACATGCGGACAATGCCAGAGCATCGTCGTCGCGCCTGCAGGGGCTTGGGACAACAGAACGGACGACTCGCTCGGCAGCAGCACGAATGAAGCCGCAGCCCAAGCTGAAGCTGAAGCTGAGTGAGAAGGCTGCCCAGCAGGCGCCGGGAATGTCGTTCCTCGGATCCTATGACAGAGAACTGGACTCGGACGATGAGGATTTGGCATTCGAGGAGCAATTCGTCCTGCGCATGCCCCCTGGAGATGATTGCGAGAGGCTGCGGAAGATGGTTTCAACGAGGGAAGTGGAGAATGACGTTTGGTTTAAATTTAAAGGTACGTATATGTGCTTTAATATGTCACATTCCGCTCAATCCGCACATAGATGCCAGACGAGCTGTATTCCACATAGGAAATAACCTTTACTCTGCGAAACTGGTCGATCTACCTTGTATAATCGAATCCCAGAAGACGCTGGACAATAAGCAGATGTTCAAAGTTGCAGATATATGCCAGGTTGCCCCGTTCCATCAGCTGCTATCCCTGTTCGATGCTGACTGGTCGCCTTCAGATGCTGGTGGTAGAGGGCAAGGTGGACAATGAAGAGGCTGTTAGCAGCCAGAAGAATTTCAATATCGACGAATTCATCTGGCCGCATGGGATCACGCCGCCGCTTCACTGGGTTCGGAAGAGAAGGTTTAGGAAAAGGGTGAACAGGAGAGTGAGTTAGTATTCTTTACTTGTTATTGGCCCTTAGTTCATACATGCATCGTAGACCATCGAGAGTGTAGAAGAGCAGGTTGAGCGACTATTAGAAGCAGACGCCGCGGCGTCGCAGGTTCAATATGGTATTCAAGTTTCACCTCTATAGTCAGCTTACCCTAACCTATCCCTTTATTTTAGACGTGCTAGAGAATGTGAACCCTGACATGTCTGACTCTGAATTTGCGGACCATGAACAATCCTTCGATGCGCCAACACCAGCTTTTGGCTCGGAACTCGGCGACGCGCCCACGCCTTTACCGGGCGAAGAAGATCTCGCACAGGACGGAGAGGAAGGCGAAGATGGCGAGGACGAAGGTGATGGTGACATTGATGAGGAACTAGCGGCGGAGCTAGACCTTGCTTTGGGTGATGAGGACGAGGGAGATGATGCGGATGAGGAAGACGAAGAGGAGGAGAGTGAAGAGGAGGAAGACGACGATGAAGACGATGAAGTCAGCCAAGCGAAGAAGTTGTTGAACGAGGAAATTCGAGACCTTGAAGCTGCTGTTAACAAGAAAGAGGGCGAAGTCGCAAGCAGCGCAAACCCATTGATCCGGGTGAGTTTCTTTGCGTGGTCTATTTCATCTACAACTTGCTAACTGCGTCTCTAGCGGCGGTTCGAGGATGCTCTGAAGAAACTCAAGGCAGATCTAGCCATGAAGGTTGCACAAAGGGAAGAAATGAAGGAGAAGCAGAGAGTCGCGAAGGAAGGTGGGGCATCTGAAGCTGTTGACACTGACGGCGACAGTGGTCCAAATGATGAGGACGCCGATGATCTCTTCGGACCTGAAGAGTCTGGAGTAGCTATGGACATTGGATAGATAGGGAAAACGTGTCTTCTCGTGTATTGTGTGCACTGTATATTATTTCATATGTATGTGTGTGTACCACCTATTATCCCTATAGCAGACAGACCAATCCCCCTTGCAGAGCTAGAGGTGCATAAACCAAGCAGACGAACGGCGCAAACCAGATACCTAGAACGTCCCAATTCCACATCGCCTTCCGCACCTCTTCTTGGAGAAAGACCATCCAACCAAAGCCTAGTAGTGCGTATGCGAGGTACGTAGCTATACGAACCCCCAGCTCGGGAGACGATGAGGCAAGAGTCAACGGAACGCCCAGCAAGACAGCAGATATTGCTGCCAAGGAGAAATTGAGGACTGATGTCACTGAAATGACAGTTGAGGCAATGCAGAGGTTTATGGACTTCAGGACGTTGCGGATGGCTGTTCTCAGCTCCGTCTGCGCTTGTCCCGAGAGTGAATAGATAACGGGGACTGGTGAGGTAAGGTAGAGAAGGAACAGCGGTAGTGTCTGTAACAAATAGGTTAGCTAGTGAATCCTGTAAAGTGAAAGCGGCATCTACTGACGGTTGCTGTGTCCAGTCCAGGCGATTTCGTGAGAGCAAGGAAGACTACCAGCCCGAAGGCGTGTGTGTACAGCACAATGGAAAGAGCTGCAAGTACAGGCCTCGAACGACGCGTCCATCTTCCACCACTGTGCGGACGAGGAGTCTTCTCATCCTTCGCGTCGGCTTGCTCGGGGGGCAATTGACGCCAGCCCGCCGATATCCACTCTGAGATTCCCCCGAACATCATTGACACGCTGATCAAGATGGCGCTAGGCAGATACATCCCGATTTTCATGAATGTGTAGGGGCTGGTCATGATATAGAAGAAGAACGAGGCGTGCAAGCGCTCGAGGAGATTATTCGTTGTCCTGAGCGACGACTCTATGACTCTGCGACAGTAGTTAGTAAGTGCGAACAGGCGGCAACTCGTCCAGAATACAGACCGGCCTATCGCATGAAACCCATGTGGACCTGGTGCGGGTTCTGCGAAGAGGGTTATAGCATCTATGCGGAATCTTGGTATTCCACTGTCAGAGAGGATATAGAGACCGTAGACGTAACACATACTGATGGAACAAGCCATGGACGCCACTAGCCATTCCTCGTGCCTGGTAGCCTACGTGTCGAAAGACGTTCTTTGCCCGATACGCGAACTCCTTGAAGTCGTTGTTGTCCCGCACCACGCTTGGCAGCCAAGGCGGGAGGCCTAACACATCCTTGCTAGGGAATTCACTCGGTTCAAAATGATCGTATAGTAAGATCGGGACGCCACCAGTGTAGCGGGAGATGATTTGGCAAGAATTAATGAGATCCTGGTTTGGCAGGCGACCGTTCAAGCCCTCTAAGATAATTCAGTATCCTTGGCCCTAGAGAAAATCTGGGGTCATTCATACCTATAAAGAAGCCAAGATGTGAAAATGAATGTCCCGGATAGTCAATGTTCAAGGCCGTCCATATAACACCCGAGGAGAGAGTCAAGGGTTCCACCTGCAGGTCTTATCAGAGGCAGGTCAGACTCGCCTCCACCCACAAAGTAGCAGACATACTGGATTGTAGCGAGCCATGGTATGCACTGAGCCATGCATGCATACCATCCATGTACCCGTCGCTGATAACAAAGATAAGATCCTTGGCCCACAGCGCATGTTCTGGTGCGAAGTGGAAATGTCAATGATAGGAACATCAAGCATGGTGAGCACAGATAACTACTTTTGAGAAAAGCAGCCAACGCTAGGACAGTGGCAACACCCCGACTATTGATAGTACCGTCACCCTCCCCTGTTCTGCTTAGCCAGGAAGCGCTGATGACCATGGCTTCGGCACCGGAGGCTCGAGGTGAGGAAGAGACCGCGTAGACATTGACGCCCTCTATGGTCTAGGACAGTCAGACGAGCACGGATATAAGGCGCACAGCACGCGCACCTCACTACCTTTCCTGTATTTGTAAGACTGGCTTGCAGCTGGAAGGCCGAGCTTATGTAGTTCAGTGACCAATAGGTCTGCCCGCCTTGTTTGGACATGAGTACAGCGGAAGATATTGATATTTTCAGACTGACTCGCTGCTGCTGATATTATTCCGGATCCACTCGTCTATTTGATCCAGGTATCTGTCGGCTCTATGTACATCGTTCCAGTCCCAATAGGTGCTAACCTGTACGATATTATGTCTAGAGAATGACAGGCGAGGGATGGACATACCTGGCCGGGCTGAAGTGCATTCTCATCAATATACGTCCCTTGACTCAGCATAGGCAGAGGTATAAGAAGCATCCATAGCAGACCGACAACCAGAAGGGTTACTCTATACAGACGTCAGAGCAGTCAGACCTCATAGCCAGTGCATGGAAATACTTGATGTATGGCAGCCTTTTCCACAGGGTCGCCGATAAAGCCCTTCGCCTCTGGATTCGAGCGACATTGGCGTCCCCGCCCCCCCTTCTGAGCCGACTCAGCAAACTCATGACATACCCGAGAACAGTAGAAAGCCCGCGTCGTGGCGTGCAAGAAGCATGGCACCGGACACGTCGATCACTCGGAGCCTGTATTGATCGTCTAGCCCACGTGTGGCGTACAAGGCTTCTTACTTGGTTCTGCCTCAGGACTTGCAAACTCTCTCGTCTGCCACTTATACCGTGAAGAGATGGCACCAGCTCGGAGACGTCGCAAGTCGCCCGCGAACAATGGGTTAGCGGCGGGAGAGAAGTTGAAGCGCGAAGTGCTGCAGGGTTCTCGTTCAAACTTGTGGAGTTGGGTCGGGATAGAGGTCACGAATGTGTCAGATATAACCGACGAACACCGTCTAATGTCCTGCGGACTATCCAAACGCAATGGCTGGCCCATCTGTCGCAACAAGTATGCTTCAGGGGACCTGCCACAGTCCAAAGGGAACCTGACAAGGGATGCCGCGCACTCCGCAGCGGACGAGGATATTATCGTCATATCCGATGATGAAACAGGACTCGAATGCTCTCGTAAAGCGTGCAAGAACAACCCTAATTGCCTTAACTATCTGGGTCAGGAGGCTTGGGAGAATGAAGGTGAGCGCCGCTGACATGCATTTGAATATCCCACTTCATGACATACCGCATTAAGAGAAAGCCAAGGAGGCATATCTGAAGGCAGCGGAGCTTGGGCCGGATCCCCGTCTGCAAATGCGCGATCCAGGATCCCCAGTTGGGCTGAAGGTATACATGCTCACCTTTGATGCTGAGAGTTGTTGGTCATCAATGAACCGTCCAGAACTTAGGAGCAACTTGCTACGCCAACGCCTTTCTTCAAGTACGTTCGATACACGTTCTCTTGACGATGCATAATCAACCTCGTCGTCCAGGTTTGGTTCCAAGACCTGGCCTTTCGCGCAGGCGTTTACAGATGCATGCCAACTCAGGACTGGGAACATGGATTCCAAGATACACCGGTCTTTCAGCTGCAAGTGACGTTCGCTGCATTACAGGAAGGATCGCACAAGGTATTTAATCCTGTGAAACTTGTTGAGAGTCTGCGATTGCGGACGACCGAGCAGCAAGACGCCCAAGAGTTCGTCTCCCCTTATTAATCGACTACACTCGGGACTTCACAATCATCACTGTTAGATTCTCGAAATTATTTATGTCGTATCTCGATGCGGAGTTCAAGAAGCAGTCTGAACCGTCTCTGAGGACTCTCATCCCTGATCAAGTGAAGCCATAGTATGAGCGCCTTTGTATCTTCTAACTGCTTATAGTTCCAAGGTACTCAAGTATACGGCACCGAATGCCTCAATTGCCACAATAGATCGGAAACTCTCAGTGAATTTCTTGAGCTGGAGATCAGCCTGCAGGTAGGTTGGTTCCTAGTCATGCACGTGCAATACTTACCACATACTGTAGCCCAACTGTAGACTAGAGCAGCGAATAGATGCCCTCCTACAACCCGAGACGTTGTCCGGGGATAATAAGTGCGATTGCTTGTTTCGTATATGTGCAAATACCTGAGGTGTGTACAGGTACCTTTGTCCAAGATGTGAAACCTTGCAAGATGCGACCCGGTACACCAAGCTGCGCGAACTACCACCCGTCCTCCATATCTCCTTGATGCGATTCGTTTACGACCTCGGGTCTATGGAACGCAAGAAATGTAGCCACTCTGTCACTTTCCCTACTGTTCTCGATATGGACCAGTTCTTGGATAGATCGCCTGGTGATTATAGCCAGCCTGGGGATAGCAAGAATCTCTACCGTCTGCAAGGCGTCCTTTTGCACAAGGGAGCTAGTGCTTTGCATGGTCATTATGAAGCCCAGGTGTATGATATTGCGTATGTACTACTTTAGTATCCTGCTTTGCTCGCGCTCAGATCCTTCCAGAAGCAAGCAGTGGTATCGGTTTAATGACGAGTCGGTCTCTGCACTTACATCTATGCCATACCTCCCACTTCCAGATGAAGCAGACGAAGCTGTGGAGATAGAGAACAAGAGTAACGGCAGGTAAGGCCATTCGCGTATGTGAATGGTGGGTACTTGATCTGCCCTAGATCATCTAAGAGTAGCACGAAAGCCCAGAGCACGAATAGGAAACGGCAGACGCGGAAGGCTGGTGATGAAGCGAACGTCCAGACTCTCCCATCCATGCTCGGACTTCCGGAGTCTAGGAAGTACGGGCAGTCTGGACAGGCGTATACAACGAGGTGAGCATCCGCATTTGTCTAGTGGCCTTACGTTTATATCACGCTCCTCAGGTATATTGCGTCGAAGGAGGCCTACATGCTTATATACCGTCGGGAGATGGCTGATTCCCGCACTTGTGATTCGGCGGTGGGAGCTACCAGGTCGGCAAGTCCACCATTTGCTTCGACGGGAGACGAGACGATTCGTATAATCATGCCTCCTGCACGGGCTCGTGAAGTTGTCAACGTAATGAACGAAGAGCTACGCGAAGCGATAAAGGACTACAGGTCCAAGTGAGTCAAGCACTAAGGTCATCTTCGAGCTCTAGTCCTGATCGTGATGATAGGCAGGAGCAGAAGGTCACAGAATTGACCAAGCTTCGCAGGGTGATGATGGACATACTGCACTCCTGGAACGTGACAAGCCACGATGAGGTCGGTCCTCTCGATTACGTAGCTAGTGACGAATAATAAACAATTTACTAGCCTAGCCTGATAGTCAGCGGTCAAAGCCTTGAGGCCTGGGTAGTGAGTGGATTGAAGGAGGTCGAGCGTAAGGGCAAGCAAGCCCTGAAGACAGTAGGTGTCGCCGATGAAGGGGAGCTATGCACAGAAAGTCAGAAGTCGGCCCCGGACTCTTCTTCTACTCAGTGCGGGCCCTCCGTTCGTCGAAGGTTCTCTAATTCTACTATCGCATGTCGTCATGGTTTACTTGATCCTATGGAAGCTGGAGACATGAAGCGACTGAGAAAGGTACGAGGTCTGGTCAGCATGCTGGAGATCCGCTCATTTGCCTCGCTTCAGACGGCCTATGAAAGGATTGTGCAGGAAACCAACTCCGAATTTCTGCCGGTGCTCTCTTCTGGAGACATTTGCCACACCTGTGTAGCTGAACAGTTCGATGGTGATTAGCCCGATTTACTCACCTTTCTACCTACATCTGAATTCCCTTGCCAAGAACGACTTTATCAAACAGAACACCCGAACCACGTTGCTCGATTCAACAAACTGTCCACTGATGACGGTGATACCAACAGCTATTGGATATCCAAAACATGGCTTAAAGGTGGGCGACATTGCTCGCGAGTTTCGTGGCTTGTATATAATATGTCGTTCTCAGACTGGAAGCTCTCGAAGCCAAAGATGCACAGATCGGGCCAAGAGGATCCCGCACCCAACCTTCCACCCTTCCAGCAAGATGTTCTCTGTGAACATGGATATCTTTCCACAGACGGACATCTTCGCCGTCGAATACCGGCACAGGTACGTGTGCATTGCAAGCTACATTGCTCCACCGCCAACGTGTCATAGGCGTATGACTTCTTGATCGCACGCTTCCCCGAACTACAATTGCCGTCAGTTGATACAGAAGTATGCGCGATATGCCAAACAACGAGCCATGTCTCGAAAGAAGAGCGCCTAGAATGGAAGAGCAAGGCAGATCTGGAAAAGGTCAGTCTGACGCGCATGGCTTCGTCGTGGCGGTTCGTAGTAATTCCTCTTAGCGCGCACTCAACTACATGTATGAGAATGCGCTGGAACACCATGGAGAGCTTCCTCCTAACATTCCATGCGCTATAATACCTCCTGAATTTGTTTCAGCGTGGAGACAGTGGGTGCGCCAGCCCTCCCAGGTTCAGCGACCGGACAAAGTAGACAACTCCATGTTCATCTGTCGACATGGTTTGCTACTGATAGATCCGAGCTCCGCGATCGACATCGATGGCTCCGTGGCTGTAATACCCATGGGGGAGTGGGCAGTGCTCAAGAACCAGTAAGTACTAAACCACGAATGTCCCGATAACATATTGAAGCATTTCTCAGTTATCCCGCTAAACCGCTTATCTCCGTTGAAAATCGATACGCCGGAGAAGGCTCTCGTATCGTATGCGACCTTCCCGTATGTCATGACTGTCGCTTCCAAAAGTAAATTCGTTCTGCGCCACATTGTCGTTCACTTATTGACTCCCACCGCAGAAAATCAGATTATACCGAAACCGATATCAACCTCCGAATATGCAATGCGCAAGGACTGCAAGAAGATCTGAAGCACTCGCAAGAGCGTCCGCGAATTTCAATATATGGTACTCGCGGCGCCAGAAGATCGAAACGGATACGGCATGGTGTCTACAAGGCGAACAATCTCAGTATTAGAATTTCGAAAGCGATGACGCTTAAGGACCTGAAGCTGAAGGTATGAAGGCCTCACTTGACTTGCCACTTCTTTATAATCTTGGATTAGTTGCAGGAAGAGAGGGACCTACCAGTAATCTGTCAACGCCTGTTCTATTGCGGCCAAGAGCTTGGGGATAACTCTCTCACAATGGGTACACTCGGGATACTTCCTAACGACACCATTGATGTACGGGAAGAACCAGAGGATGCGGACGCCCTTGATGACGAAGGCGATGGTCTGAGAAAGAAACGGCGTCTCGAGAAAGAGGGTCAGGCTTTTGATGGGACAATCCTCAGCGGTCAGCACCGGACTTCTTCTAGCCCTGAATCCCGGGAACGGGAGACGTGCGATCCACAGGACTGTGGTAAGGACTGTCCTTCCTGTACTTACCGAAACCCTCAAGAGAGGTCACTTTGCATGGTATGCGACGGGATCCTTAGTTGACATCCGATTGTACATAGTAAAGCGCCATATGCAGTACCATTTCATGGTATCTCTAACGGAACAAAACTCTCAAGATGATACATTACATTCTATGTGCACAGAGATAGCTGATGAGATGACAGAACGGTTCTGAATGTGAGATAATAATATAATCCACAAATCGGCCAGCATCCGAGAACAACCAGACTGAGAGACGTATAAATCTCGCGAATACAAGGCTATGAATGCGATATGTATTCCATGCCGTGATGGGGCCCGGAAGGGAAGATAGGAGTAGCGTGCGTCGGCATATTCATTGGCTGCGCAGCATACGCTTGCGGTGGCAAAGTTCCGGTGGAATGAGGGCGCGTATGGTCTATGGCCACGGATAGTTGAGCAGGGTCCAGTGTACCTGGAGGAACACTCAATGTACCCAATGTCTGCTGTTGCAGCAAAGAATTTGCCGTCATAAGCACTTCGACTTCATTAGACAATGGCCCCATTATCCCCACCGCTTGGGCAACGGCAGTCTGCGTGACGGCGGACACATCACTGACAGTGACCTGCGCTGAAGTAGACGGCGAGGGAGGGATGCCTGCGGAAAGGTGGCTTGCAACAGCGGCGGATTTATCTGCTGCTACCTGTCGTGCAGCTTGGAATACCACCTGATGAGCGGCTGCTGCAAGAACCGCGGACGACTCCGTTGGGCCCTCATAGGATGTGAGATCCTTGTCTAGAGCCTGCGCCGTGACAGTAAGAACATGCTGCTGTTTCGCTAGAGACTGGAGCTCCGGCCCTGGATCGGTCAAGGAACGGGCAGCAACAACTTGTGACTGCGCCTCTTGTGCGACGCGTTGGGCAGCGGTGGTCAACACTTGTACCACTTGAGAATCTTGAGTGGCAAGGGAATTGCCTTGCCCTAGCAGTGACTGTCTGCGAGACCTGCAGTGGGTGAGCCAAATTGCAGCTGAACGCGAGTCTAATAACATACCTAGCAGGGTTCGTTTGAGGCAAGATCGAATCACTGGCGACTCTCCTTGACGTATCAACTAGAGACGGTCGGCGCGAAGAAGAAAAGCTCGTATCTACTGTCGACATGGGTGCGATTGTGATATGAACCGTCTGAGACAGGAATTCTTCCTTCCCGTCTTGGAAGAACTATTGCAAAAACTCAGCCGAGGAAGGCACGCATGGTTCAAGAATATTACCCTGGCTTCCACGGTGACATCGCAGCTTTGGGCATCAGACGGGGGAGTTCCAGACAGCACGTCATCACTCCACGAAAGCCACGTCGGCAACCACGGGGACGAATACTGCACAGGCGTATTCAACCGCGAGCCTTGTGGATCCCATATCCGCGGTGTCCATGACCAGCGAAGGCCAACATACGCAACCCCAGGCGGCATGCCGGCTAGTCTCCTATGGAAGGGCCTAAAAATCCACCCTCCATCGGTGGATTTCTTTGCGTCTATATTCCATATATGATTGCCCTTCGATTTAGCTTTCTTCCCGTCTTCGTTGAATCGAGAGATGTAGGGCTGATTCCACAAGTAATTTCGGACCTGAGTGACAGCCGGGTGAGACATACAACATACCGAATACGTGAAAGCTTGCCTTTTTCATGGGTATCTTTTCCTCGGGATACCCTTGCTTCGCCAGCTGTAAGAGCATGTCAAAAAATCCAATGCTACGCCAAGCTACTAGACATGGTAACTCACTTCCTCTAAGAAAGCATTGGTGAAGGCCTGTATACGGAATTTAAAGGGTCGGAAATCAGGAGACTCGTCCAGACGTTGCATCTTCTTCGCCATCAGTGTCTGGTGAATCGGCTCGCCCTTGGCGTCAGTGGCATCAACTATGCGGCGAGAGTCAGAAGTGTATACGGGCATATGTTCTGGGCAAGTCTCACGATCTGAGCATATCTTGTTCAAGAAGTCGAAGAAAATGCGGTCGACGTCGGCCTTATACTCCTGTGGCAACTCGTTTGCATGGCTGGAAGAACCGACATTCTCAGCGGACGAGTGAGAAAGAAGGTTGCTGGGCCGGCTGCCATAACTCGTACTGGGCCTCCTGGTAGCGCCAGTTTGGTCGTCCCTGCTATAAGCTCGCTTGCGGAAAGACGCGCCAGATGGCGGTGACTGCGACTGCGAATGAGGGTTATCGTAACTTCCATCCGAATCGTAGTCGTTTTCTCCGTCGATATCATGATCTTGGGAAGATGAACCAGGGCTTTGGGAGCTAGTCGTCGGCCGAGACTGCAAGCGATCTTGGAAATCCGGCATGCTTCCATCGACGGGAGCAAATGCAAATACGGGGGTGTGTCCATTGGAAATGGACATGGATCGCACCTGACGCGGAAGTGGACGAACATGATTCAAGGAACTCGGTCCTGGAATGGGCGGTATCTGTGAACCCAGGGAGGAGGCAGCGAAACTTGCTGAAGCCGCAAATTGGTGCAAAGGTGCGGGCTGACCGGAAGAAGGGAGGCCTTGCATATTAAGACCACCATCACTACCAGCGGTCCCAAAAGATTGCCGTCGATGGAATGAGCTTGATTCAGACCACCCTATTGGAGGACCGGAAAAGTTCGCAGCCGGCATGCGACCAGGATTGGGAGGCAGCACCGAGGAGGCGCTCAATTCAGTCCTAGTAGGATTCGATGATGACGGGAGGGGAACATGCATGGAAAATCCAATAGACGGATGAGCAGACGCCTGTGACAAGACATTCAAATCATGGTGTCCCATCATACCAGCAGAGCTGGTCGGACGTGAAGCAGGTTCTGAAGGAGGATTGGACGGAGCGAAGGGGTTGATGGCAGCAGAATCCACAAGACTCGAACTGGGATGAACAATTGGCGGAGATGGTGTACTGAGATTGTGCGAGGGTAGTGGACCGGGTGGGGGAACGTGAACTGGGGTCTCCTCCTGCTTAGTCAATTTCATGGCCTTGATGACCCGGTCACCCGATATTGAAGATGCACATCGCTTCCGCGAGTTGTCCAGCCCGTCCGTACTTCCTTGTGACTCCATCTGGGAGAGGAAGACTGGCTGAGAAGGTGGAGTGAAGTGCGAAGGAGGGGTTGAATTTTGAGATCCATTACCACCGATCCCAGAATCTAAGGGAGGAGAGGCGAAAGTCGTAGTGAGATTCGGGGAAACTTGATCACTGGGGAGTGTAGGGCCATCCGCAAGACGCGTGGCGGCTATGAGTTCCGAGACTAAGCTAATAGTCTTTTTAAGTTCGTCAATTCTCATATTAGCTTCGTCACTGTGCCCTCGGGAACACGCATTACTGGCTGAACTGGCTGTTTGTGCGATGCTGCGGATATTACAATTAATTAGAATGCTTTGATACAGTCTCAGTTCGCTATATGCGCTTACTTCTTGAGGATGTCGCCGACCACCATTAAGTGCGGCCCACCTGGCACGTCAGGAGAGCTTTCCTTGGAAATACTGCTGTCGAATCGGGTGGGTGGAAACTCTAACTGAAAGCCCGCTTCAGGATTTGAAGTGGGGTGCCCACTACTCGCAGACCCAAATCCCAGGTCAGCAATGGATCTGGCCAGGTTACCTGGGGAGATGGTTGGCTCAGAATGATGTCCAGGAACAGCCAATCCATCTAAGGCGGAAGCAAGGGAGGATGGTCCTATAGAGTAGGCAGACCCTATGCCGTTCACAGCCGGGGAAGGAGCGTATGACTGACTGCTCGAGACAGAGGAGACAGTCGGGGACGAATGTGAACCCAGTGAGATTCCCATCGTTGTGTCTCCGTTGTATGAACCGTTCCTTGGGGGAAAGTCTGGAATGAAAGTAGGAGGAGGACCCCGCTCCGTCGTCGAATGCGTCTGAAGTGTATCCATGGGGTCTACATTCATCTGCGGGATAGCAGAATCTGGTACGTGCATCGTGGCAGGCAGAGGATTGTGGCCACCGGGCGCTTCAGGGGAGATACTGGACAACAGTGGCGGAGGGTCGCTCCCATGGGACGCGTCGGAGTGATGGGATGTTAATCCCTGCTGAGGCACCCCAGTGTCCATCATCACCATATGTCTAACCTCCTGAGCGTGCACAGACTCCATCTCCGTGTAATCCTCCAAGCAGGCTAGAATGCTTAGAGTCTACGATGAAAGGTGGTATGGTGACGCTAAGGCCAGAATTGTCAAACTGCTCACTGGATCTGCAGCTCGCCGCACTCCTATATGGGCAAATTCAAGGGTGGACAAGAGAAGTGACCCGTTGAACCAGCTGTACCGGAGGGGGGAATGTAGCGCAGAGGAGGCTGCTAGGCTGCAGAGATGGCTTCTATATAGTATAGGACCGTAGCCCGATTTAACGACGTCCGGTACGCAACTCGCCTAAGTCTGGCGGGACGGGAAAATTGGTTCACGAGGATGAAGCGCGTTCGGACTACCACCAAGCAGCTTTGACGACAAACAGAACAGAACGACACGCAAAGCAGAAGTCTTGAGCACGAATCGGACAGACTCCAGGAGCTTAGGAAAGGAGGCACTATAATTCAGATGCATGCCTCAAGGCTGGTCACGCCGCCGCAGTCACGTAACAGATCAAAGAGTCTGTTGCCGCGCCTGTTACAGGCCTGTTTCTAATTACCCGTTCTACTGATCAGGACCAAGGCGGGTATAGTGGAAGAATCTGATATCCCTTCAGCTATTATGTTGCTTCATGTCCAGAGAACTCGGATATGTAGTGTGAGAGGCAGTATATGGACAGGCATCACGTCGTGTCCGACATGCACAACTTGAATCCTGTCTCTTACAAAAAATAGTCGGATGAGACACCCTCTACCCACCAATCCTGCTTATCGCATTCGCAGGACTGGTTCAGCCCAATCATACCTCATAATAACTCCCGTATGCATCGTGATCCCCGCCTCACCTAAGGCATGCTAGTCAAGGCGTAAGGAAAACACCCGGATTCAGAGGCTGAAGGCAGCAGGACCAATACCATCATTCAGTACATATGTACAACGCGATGATGCAAGATCTCGATATCGAAGGCTTCAATATCTCCTTCTGCCCGGAGACCGCGAACGATCCCGGTCTCTACGTCGATCACTTGGGTAAAAGATCAGTTCTATCTCTGCAGGATTCAGAAGCAAAATCACGTACTCGTGCCGCGAAGATGAGTGCCTATCATATCCTCGGTCCCGCTCTCGATAGTCATCTCGTGATGAACGGTAGTCTCGGTCCGCACCTGTACGCGGTGGTTGTCCGGAGGCCGCTGACGGCAGGCCGCCACTAGCAGCACCTGGAGGACCGACAGCTGATATGCTTGAAGGAGGTCCCATCTTACGTTTCTCCCGCTCTTCTTTGAACTGCTTCAGCATATTCCGCAGTTCATAATAACCCAGATGCATCTACAGGATGTTAGCCGCCGATCTTGACCGGGTACCATGAACTCACTTTGCCACCGAAGTGGTCGGCCAAACGACGATCAGAGTCCAGAACGGACAAATACGCTCCACAGACTTCGCAAACGCGCAACTTCTGGTGCCCAGATGCACCTGACGTGTCTGTCAACTGTTGTAGCTCGCGCTATTTGAGTGGAGTTAGATGGCAGATAGTACGATGTATTAGACGATGGACAGCTCACCTCTTTGTCCGCCTTTTCACTCTTCAAGGCCTCGATGGCAGCCATCTCCCGCATCGATTCGTCTACTTTGCCTTGCTCACCTGAAAACATAAACAAAGTGAGTCGTTTAATTCCATAGAACTCCAGCGCATGGTCTCACGAACCCAATGTCTCAATCTTCTCCGTTCCTCCTTGAATGGCTAGTTCAATTTCAGCGATTTCTCTCATCTGAGTTAAGTCGGTGAGGCGTTATACGTGAAACACAGGACAAGAAACCCACCAGGTTAGTTGTTTTTGCATTCTCTTCGGGCGTCTTCTCTAACCGCCGATGCGCGGCCCTAATTCTGCGGTCACATTCATCGACGAAGGCAAATATATTTGCTTCGTATTCCATCTGGAATCTCTGGAAGATGGGATCGTTCGGGTTAGCCTCCTTCGCTTGGAGGAACTCCGTTTTCAGGCGTTCCGTGTGCGATTTCGGACAGGCGCCGAGGTCCATTTTCTGCGGATGCATCAGAGACAAGGTGCACAGCGCACAATATGGCAGATACTCACAGTGTTCGTAAATAGGGTATGCGGACATGTACCACATAAGAAGTTTCTGCATACTTTCTCGTCGGACCAATGCAGGTTGGCGTTGGCCACGCCCATGGCTTCGGGACCCATCATTTGCTAACAGGACAATAGTCAGCAGGAGAACCAAAGCGACGCATCGAAGCCACACACCTCTAAGAGCTTGCGTTGCATCTCCGCGAGGCGCCCCATGGTGTCGTACAAACTGTGTGCGCTGTGAGCTTACCGGTAGTGGACGAGGAGGTTCGCGGTAACGCACAAGGTGTGAAAGTGGCTGTGCCCGTGTTGTGATAAACCTTCCTACTTCGCTGGGCTTTACTTGGACGCGCCCGATGAGTCATCAATTTACTGTACTTTCGAGATGAGCACATGCACATACGATTGGGCGAATAAGATGAGAAGACATTGCGACTCTATGCTACTGAACGTGTACTACTTGGGGCAGTGAGACCGGGCTACTAAGGAAATTATTTACAGTAATTATGGGAGAGCATACACATGAGAATGAATTTGAATGAACATACAAGTGCGATAAAGCTGACGTTCTTTCAGGAGACATGCTTGACCAAGGAAAAATAGCGTCGTCTGCGATAGAGTGATCAAGTCGCGACAGGAGATGATGCACCTCTAGTAAATCCGCGGCCAATGCCCCGTCCGCGACCCCGTCCACGTCCACGTCCCCGCCCCCGACCTCTACCATCCGGTCGAGGTGCGTCTGTAGCGGCAGAATGGCCGACAGATGACCCCTGCGGGGACTCATGAGATGTGGCCGGAGGGCGTGAGTTGGCGGGACGCTTCACGGATCCTCGTTTATAATATGGACGGCCAGATCCAGGACCTCCGGGTCCCGAGGCCGCATCCGACTCCCGTGGTAACGCAGCTTTCTGAGATTTGCCAGAGGTACTGCTAGTGGAAGGGCTCAACTTTGTCCGATAATCTTTGTGGTCCCATGAAGATTGTTGAGAGCCACAGGTAGGTGTCGGCGGAGGGGTGAAACCGCCGTAAGTCATCACTATGTTGCGGATTTCTTCGTAAACAGCTAGGCTCCGTTTGGTGTCGCGATCGCATTTTGTCATCGCCTGCATACCCTCAGCCGAAGAAAGCCACGACCAGATATCGCCTATTTCTTGTTGAGAGCACAAGCCTTTATCCAAGACAAGCCAGACCGCTTCCGGCTTGCGAGCTTCAATGACACAGCGAAGTAGACTGTGGGTTTCAGGCGGCTCATAGATCGCCTTGGACTCTTCCTCCTCAGGAGCATAGGTCTCGATGAAATACCTCAGAATGGCGACATCGCCTTGACGAAGAGCTAAATGGAACGCAGTGAATCCTTCGGAGTTGCGCTCCTCAGGATCGGCACCTGGGGGTGATGAGTTGGCAATATTAATGTACGGCAGTCACACTCACTGTGCGTATCGAGCCACTCCACCAACTCGCGATCACCATTCCGGGCAGCGATATGCATGAGGGTTTCCTTGGGATCCAAGGGTTTCAACTTCACAAAGTCTCCACAACTAAGTAATACCTCCCCTCCAGCGGCGTCCACGTTATCCTCCCAGACGCCCTTCTTGACCTTATCAGTATTTCCATTCCTGGCAGCAGCAAATGTTGCAGAACGAAGCTGTTGCCTCCGTTCCTGCTGAGCTCGAACGGCTTGGGCGGCAGACTTGCGAGATGCCTCGGCCTGTGCTTTCTTACTTTCGGCCTTCTCCCGCTGCCGACGCTCGGCCTCGAGCTTCTCTACGTGGCACGTAAACTCAACTGCTGAAGTTCAAGAGTTGTAGGACGAACCTCTTTCACGCTCCCTTTCCTTAGCTAATTTCCGTGCGGCTTCCTGCTGCTTCCTCCGTTCCTCCGCCGCCCGCTGCTCCTCTCGAGTAGCACGCATCCGTGCCTCGTACTGCGCATTAGTCTCTGGGGGACCACTCGGATAGTATCCGGGACGACCCCGCCCTACGGGTCACGTCAGTATACCATTTTCGTTCACCGGTCATGCAGACCCACTCGAATTCGCATAACGACTTGACCGGCCCCTCAGCAATTCTTCGAATAGGAACCTGAGAGCGAATTAGACGAGTGAGAGGTGGAAGGCACGTCTACTACCCACATGTAGAACATCAGATCTTCCTCGTAGTCCGATTCGTATTCTTCGGAGTCCTCGTAATAATCATCCTCGTCATCGTAATCGTCGTCGAAATGTCCAAAGGGACCGAAAGCGCTAGAGCCACCGAAGGAATGAGAATGGCCGAAATCTGAGCGGGGAGGCGCAGAAGTTCGGTCCAGGTGCTTGAGCAAGACATTGTATGCTTCACTCAGGCGCTGGAATTGGGCTGTAGCGTCTTCATTCCCAGGATTCTTATCCGGATGAGTTCGTAGCGCGAGCTGCACAAGGACTGGTCAAGAATGATGCCACCTCAAGAACAGTCTACTCCATACTTGTCTGTATGTGCTCTTGACAACTTCTAGAGATGAACCCTATGAAGCCTTCAGCAAGTGATATTGCGCGATTAAGCTAGAGCTGTCCCACCTGTTCGACCCCCAAGACTGAGTAGGCTTCGCTGACCGTGCTATGCTTGTGTACCATCGCGTCCACTATCCTCGCAGAACAGGCGTGGACGCTTAGAAGTGGCAAAAAATAACGCGTATATGAGACGCGCCGCTGCTATAAATAGAATATTGGCAAACAGCGGCAAACGCGTTTGTCTAGTTTGGCTTTGTGGCTTCGCGCCCGACCAACGAGGGCCAGGCTTACACCGGTTACAGTTGCACGTTATTAGCGTCGAGCACTGGCGACTGCCCTCACTGACATGTACAGAGTTTGAAGGAATGAGAAACTGGGCCATGCAGATATCTTCTCGCTCTTACTGCTTTTTGCGCCGGCCATGTTCCTGGCCGATACACTCCCGACCGCTTTGTCTATATACGAGTACCACCGTAGACCTCGAGGAAAGACAGTTCAATAGATGGCAGCATATTTGACAATGTCTTGCATGGCCAATGGCTATATGTGTCGGCTTATGCCGGTTCCACTCCCAAAGTCATGATGTCTGTCCTCTGACCGACACACTTAAGCTTCAGTGTCAGTGACCACCTCCCACCCCAGCACCATAACTTCTACTGACCTCAAGGGTGAACCAATTGGCATGAGGAGCCTCCTCGAATACCAGGTCAGTGTATACCGGGACCTACCATTGGTCTAGGGTCAAACCTCTAATACTCACGAATACCGGATTATAGAAGGACAGAGTCGAGATCACCAATGTCAATATGTAGGCAGTAGGAACACGCGATCATACGAGCGACATGCAGCATGTCAATGCGACTTGTCCGTTTACATCCAGATATAGGAGAGGAAATGAGTCGGACAGTCACCAGAAGTACCAGGGGGTCCAGGAGGGCGGGACAAGTCATCCCTAATCAATCTCTCTCCAAACCCAGTCGCACGGATGGTCGTATACTAGCCAGGACAAGCGTATATGACGCGCAGGGAGCTTCTGGACGGCTAACCCGCATGCCAGGGTTGGGACATCCCGAGAAAACTCGGCGAGCCAGAGGAGAGTCATGATAGAGCGTCCTTATGTCTGGGATGACACGCATGATATGTAAACTGGCCCTGGCCCTTGGATGATGCCTAGCGATGTGACCGGGATTTCTTCTCCACATGAAGTCAGCTTTGGGAGCTGACGTCAAGTATGAGGGGAATCTCAGGCTCGTCCTCTGTAAACGTATATATACCATCTTGGACTCAGAAGGGACGTAAACGGATTGTACACACTTATTGATAATATCACCAAACATGTTGCGCAACACAGGCCAGCCGCTAAAGGACCACCACACGACACCTGAGTATAAGGCAAGAGTCGTAATGCCCTATGTATCAGCGGGTCCAAGAACAGCCATTTCACAAGTATTGCTCCAGAAAGGTTACCAAGTCGAATACAAGTTGGCGGACGGTAGGGTCGAACGGCTGTCGATGTCATAACCAAAAGCCACTGCAGCTGACCGTCCTTGCTCGCTATGGAGATCCCGGTAGGCGGCATGTTGCACATATCGCTGTGTCACCCTTGACAAGCACCTGTGCAGGAGATGAATTTTGCGAAGATTCTGAAGAAGAGTCAGTAGACGTCCTACAGTGGTGGAAGGACTCATCCATCATTAGAGCCGTATCAAACATGTTTTACATCGTTGTGAAGAAATACACAAACGTTGTGACTATACCCCTTCAATTTCGTAGGCGGTCAGGTTGCATGTCGTCGTCAAAATCATGTCTGCAAGGGTGCGTAATACGCATTCGTTAAAGTACGTCCTGTGGTTATCAATCTCAGCAGAACCTGTCACTATTCATTGCTTAGCAACTGCGGGAAACCAGACGTGGGGTTATCATGGCATACCTTTTCAGTTTTGCCCGCCGATCCAGCATGGTCTCAGCTAACCGGCCCTCTTTCTTCGCGCGTTTTATCTGCAGAGCACTAAGCTGGACGATAACAGTACGCAATTGAGCACAGCTCACCTCTTTCTTGTCTTCCTTCGAGACCACAGATCTTCCAGCGCCCCAAGCCTGATACATGCGGCTGCAACGCTTCAGCGACAAGGATCGTCCAAACTGAGGAATGGACACACTTGACATTAGCTTCATCCGCAGAAGGTTCTTCGATCAGGCCAGCCTTCTTCTTTTTCTCCTCCTCTGTCGCTTCTTTCTTGTAGTGGCTCTGTATCTTAACCCAAAACCGTTCTGCAAACCCTACTTCTTCACTGTCTCCTCGTAGCTGCAGGACACCGCCAGCAGCTTCGTCAACACCGAGATACTTCTCATATATATTCTGGAATGCGACCATGCCATCGGGCAAGATAACAGGCGTCCATTCTTCTTGAGGGCCTCGAGCCTCTCGGTCTGCGGACACAATCCCATGCTTGTCGCAGGACAGGAACTTGCCTTCTCCAACGCCGGTACGCAGGTTAATAGTAGACGCACCCGCGACTCGAGTAATGACCCAGACCTGAGACACTTCTGTGGGCACGCGTTCCAACAAGCTTGGGTTCACCCCGCTATCCTCGGTTTTATCACGGTCGAGTGCATGGAGAACGATGCGATTTCGCGTTGAGTCAAATGTGATACAGATGGGTGAGGGGTCTGAAGGGTGGAATATGAATGCAGGGCCCCTTATTTGAGTGGGATCGTCAGGAAAGACCCAGGCTTCGGGTTCCTGGTCATCGTCCTGCTTGCGCCGGCGACTGCTTCTCCCCGTCTCGTCATCGTCGTCATGTTTTCGTTTCTTCTTGGGCTTTTCGCCTTTAAACTTCAGCTTCGTGGATCTCACCTTGTCCGTAGACATAGCGAAGAGCAGGCAGGAATGATTGATGCGAGGAGGTAACTTATTGAAGAGTACTGACACAGGGAGGGGTTCTAGCACCCCCAATATGCGGACCACTTTTCGACCGACCGGCACATCCCGGCGTGCCATGTTTGGCTTTAGTGGCGCCACTACTGAATGAGGACTTGTTCTCAAATCAGCTCTTGAATCCGTCAGAGTACACAGTTGCTTCAATAAGATGTGTGCAGTCCACTCGGAATGGAATGTATGGAATTCAAACTCACCTCCATGTTTATGTTGTTTTGTGACCACTTATAAGTGCAAATTTCATTTGCATGCAATGATTGAATAAACCTCGGAAACCCATGCAATCCAGATAAATGTACACATGGAATGTCTCTCGAACTGCCCGTAGAGTTCCACTGGACCTCCCGGACCTGGAAACTCACCCAGCCCGATTAACAGCATGCGAAATGACTATGACTCGAGGTGTTAACGTTGATCTCAATATGCTATGATACAATAATGGGTATGGAATAGTACTCAAGCTCAACTTATACACAAAGGAGGGGTAAGCTGCCGACAGCCGTCGGCGCTTCTCGAGTGACAGTATGCTATCGGGATTTGCCGCAGGCGCTATCGGGATTCACCGCAAGGGCCACGTGCTGTATTCCCTCTATTGCTACTGACCCTTACAGCACAGGCCGCCCTCATCGTCAAGCCCGTCCTCAAGACCACAATGAAGTTTAACCCTGGTTAGTTCTTTTCCTGTTGCTATGCTTGACCGCGGTATCCCGTACTTCTGCAACACTGGGCTCTTTCCATGCGATGGCTAGGATGGATGGGTTCTATGAGTGGTGGATGCGGTCTCCGAGCTTGGATTGACCAGTTAGTTTGGAGCGCTGTCTAACAGTATGTTTGCTCATTCTAGACGTCTCCTCATCTCGGCGTAAGGCCCACAAGGCCCACTTTTCCGCTCCTTCATCCGTTCGCCGCAAGATTATGTCGTCCTCGCTCGCTAAGGACCTCCGGGCCAAGCACAACGTATGGTGATCTGATTTCTGCTTGAGCTATGGTCTGACGTCTCATTAGACACGCTCTGTGCCGATTCGCAAAGACGATGAGGTGCGCGTTGTCAGGGGCAAGTACAAGGGACGTGAGGGGAAGGTCACACAAGTGTACCGGAAGAAATGGGTCATCCACATCGACCGGGTACAACGTGACAAGTCAAACGGTGCATCGGTACCGATTGGCATCCACCCGAGTAACGTTGTCATTACTTCTCTCAAGTTGGACAAGGACCGGTGCGTGCTGTTCGCAGAGTTTGCAAGCCTTCACTAACTAAACTGTACCTCAGACGGGCAATTCTGGATCGTAAAGACAGGAAGAAGAATCCCCCTCCCAACTTGGCTCGGACCTCAGGCGAGGACGTCGAGATGGTTGACGTGAGTAATACAGCTGCTTTTGCTGGACCAGAATATCTTATCGGTTCAAGCAGTAATCGTCCGCCTGTTCGACATTATGCTCTCTGTTTCGTGTTGTTTGGGCACCTCAAAACACTCATGTACTTATGCGTGCACTATTCCATATATGACATGCTGCATGGTACCGGCAGTCCTTTACGGCGTCGGCGCAGTCATGATTCGTGAAGGCACTATCAAACGAACGAACAAACAGGTACCATGCTATTCAGAAAATGACATCTTCGTCTTTGCTATTGAGAAGATCGCCTGGGCTATCATCTGCTGCAATCTCCTGTGTCGGCGGACTGATTTCATCTGCTATTGGCAGCGCTGCTCGTCTGGCGTCCTCCGCTTGAGCATCGCGCTTCTTCTTTGCCTGGACTTTCTTGAGACTGTCAATGCATTAGTGTGTCCGATATCAACTAGATGGCAGTAAGATCGTCCTACCGGAAGAACTCTTCTCGGTCCATCTCATCTAGCTCACTCGTGATGTACTTGATCGTATTTTCCAACCGAGGGATAACAACATGTTCAATAGCGTTAACCCGCCGGTTCGTTGCCCGGATGACTTCGTCAAGAATCATGAACGCTGTCTGCAGGGAGGCCAGTTCTACTAGAGTCTCCACAGCTTTAGCATACACTTCTTTAGCCTTCAACACTTGCTGGCCACCACGTCCGAGACCAGTGAGATTGAAATCTGAGCAATGAGGTGTTGACTTGCGGTGTACAGTGCAATGATCATGGATGGACCCACCAGATCCCGCTACCCTGTCAACCTCGAATGCAGGGAGGACGACACCCGAAACATTCTCTTGCTTCGCCTTCACTTTGAAGGATGCGGCCTTGGCCTGTTCCCTGACGAGATAGGATATGTCTCCAGTAGCATAGGTAACCTCTGCCAAAGAGAAGGAGGCTAGCTGCATCACCCTGCCCATCTTGCGCTTAGCCTTTGTTCATCAAGAACGAGACGAAATTAGATATTTCGGCCGAATGACATGCAGGGCCGCACGTACTTCGTCCACTTTCTTCAAGATAGCTCGAAACCGAGTCGTCAAAGCATCGCGTTTCTTAGCTAACAGCGAATGACCTGTCTGTGCGCCTTTCAACCGCTGCTTCGTATTGGTGAGGGCCATTCGAGTCGGAAATATGTTTTCGCGCTGCCCAGCACCAGACATAGTAACTGCGAGAGCTGGAGCGGCGAGGTGTGCTACGGGTCTGTCTCGATGTCAGGAAACACTGTCAGGGGAAGTATGGGGATCTATTTATAAAAAATGCAATAGCAGCAATGCCGAGATAGCTCAGCTGGGAGAGCAATAGACTGAAGTTGTTATTCGGTAAATCTAGAGGTCCCGTGTTCAATCCACGGTCTTGGCATTATTTTGCTTCGGCATTTCCCGATGTATTCAGCCTGTATCATGAATACCTTGTGAACGCGGGTCGGTCTCCAAACGCACCCAGCTACCTGCATGCCAGTACTGTTATTCGTACAAACCGACTTCGGTCAAAGAAGCCATGAGATCATGCGTTGTGGTGTTTTTCTCTAGTGACTAGTCTTCTGCATCCGAGTTGGACAGGCTCTTTGGTCAGGTGGTCTTTCTGTGTCGGAAAATCTGGAAAAGACTGATAAGCCCTGACAGAACCTGACGGACTGATCAGGCATTATAATGTTATGTTTCAAGGCTGATAAGCCCTTATCAGGTGTTGTCAGGTTTGGATTAGGTCGGGGCTTCTGGTGGTGCTGTAATATCACAGGAATTCTGTAGTATACATAGATCCTGTACGTCGGAAACATCTTGAAATACGGTCGTAGCCTTGACACGGGTTGAGTGTCTTAAAGGTGGCATGTTGACTACAGTAACATTATAGTCTAAGTCTAAAGTTATGGCGAAATCTACAAGAGCCGTACGTCTATACGTCAGAGGACGTGAGCGCGAGCGACGGTATCCAAGTCCAGCTGCAGTCATTACGAGTCGCCCGGTAAGGCAGTATGTATGATGTATATATACCAATGTGAGACCCACACAACTATTGTTGCGTAGTGTATTAGTTATATTGTTAGTCTTTACATATATTATCATTGTTCGACTCAAGGCCGCTCGTTCGAATCAAAGTCGAAGTACCTGTATTAAAGTGACGTCTTAGATGGTGGTGTCAATGGCCATCAGGTGGCGTGAGTGGCTCCTCCTTTTCTCATTTCTGGGACTCATGGCCTTATCCGGGCTTATCATGCCTTATAATGGCTTGTAACCCCCGTCAGGCCTGATCAGCCTGACGGAGGCTTACATGCGCTTTTCGATCATTTCTGAACCCGATAACTCTCCTCGAACCTGATTGACTTATCAGTGCATTATCTGGCATTGTATAGCAATATCATGCTTTTCTGATTTTTCCGACATGCTTACCGTGGTGGGAGGGGGTGACCTCGCACAGAACGGACCACGCCTTTCTCGCGAAGCGGTTGCATGTCGGGGGTTTGTCAATCAACTCGCCCCAAATGGTCTTGCCATGCTTCGGGCCGATGATATAGACCTAATACGGTTTGCGTTGTGGGGAAAGAACGCCTCGCCTGCGTGAACGGTGTAAGGCAGTTACTCAGTCCTTCCCAGAGAATATCTAAACGCAACCACCACAACCTCTAGTTCAGGGATCCCTAGGATGGTCTTGCTGTCTACGAGCTTCAGGCTCATCGAGGCGGGCAAGACTCCATTTCCCAAAGGCACTGCCCAGTCAATTAGTACAGGTGAGTGACACTTACTATCTGTCTCGGCAGAGCATTTACACAAGAATCGCTCAAGGTCTAAGAGCGTGGTGTCGTCCGTACCATGCCTCGAGTAGGCTCTCCAATGAACGGACGGACAATTCCGCTAGTGCTACCAGCCCAGAGGGTACGTACAAGGACAAAGCGTCGACAACTCAAAAGGGATACTATCTCATACCGGTCTTATATCCGAAGCTATACCTTACTCAGCACTGACAATTGGTGCCCCGACGGAGATTTATCCGAATGAGCGGCGTGTCTCTATCACCCCCCAGAATGCCGCTTTATTGCTGAAGAAGGGCTTCTCTAAGGTGCTGGTAGAACGTGGCGCCGGGATTCGTGCACAGTTTGTGGACGAGCAATACGCGGCAGCTGGTGCAACTCTGGTTATGCGGGATGATGTTCTCAAAGCTTCGGACATCCTGCTCAAAGTGCGGCCTCCACTTTTGGGGAAGGAGGCTGAGCACCTCAGGGAACACAGCACAATCATATCGTTCCTCTACCCGGCTCAGAACAAGGACATTGTAGACGTATTAGCTCAGAGGAAGGTCAATGCATTCGCTATGGATATGATACCCCGCATCTCTCGCGCACAAGGCTTCGATGCTCTGAGGTATATGAGCGTGTGCTATGAGCTTCTGGACCACTGACGAAACTTGATTCACAGTTCCATGGCCAATATTGCGGGTTATAAAGCGGTTCTCGAAGCCTCAAACCATTTCGGACGTTACATGACTGGTCAAGTGACAGCTGCCGGGTACGTCCTTTCCTATTCACTTCTTGGATGAGACCTGAGTCCGTCGTTTTTGATAGAAAGGTAATTAGTGCACCGTCACAGCGCGCATCGTACGCGGTTCTGAATTTTGGATAGATCCCGCCTTGTAAGGTCCTCGTCATCGGTGCTGGCGTCGCTGGTCTGAGCGCCATAGCCACGGTTAGTTCTGGAGGGCCGTATGCATCGACCAACTGAGTGACGTTCTGGACAGGCCAAACGCATGGGTGCTATTGTACGCGGTTTTGATACCCGTGCTCCAGCTTTGGAACAAGTCAAATCCTTAGGAGGTGAACCCCTTGAGGTCTCCATAAAAGAAGAAGGCAGCGGTTCAGGTGGTTACGCGAAAGAGATGTCGAAGGAGTTCATCGATGCTGAGATGGCTTTGTTCCTGGAGCAATGCAAGGATGTCGATATTGTTATAACCACGGTGCGGCCAGTATAGTCGCTGTGGTTGTAAAAACATAACGTCTTTTGTAGGCTCTTATCCCCGGGAAACCCGCACCAAAGCTCATCACGAAGGAGGTAGGACTTGTTTATGTTGTAACACTCAGGGTCTTGACATGCAGGCGACAGATGGTAGCTGCCATGAAGCAAGGCTCAGTCATCGTGGATCTCGCTGCTGAATCTGGAGGCAACTGTGAGCTGACGCGACCCGGCCAACTCCATGTTGAGAAAGGCGTCACTATCATCGGTGGGGTTCAATCTCGCTGAGAGACTGGGAGGGATGCTTATGTTTGTTAACGGCATGACCCACCTCCCAGGTTATACCGATCTTCCATCACGGCTGCCCACTCAGTCTTCGACTTTATATTCGAACAATATCACGAAGTTCCTGCTTTCCATAGGCGGAGATGGTAAATTCGCGATCGACTTGAACGACGAAGTCGTGAGGGGTGCAATTGTTGTCCACAAAGGTACAATCCTGCCTCCTGCGCCTCGTCCCGCTCCGCCGCCACCCCCACAACCCACGACTGCTAAGATCGAAGAAGAGAAAAAAATAACAGCTCTGACACCTTGGCAGAAAGCTCAGAGAGAAGTCGCGACAATTACTGCAGGGATGGGGACAGCCGTTGCTATTGGCAAGTATGCTGCCCCTGCAGCGGTATCAACGCTTTTCACATCTTTCGCATTCGCCGGCTTGATCGGATATCGTGTGGTTTGGGGGGTAGCTCCTGCCTTGCATTCTCCTCTGATGTCCGTTACGAATGCAATCTCCGGTAAGGTATCAACCCTCGCCTAACCTGCTTCATACGCTAAGCAATGTTCCCAGGGATGGTCGGTGTGGGCGGTCTATTCGTGATGGGAGGCGGCTATCTTCCAGGGACTATTCCTCAAGCGTTGGGTGCCTTGTCTGTGCTATTGGCCAGCGTGAACGTTTTCGGCGGGTTCGTTATTACGAAGCGCATGCTCGACATGTTTAAACGTAAGCAAGCAACACATGGTACCCTTCGTAGATTATTGACAAATAGCCCTCCATAGGCCCCACGGACCCACCTGAATATCCTTGGTTGTATGCCCTCCCTGCCATTGTTTTCACTGGCGGATTTTTGGCTGCTGCAAGCACCGGAATGGCAGGCCTTGTCCAAGCAGGATACCTCACTAGTAGTATCCTGTGTATTGGTAGGTTACTAAGTTTAACGGCCCCGTCGAGTTCGGTTGACTCTGGTGTCTAGGATCATTATCGGGACTTGGGTCCCAAGGCACTGCACGACAGGGTAACATCCTTGGCATTCTCGGGGTCATGTCCGGTATTATCTCGTCTCTGGCGGCGGTCGGGTTTTCCCCTGAGGTCATGGTACAGTTCGCAACAGTATCAGCTATTGGGGGCACGATAGGCGCGATCCTCGGGCGACGAATCACACCGACCGAATTGCCTCAGATGGTGGCTGCACTCCACTCGGTGGTCGGTCTGGCCGCAGTCTTTACTAGTATTGGTAGTGTCTTAGCAGATATCGATCATGCATCCACAATGCACCTTGTCACCGCATACCTTGGGGTCCTCATTGGTAGGTTATCATCCGCCTCGTGACGTTCCTGCAGTCTTACGTCTCCCTAGGCGGTATCACATTCACAGGCTCTATCGTCGCGTTCCTCAAGCTAGCTGGACGCATGTCATCCAGGCCTCTCCTGCTACCTGGAAGACACTTAATCAATAGTTCTCTGCTGGGTATCAATCTCGCCGCCATAGGGCCATTTTTGTCGATGGCTCCTTCTGCACCTATGGTGGCGGCAGGATTCCTTGGTGCCAATACGGTTCTCAGCTTCATCAAGGGTTTCACAACTACAGCAGCTATCGGCGGAGCGGATATGCGTTAGTGACTTATTTCGTCGTCGTTACGCTCAAAGCTAGATGTCTTTGCAGCGGTCGTGATCACTGTTCTGAATGCATATTCCGGTTTCGCTCTGGTTGCGGAAGGTCCGTCTGCATCGACATTCTTTGGGTATGCTAGACTGATGAATCCCAGGATTCATGCTGGATAATACATTGCTGACAACTGTTGGGTCGCTAATCGGCGTTAGTGGTTCCATCCTGTCGTACATCATGGTATATTCGTTTTCCTATGTTTCCCGATGACATCTCAATAATAGGTTAACAGTGTGTGGCCATGAATCGTTCGCTCATCAACGTGCTCTTCGGTGGAATTGGGACACAAGCACCTACAGAGGGACCCAAGATCGAAGGCACAATCACGAAAACGACAGTAGATGAGACTGTTGATGCCCTTGCCAATGCAGACAGCGTGATATTAGTGAGTACAAGGATCTGTCAGACCTAATGGCTGTAGCTGACGTCTCGCATTACAGGTCGTAGGTAAGAGCTGTCTTCTAGTCAGCTACAGACAAGCCGCTAACTGTGATCAGGATATGGCATGGCGGTTGCGCGGGCACAATACGCTATCTCCGAGTTCGTCTCGTTGTTAAGATCAAAAGGTATCCAGGTTCGCTTTGCAATCCATCCAGTGGCGGGCAGGATGCCCGGCCAGTGCAATGTTCTCTTAGCAGAAGCGTCCGTGCCATATGACAGTAAGTCACCCGGCTGGAAATAGGGCTTCAGCGGGGCTCGTCTAAACGACTTTCTAGTCGTATTGGAGATGGATGAGATCAACGACGATTTCTCCGAGACCGACGTTACCCTCGTCATTGGCGCTAATGACACGGTCAATCCGATTGCACTGGAGCCGGGCTCTCCCATAGCTGGCATGCCCGTCCTGCATGCCTGGAAGAGCAAGCAGGTGATAGTGATGAAGAGAGGAATGTCCAGCGGCTACGGTATGCAGCGACCATGCGCCCCGTTAATCATCCATGTCACTGACGCGCGACACAGCGGACGTTCCCAACCCGATGTTCTACATGCCGAATACGAAGATGTTGTTCGGTGATGCGAAGGATACATGCGAAGGTGAGCATTCACTATTCCTGATACTTCTAGGGACGTATTGACGGTGTGGTACAGCCATTAAGGAGGGTCTCAAATCGAGAGGTTGATTGCCAGATCATGATCTACTGTGTTGGAACGTTGTAATTTAAGGGGCCAAATCACACGTAACATACAGGAATTTCAGCCAACGCATTTTCATTGATAGGTTGCGGCCTCAACCTCTGCACAAACAGATAATGAGGAGCACATCATCCTTCAGCACGGAGATCGAACGCAGCATTTATATCATGTTTGAGATTCTTATAATTTCCTTTGCTCTGTCCGTCCAGGTATACGGATGTCAATACATCCTAGGGCGAAGTAATACGAAGTAGTCTGTTGTCCGCCGATCGGCCAAAACAGATAAAAAGGCAGCCGATCGCGTTAGTCCGAATATTAATGGTGAAATACGAAGGTCCAAAGGGTTCGTGACTACTCGAATGTAAAGTAATAAGAAGGTCCATTTCAATCCACTATATCACCTCAACATCAACACTGGCATGTCATGATGAACCGGGCCCTGCTTGAGAGATGGGCGATGCGTCCTCCAGCACGAACGACGTCCGCGGTGATTGGTACATGGGCGGTGGCGTCCGTGATACAGGCACCGGGTGTCCGGGAAGCAGGGAAAGCGAAGACGACCGCGGCGCGGTAGATCCATGATGCGGGGACGCGGGCGGTCTGATGAGGGGCTCGGGCGCGTCGTTGAGCGAGATGACGCCCTGGCGGGGAGGCTGTGAGAACGAGATGAAGTGCGAAAGTGATAGCGAAGAGCCGTGCTTCTTCTTCTCCAGGTCGGGCGATTGGGGATCCCACGGCGCAGGGGAAGCAGAGCGCGAGGTGGGGAGGACAGGCGAAAGAGGTCTCCGCGGGGTAACGGATGCACTGGACACGCTGACACCTGAGGATCTCCTCCACAATGAGCATGGTCGTGACCATTTCCAGCCCTTCCCGTTCGACGAATCAGGCTGGTTGTAGAGCCAAGTCGCGAGCAACACGGTCAAAGAGCCGACCGTGAACGCAAACGTAATCCTGAAGTCGAAAAGGGCCACGGAAGCGAGGAACGAGATGACGATGCTCAAACTTGTGGCGAAACCCTTCATGATGTTGTCGGAATATTTGATGACCAGAGCAGTCACCAAACCACCGAACACCTGGATTAACACGGTCGCCCACGCCCAAGGACCGAAGTTGCGGAACAGGTTCGTCAAGAAGCATCCTTGACTGGCAACAGCCGCAGCTTCCACGGGAGAAGAGGCGTTCGCCGCAATGATGGGCACAAGCGCGGGTAGAAGCGAGAATAGGGACAGTTGGACATTGCGTACCCAGAGGTCCGCAGGAGAGTTCTTCAACACCATCTCAAAGTACACTCCCGCAAGGCCGGACGTGAAACACGCTGCAGCGACGGCGAGGAATCCCTTGAGCGGCTGCATGACATGAACATCAGTCGATGCTGCAGACGTGATTTTGACAGCACCACTCTGGATCTGTACGATGCCAACACCGACGGCCAATAGTAAGAGCGCAAACCATTTGGTGAAGCTGAGCTTTCGTCGTAGTAAGAGCACCGAGAAGGCAGCGGTGGTGAGGATCTTCATCTGGTAAGATACTTGGAAGGTAGCAGCGTCTAAGTTGGAAGCAGCAACGTATTGGAGATTATTTTGGATAACTGAATGAAACAGAATTATTGTATGACTGTAGTCAGAAATGCGACAACATACCGTATAAGATAGATGGGATTGACAGCTTCCAGCAATCGGGACTGAAGACCTCTCGTCCTAACCTTCTGAACTTGGACATCAAGTTCCTTGGATGGCAGGTCTTGAAGATGGTCACTCCCGAGATACTGAGGGTGGTTTTCGGGGCGCTGGGGGTATGTTCTTGGCGATCAAGCCGAACGAAGGCGATGACGAGGGAAATGAATCCCTTGAGAAGCTCGTTCATGAGCACAGCGGCAGCTGCGGAGTACGTGCGTGACGGCGCGGTCGACACGCGTGAATAGTGCATGATGATCGTGAGGAGGGCATTTTGGACTGCCAGAGTCACCAAGCTACGAGAATCACGCGGTCAATTGCATGCTACGCTGGCGACCGGGAAAGACACTCACGAGACGTATTTAAGGGGCATGCCACATATTGACGGGACGGCGGCGGGCGCGTCGTTCAGCTGAGGAATCCCAAGCTCCTCAGAGTCATACTTGTCCTGCTGTGACTTGGAGAACTGGGCAGAATGGGGCGGGTAAAGGTCGGGGCTCTGGGGAGACATGGTGGTATAGCAATGTCGGGGCAAGAAACGTCCAACCGAGCGCAAGGTCGCAGCCAGCCACGGGGTATCGGGTCGAGGTAGAGACAGAACGTCTAAGGTCTATGAGAATTTGAGACACCCGCCAGCTTCGCCGCAGTCCGACCAGGGCGCGCGCTCTCCTCTATAAACAGCGCCTCGGTGGCTGTAGTCTATATTCGGCGTTTCCCTTCCCGAGCCTGATCGTCTCGCTCAGACGTTTATCCGCCCCTGGGATTTGTTCATGATACTCTTGATGACGTCGAAAACATGTTACGGACGCGTTCAGCAATCGCGTAGACCGATATCGAACCTTCCAACGTTGCAGCAGAGGAAATGGTGCAACATCAGCGGTTGAGAACATGCCAATGAAATAGCGTACGCCACCACCAATGGGACAAGGTATATCTGTGCGTGGGCGCATCTCGGAGGTTTGGCCTTCGCAGGAGGTATCAATCATCACCCACTTCCTCTTCTTCTCCATTCCCTCTGGGAAGCGCGCAAGTGCCCCAAACGACATTGATCTCTTGTGATAAAGTTCCCGAGCCCAGCATGCTGCAGTCCCACTCCCAAGGCTTCTTCTGCAATTGACGCAACGCGGGATGCTTACACAAAATCGTCGCCAAGATCCACCGAATACACACCAGGATCGACGTCATCCGGCGTACTTTCACTACGCGCGAGTTTGCACACAAGCGCTACGACCAACAGGGCAAAGTGAAGCCAGGATACTGGCGAATAGTCTGTCTCCCGAATGCTGTTCAGCAGTTGAGTCCGCGTCGTAGTATTGGCAGTGTAAGGTGATAGTTGGAAATACATGTGATGATAGAGATACAACAAATCCATAAAGATACAAAGACTAAACTGCATTCATACCGCGCACTCGAGCTCCCGGCAAGCCTTTAACGGAACGTCGAAACCCTAAAGTCACCCGGACCGAAACGGCTCTTCCGCTCTTCCTCTGTGTAGTATCCATAGATACTATAAGTTGGGCAACTATAGCTTGCGTAGTCTTCAGGGTTGGCATGTTGCATGGCCATCTGAGCCAAAGATGGCATCAGGGGTGGAGACGGAACACGGGGTGGCTTATCATCCGCCCTTTTCGAGTTCCCCGAGTATTTGAATTGCTCCTCGGTCCGCGCTACCATTTCCGAAGACGACTCCTCCAGCTCCTCAAACGATCGCGACTGTGCAGGTGTACCAAACCCGTTCAGCATCAGATTGCCTAGGGAAGTGCTAGGTTCCATGGGTGGAGTGACTGCGTGCATATTGTCCGCGTTGATCTTCCGAGTTGGCATGGGATGGGCGTACAGCTTGTCCCCCACGACGCTCAGAGAATCGTCGGGATAGATGGTCATCTCGGGGGAAGGCGGTGACGTCAGTCCAAGTACAGCAGTAATAGCCTTTGTATCCCGCGCACGACGAGCTTCCGACTTCTCCAGTACAGGTATAGGCGGCACAGGTATCCTTCGGACATCCTCGAAGGGGTTGATGTTGGACACGAAAGACGAAGCAGAAGCCGAAGTACGAAGAGAAGTACTAGGATAAGGCGCCTTGATACGTTCCCGACCACGAGCGAGAGCTGGTGAAGGCGAATCCATTGTCGGAACTGGTGGAATATACTTGTCCGCGATAGGCGAGGTAACATCCGCGCCTCCGTATAAGGATGCGCAAGTGTCCCGTGTGTTCCCTTTGCCTTTGTCCAAGCCATGCACGCTCTGTCTCGCGCTAAGTCGACGAGCTGACCGAAGTGATACTCTCTTAGCAGCAACGTCTTCCCCAATCTGTGTGGGCTGACCGTTTGTGGGAGAACCAACAGTAGTAGTATCTAGAGCAAGTCCTATATGCTGAGGAGCCGTCGTGTCACAGCCAATACGAGGGGAAGAGTAAGACATCATGGAGAGCCTAGACATGGTCCGCTTCCCGCTCCCTTCACGGTTACCAACAGAAAGGGGGCGCTGGTTCGTTTGAGGCGGAGTGGGGAATGTGGCAAGCATCTCCAATGTCTTGGACTGAGGTCGTACTTTCGAGGCGGGCGCATCAAGGCGGAGATTTTGATAAGGACCAGATACGTTTCCCAGAGAGCCGGGTTTCTCAGATAAGGTTCCTTCTCCCTGGGAGTACTGCGTCCAGGTCCAGCGGTGCTCCACGTTGTCTGACAGCCTTTCTTTGCCGCCAAATATGGGTGACTCTTCCGGAGACTGCTGATCTGGGTATGCATCCTGCAAGATCGGGAGAGACGGGGTCGGCAGATTCCGTCGTTTGGGACGGCGGCAAGCCCTAAGGATTATGCAGAGGCCAACGGAGGCAAAAGCAGAGCCAAGGGCAACAAGTACTATAATGATTGTACGAATGTGCTTAGAAGTGTCCTCGTGGGCAGCAGCCGCCGAGCTTTCAGGAGTAGTGACTGCCGTGGAGGCTAGCAGCACAGAAGAAGTTGCCGTTGCCAGCAAAGTAGAAGCTAGACCAGCCGTCGCGGGTACTGCAGCCTGTACGACGTCCGTGTTCACGGGCGCAGTAGAAGAAACGGAATTAGACACAGTTAGAGTATGAAGAGCGGCGCCTTGAAAACCTGTGTCGGGAATAGGAGCCGGAACGTTAGAGACTTCTTTCTTGGAACCGTCGTTGCCTGATTTCCCAGTAGACTTAGCTGTCTTGCCAGCGCTTGTTGGCTTCATATCCTTTGCTTCCGTGGTTGTGTGCTTGTGGTCCTGGTCCAGCTCGTCCGCGTTTTGCACATGATTGAAATATTTCCCTTTACGCAGGACAGTATCTGGACGCGTCTTTTTGCTCTGGGTTTTCTTCTTCCGACGAGCCGCTGGAGTACTGGAAGGAGATGAGCGTCGGGACGGAGACAAAGGAGAGTCGTTAGTAGACATGTTCGGATAGCAGCGACCAGCGCGGCCCAAGGATAAACACAAGGACACGCTCCGACCCTGGAGGACGTGCCAGTTCAAAGTTGAAACGGCGTCTCAACCTCCTGCCGCGGGAGAAGCCGTCGGGGGTTACTTGATTTGGAGATGCCAATATACGCGTCGGTCACGTGGACGCGGCGACCCTAGTGGACTTCCTCGCGAACGACCGCGACGGCGACCTCGCAAGTCATTCCAATTTATTACCAGCGTCGGCTCCGTCGCGGTCTTCAAGCTAATAGTGGAAACCCTGCTCGTTGACTGGATAAAAGGCGTCCATCGACTGTCTTCTTGGGCAACTAGGTTCTCCGTCTTGTGTTCTGTCCTGATCTGTTCGCTTGTCATCGAGGACCACAGCTATCACTAAACCTGCCCCTCAGCACGAAGTCCTTTTGCGCTGCCCAGGTGCTCGCCCGCGCTTCCTTACATCTTGGGGTAGTTAGACAGACCGGCACACACGTTTCGCTCGTTGGGAAGAGCATCGGCGTCACCGGCGATGGAAAACATTACTATGTACGTGGTCCTACAAAGCCATTTTGCCGCTTACCTCTGAACTAACATCTAAGACTTACTATATATACAGTGACTACTCTGAAAGCGAGTCCCAAGCAAGCCAAATTCTTGAGAATCTAGCGCGTGGCGCAGGGACAGGATGGAAGTCTGCACCGGATAGTGTTCCCGATCAACGGATGGGTCAATCCTCAGCCAATTCGTCGACAGATACTTCTGGTGATTCGTCTATTCCGCGCACCTCTGTCCCGGTCTACCACTTTCACGGTCTCGCCGCCACCCAGACTCAGTCTCAATATGATGATGGTCCCAGTAATGAGGATTCTCAGAAGGAAAACACGCCTGCTCCCCATGACAGCAGATCACAGTGTCCTTCCACTCCAGGGCATCAATCCTCAGCATACACATCCTCAGGCTCGAAATCACCGAACAAAGTGTCGTCTCAAGGCGATGACAACCTCATATCCGAGAGTCCTGCACGGAAATCTGAGAATACCACCGCTATCTTGGACGGTGTGACGCCTGATATATCCAGTAACACCACTCGTTCGCCATTTAAGGACAAAGTTCCTTTGTTCAGTAGACCGACAAAAGTAGTCTCTTTCATCTCGCCCAATCCGAAATCGAACCCTTCGGGTCCGTCTGTGGCACAAAGGCGTGGCATGTCTGCTTCCAGGCCCGTGTGGCCTGATCCGCCCTCTCCCGCTTCGCAAGACTCTTTTATCGATCCACTCCCTGAGCCGGACAAAGTCTTCATCGCGACTTCGAGGGAGTTTGCCATCCCTTTGTCCCAACTCGGCGCGGAAGAGAATTCCGAAGACTCAAGCCAGTCTCAAGCTGAGGGCTTACCTCGTGGAGGCCAACACGCGACGTCGTCGAGTGCCATGCTCCCCGGAACCCGTCGAATTCCGACCCCCAGGGTACCCTCTCCAACGAGCAACCCTTCCCGAGTGGAGACCGTCCTAGTGGCATCCACTCCATCCAACTCTGATAGCTCCCAAAGCTCCGTCTCCCAGGCAAATCGGTGGGATGACTCTCAAGACAGCGACCTATATCCCAATCGCCAACGTAGCCCCTCACCTCCATTTCCGTATGATGCTAACCCAAGCTCCGCAGCCCGCGATGAGAGCCAGGAAACCCAGGTGTGGCAGCCGACTCAGCTGGTGGACGATGCAAGCCAACCGCCATCAGACGATGCCCATCACTATCCTCCGTCCACCGTCATTGCCACGCAGGCGACGGAGTACCAGGAAACACAAATAATAAGTGATCCTGGTGATACTGATGAACCTCTACGAGAGCATATCGCTAACGCGCTGCCCGCGAAGACTGTGGCAGCTTCGGCCGCTCCGTCTTCTACCTCAAATACGACTGGAATGGGTCCCAGTAGTCTCCTCAGCTTGGTACCCGCCCATAAACGGCAGAGGTATGCAGGCATTGTCCCGGAATTACGTAGGGATAGAGTGCCAGACGTACCAGCAATACCGGAAAGGCAGTTCATGGATGAACCTGAGGCGACGCAGATTATTGAAGACGAAGAATCCGCGCCTCCCACGAATTCGTCTTCTCGCCGTTTCCCGCCTGCGGCTCCCCAGGATAGCAGACATGGGAAGGGCTCAGCAGCGGACGAACCTTCTGAGGTTGTTCCTGACTCCGAGCCAGCGAGGCTGGAATCGAGCCCGTCGATTCCTCTTGCAGACTTAATGAGACCCTCTCGAGGGACAAGTGTAGGAGCGCACCTAAGCAAGGATAGGCAGGATGCAGCGTCCGAAGAGGAAGAGGCTCGGGAGTCTCTATACCATCGCGGTCGACGGCAGGGGTCAAATTCGGGCAATAAGGGTAAAAGGAAGATGGTACGCAGTATCTCCATTTGTGACAATCCACTCGACTAATAGCATCGAAGAAGGATAGCACACGAGAATCCGCGATTGAACCAGTGGGACGAAGCAGCTACGCCTCTGCAAGGGATAACCATGGAGTTGCGTCCCTGGGTGCCTCAGATCAGGGTAAGCATGCTGCGAAAGAAGACGAAGTGCCATCTTCAGTCCCAGATCAAGATCTACGGACCAATCCAAAGACCTCCACTGGACTCGCTCTCGCTGCCAACAGGAGGGCAGCGACTAGGCGAAAGGCAACCGGGAACAATCGCGAACGAGGGATGGACGTGGAAAGCAATGCAGATTCCGAGACTGAAGAGCCGGATGATTCCTGCCGTGGTATTGCTGGTCCTTCGAACGGCTGCAACGCCTTCAAAGAAGAGGAGGAAGAGACGGAACCCGAGGATCGCGAGGACGGCGGCGACGTTGCCATGAATGGCAGCGAAGAGGAGGCCGAAGTGTCGCGCCCCACACCCTCAAAAAGTGTCTCACGAAAGCGAAAGCGGTCTAACACCGTGGCGCGCGGGAAGTCGAGGGCAACCTCTCGTACGCCCACAGCGAAGGGGAGTTATGCGCCTTCCATAGCTTCGACTGCTGAGAGGTCTAGTAAGCGGGCGAGGACGACGACGCCTAGTCAGCGTCAGCTTCGGGGCACTAGGGTCTTCGCGCTCTGGCGACAAGATGGTCATTACTATCCCGGTGTTATCCTGGGGGCAACGGCGGAACTGAACTGTTACACCGTCTTTTTTGACGATAACACCCGCGCCGATGTCGAGATCTCCAAAATGCGGCGTTGCCGACTTCGTGAAGGGGACAACGTCTTGATTGCTGTGAAAATGGGTAATGGTAAGAAACAGAGAGTCCAGAGAGCACGTGTCGTCGAAGTGCAGGGTGAGACTGCTCAGTCGAGCGTACGCGTGGAGATCGACCAGTTGGAGGGGGTGGAAGAGCTGCAAGTGTGCATCAGCGAGATCGTAATCGCTGGCAAGACCATCACCACCCATTGGAACGACAGGCTATTGGACCCAAGTGACATCGGGCCTGTCCAGCACACTACGACCAGGCAATCCCCCAGAACCCAAGTTGAAACTGATGAAGCGGTGAATAAGGTGATATATAAGACAGCCTTCGTAATATCCAGCAGCATCACCGACCCTCAACCGAATCGAGAGCGAACGGTCAACATCATCAAAAACTCTGGTGGCATAGTTGTGGATGACTGGATTTCCGTGATACGCATGGAGGGTCAATTCATTTCGGACTACCACTGGGTTGCCCATCAAAAAGATGTCAAGTGGTGTGGCCACCAGAAGATCGATAAAATCTTCTTGCTGTCTGACGATTGTTCAACTAAACCGAAGTTCCTCATGGCCCTTGCCCTTGGTATACCGTGCGTGGACATACGCTGGATACAGGAGTGTGGGGAGGTAAGCAACCTCAGCCTCTCGTCAGAGGATGGCATTTGACTTGATGTTTTATCGTAGCGCGACTGGCAATCGTATTTACTGCCTGCCGGATTCAGTGAAACTTTGCAAGCAAGAATTTCACAAATGATCGATCTGGACTGGGGCAACTCCGTGGATTATGTGCAGGACATCATGAACAATGCGGTCGCACCCAAACTCTTCTCTAATAAATCCGTCTTATGTGTGGATGAGAAATTTGTTCCTGTCCCAGCGAAGACCGTCGGCAAGGTAAGCACTATTGCTCTTCAGTAGGCATCTATCCTTGTCTGACCTCTCGGCAGAAGAAGGCTACTGCTTCCCGAGGAGAAATGAGCTGCATCCCGCAGATAATATTGGCAATGGGGGCGAGCACGGTCGAAGCTGCCACAGAGTCTTGCCATCTGGCGCAAGATGCGTTGCGCACATACGACTATGTTGTTGTGAGGACTCTTGCCGAAGTCGAATCGGTCCGTAAAGATGGTGTCACCGTCGTTACTTGGGACTGGGTGAAGGACTGCCTCATTGCGGGAAGACTCTTTGATATGCCTGCTTAGTTTTAACAAATCTATTACGATGCATCTTGTATGTACTATCCAACGCTACCCTATGCCGTCGATTACATTGTATGTTAGTTTTATCTGCGTGCTTCGACGGTTATTTAATGTACATATACTGTCGTGATCATCAGGGTCTCAGAGCATCTCGTGAAATTAGGTCGATTAGAAGTATTCAACAATACACGGCTAGGACACGACAAAGACACGGTACAGTGAACGAATAAAATATGATACAAGGCAACGAGGACAGTGAGATACAAAGTGGAGGATAACGTAGTCAGAAGACAAACTATAGCAGGTAAACAACTTCATAAGACCAAGGTTCAAAAGAATGGCAATACAGTTGCGTGGATGTCCCGAGCGTACTTGGCCCACTGAGATGGCGCCAAGGGAGGACGGAGTCGAATACGACATAGATGGATACAGATAATTCAGTCGTTCAGTTACGCCTGAAACAAGAGATGATATATTAGAATTCAAGGAACTGGTAGGCAATTGGGTCAAAACGTTGGTATAGGGGTGGCGGCCTCTCTTCTCTGAACAAACCCGGTATCTCCTCTGTGGGAGGTAGCGGAATGTGAGAGTAATGTCGAGTATCATCGGAAGCCGATATCTGAGGGATGATTGGTGCCTAAGATCATGTCAGCACTGAGTGGCAAGGGGGGCGTTTGTCGAACATACTCGAATCTCGCGGCGTTCCAATGCGTCCCAGTCCACACCTCTAAACCAGGGGTGCTCCAGAACGTCTTGCGGTCCTCCGATGAGGTTACCCAACCTTTTGCTCCTGTCTGGATGTAGGAAAGCTTTAATAAGGTCTCTGGACAGGGTATCCATGTCCCTCGGCCAGTTGATATTCCCCTGAAGTATCTTCTCGTAGATACCGTAGGCCGTTTCGTCAAAGAACGGGGGGTAACCGACCATCATCTCGTAGGCCAAAATGCCACAGGCCCACCAGTCAGCTGCTTTTCCATGTCCGTCAGACTGGATGATCTCTGGGGCCAGATATTCGGGCGTGCCACAGAGAGTCCAAGTACGGTCGTCGACAGTCTTCGCAAAACCAAAGTCTGTCAGACGCAAGTAACCTCGGGTGTCAAGAAGAAGGTTCTCAGGCTTAAGATCTCGGTAGATAATATTGAAGGAGTGAAGATATTTTAGCGCTAGCGTGATGGTTGCCAGATAGAACCGAGTCACGTCGGGTGTGAAGCGCCCAGCTCGGCGAAGATGTGTGAACAGTTCGCCCCCAGGCACGTATGAAAGCAGCATATAGATGTTCAGGCTGTCTTGAAACGTAGCATAGAGATCAACGATGAACGGATGCCGTATACGCGAGAGGATGTAGCGCTCTGCATTGACATGCTCTACTTGACGGAGCCGCACGATCTCTGTTTTCCGCAGGACCTTCATCGCAAAGCAGTTGCCTGTGCGGCCGGGTGAATTCCTCAGGCGGACAAGGAGTACACGTCCAAAAGTACCCGTTCCTATCAAATATATCATAGTGAGAGATACTTCATGAGGCATGTGAATCTGACACGTACCAAGGGTACCCTTGACCTCGAAGTCAGTTAACTTCAAATTACCCTTGGCGACATGGGGCGGCTCGTTCTCAAGAAGTCTGAGCGGAGGTTTGGGGGGTGTCCTCGGTCTGGCGGGTCCTTCTTGGTCCATCGCTTGTGATGAAGGACTCCCTATGTGCTCTTGATTAACAGGTGCAGGCTGTGGATTGGCCGGATCCTTCGAGACCCCACTGTATCGAGGCTCTGCATCTACCATGATAGAAGGTTCATTGTCAGCACCGTCCTGGGGTCCAGGAGACATAGGCGGTGTAATGGGACCGTCAGTGAGCATTGCTTCAGAGTCTCGGCGGAAGGATGTCGGTTGAAAGGGGGGGTTACTTGCTCGGATTTCAGATGGTATAGGCAAGGACGAAGAACGGGGAAATGGGAGGATGGGTCGGTCCATGTTTGGCAAGTAGATGAGGCGAAGCCCAGAGTAAGCAGGTGTAGATCGCTTGTTAATAAACAGATGCCAGTGGCAGATCAATTGGTTTTCGCAGAAGGGTTGACGTGGTCCGTGAAACCCAGAGGAAATATTATAACGAATATGAGGTCAATCACTTAGGCTTGAGCGTTCTATTGGCACCTCCAGTTCAGTTGCTCTGGAACTCTGCAACGCATACGAAGGTCACACGTACGGTATGTTGCTCTGATTATGCCGATATACTTCTCGCGTCCTGCGCCAGAGGAAGCCCTAGAACTGGTTGGTGGTTGCAAGATGTGACGAATTTCACTCAATGTACAGAAGGAGGTAAGCAATAAAGAGTAGAGTAATGGAACAAATACCTACAGGCTGCAGTGGGAGCGCGGCAGAGTACGTGCTGTGCGACGAACCGAGATCTTCCATAATCGGTAATTTCCCTTTCGAAAGCCGCGCGATCACCGTGGACGACGTGCGAGAACCCATCACTGCTGCAGCTTCAGTAATACCCAGGCCGCTGTATCCTCATCCAAGTTAGTGTCGACCAGAAGCATGGGCTCGTTACGGCGGAGGAGGAGCAGGGGACGCGACGCCTGAAAGCGCAATCGGTTCTGGTACCTCGCTTCAGTGCTTATTGATTATTGGTGGAGCGCGAGACCATGATACAGCCTAGTTGCAGCAGTCCGTTGAATTCGAAGCGGAAGTCGACAGGAAGAGAGAACCTTATTGCAACATAAGGGGAGCCTCTCGGTATGATATGTTCTGGTCGTAGGAAGAGTTGCACGGTCTCGCTGAAAATGGCAAGCCAGGCAAGGGATAAGCCATAGTCGCTTGCCGGCTGGTCCAGGTATAGTTAGTTAGTAGAAAGAGACATCGCCTCCAAAGGTTTACTGTAAGACGTGGCGCGGAGAAGCATATTGGTGCTGATCCAGGCTATGATACATAGTTCGTCTTCTACGTCCGTGCTACTATAATACATTAGGAACATGCGACAGGATAGCGATAAAAATTGCGAAAGCAAGAGAATAACGATGACCATATATCACCTGAGAATACATTACAGCGGCCGTAGCTTTGATACAAGACAAAATATCATGGTCGCAACTACGCCGTAGACAAGGTCATGAGTTTACGTGTCGTTAGTCCGGGTGATGAGCAGATTCACGCATCAGCTGCGCCGGCGCGACCTCGGTGTCGGAGGGGGCCTGCTCACAGCCCTCTCCGGCGGATCTTCATGCAGCTCGAAGGTAACCCCAGGTCTGTACCTCCTATCCTTCCCGCGCTGTACTTGCTCTGCCTCAGCCTGATTTCTCCATTCTTGTGTCGCCGCCCAAGGGTCTCGGTATGGAATGGGGGGTGGAGACGTGCTCAGAGTGGAAGCCGTAGGAGAGTTGAGAACGGTTGTCTGAGCGATTTGTAAGCACGAGAATCTGGCATTCTATGAGAGAACTTCTCACCGCTGTCCCATCCAGTGCTTCGACGGACGCCGACGACATAGTCCGATGTCTCTTGGGGGTGAGAATTTTCGCGAACAAACCCTGCTTCGCAGCTGGGCTCTTTCTTCCAGACGGCTGTACGGGTATCTGCAGAGCCACAGGACGCGCGCCTTCGATCCTTGACGAGGAGCTGGGTGCAGCCTTCTTACCGTCGCGCGACGGCTTCGCCACTCGAGACGAGGTAGGATGCTCCAAAACTTCCTCTTTGGTTCCAGAATCTAAGCGCGAGTACACCATCTGGGAAGTCTTCGATTTCGACTGAGGAGGGGCATCCCATATCTCGTGAGAACTAACGAAAGAGTCAGTCGGTTTGGCAGGCCCGGATGACTTCGTGCGAAACAGCGTATTGAAGAAACCGCCCTTCTTCTTCGCAGAGTCTTGTGAGGGCGTGGCGGAAAGCGGTGGCGGCACGGGAGTGACAGACGGCGTCACCAAAGAAGACGGAGTCTTCAGCCCGTCGGACTCTCGGGAACGCGACGTATTGACGGGAGGCGGCACTATTAACGCGGGTGTTGGTTTGGACGCTAGGGGCGAGGCTACGGGCCGCTTTGGCTGTAACTCTGCTGGAACAGACGACGTTTGAGCATGGGCGCTTTGAGACAGCAGAACAGTGTCTGTGTTGCTTCTGACAGGAGTGGGAGTCAGTGCAGGATTCGATGTGGTCGGGACTGCAGACATCGATAATGACACAGTAGACTTGTGGTGCTCAGTCGTACGTTCAGGATGAGCGGTGGGTTTAGAAGGCCGAGACGGGTCAGGACTCTTTGCGTGGGACAGGGGCGACGGAGCAACAATGTCGGCTGTTGGATGCAATGATGATGCTTCACGATTCCGAGTGTCCTGCGGCCTCTCTTGGGTTCTTTGACTATGAGCACCTGGGCCCACACGCTGAGCCGATGCTGTGGAACGTGGTTCAGCCCTTGGTGGACCGTATCCAGCAGGGAGAGCTGCAGGAGGAATGGAAGGAGGCAGGGAGATCGGGGCTTGGGAACTCTGTGCTGCCTCCACGGACGATTTGCGATCAGTAGATGTTGGCGGTATGGATGCACCTGTATGTGGGAGTTCTGAACTGTAGCCTCGTGCAGCATGATCTGGGGGCTTATTGGGCTTCACAGATGCAGGTGGAATACTTTGAGCGACGTCTTGCATGGCGGGTGGCTGTGGGTATGTAGATCGAGTTTGACCAGGGTATACACTAGATGCAGGGTATCCCGAGGATTCTTGTGGTGCAGGGTGATTCTGAGCGCGAGAAGCGCTGCGTGCAGGAATATTAGAAGAATGGATATTATCAGTTGCATTGGCAGCAGCAGCAAGATGTGTTATGTCCTGAAATCGCTCTGGAGGAAGATACGCTGGTGAATCCCTCATAGGAAGAGGTCTCATAAGGACCGGTCGAGGCGTAACCTATCCAAAGGACGTCATGAGATCAAGTGTGCATAATGTGTAAACCTTTGCGAACTCACGTCGTTGTCAGGTATGTCATTGTTAGAATTAGATCGAGAATAAGGTGGGACAGCCAAGCGGCGAGGCTCCTGAGGCGCTGGCGCTCCAGTGGTGGACTGTGGTACGTTGTGAGAATAGACGATCCGGGATACGGATTCACTGGGTCTCGGGTTGGCACCGACGTCACGCTGGGGAGCAGGGTGCTGATCCGGTACTTCTCTCAGCGGACGAGAAGGCGTTCCCTGAGGGACTTGAGTTGGTGGCCGGTTCGGAGAGCCTGAGTTAGTGAAGATCATCCTGGCTGTTGCGACCTTGGCCGAGCTGGGCGTCGAGAACAACTGGCCAGGAAGTTCTTGTGTGGGAGCGATCGGATGCACTGCACCGTCTGTGACGCGAGGTTGACGAGGGGGAGAATGTCTGATGGACGCGGAACTCGAGGGTTGAGCACGATGCGAAGGGCCATGATCGACAGATGGCTGAGGCACCGATAGATGTACATTCCACTCGTCAGCAAGCACCTCTTCATGTCTGGTGGGAGGCGTTAGGTCTTGTGCCGTATGAGGTGGACGTGTGGGACTAGACCTTAGCTTCCCGGAGCGCAATCGAGCAGACGACGAAAGTATCGGCGTTTCTGACGTTCCTGCGGCAGGATCGCCAACTCTAGGTACCAAAGAGGTTAGTTCGTCCATTCCATGATTTGATTTCTCCGCTACACGAAAACGGGGAGAGTGATCTAACTCCTGCAAAGGTATACTGTTCGAGGCCGCGAGAGCCACTGGTGGACCCAGGGGCTGATCCACTGTGTGAGTCGTCCGAGGCGCGAAGGAAGCGGCGGCAGGCGGAGGCTCCTTAGAAGGAGGAGCTATCTGGTAAGAACGCGCTATCTGCTGCCCAGCAGTCTCTCCCTCCGTATCGTTAGCTAAGGCTGTCGCAGATTGCGCGCGCGGTGGATCCCCTCTGGCGGACCTGTAGAGATGTTCTGCAGAGTTCTTGCTCCGGACCGGGGGCTCTCGTTGACTGCCGGGAATGCCAGACACTCTCTGATTAACCTGAATCATTTCGGGGGAAAGCGTGTTTGTCTGCGCGGCATTCCTCGACTCAGTATGCCCATTGCCAGGAGACGCAGAAGGACGAAACGGATCCGACAGTATTTCGCTCAGAGACGCGACGAGGTTCTTGGGAACAAGCTTACGTTCCTGATGACCGCCGGTTTGTTCTCCCTGAGCCGGGCCTGGAGGCTGGTTGAAGGATGAGGAAGGCGTCATTGCAACAGCAGCCGAAGGTCTCTGAGATGACGTCCCACTTGGCACATGAAGGATAGGCTTATACTCTGGCAGCACAGAATAGGAGAGCGGGATCTGCTGGGACTGTGAATGATGGCTAAAACCATTCGGATGCTGAGGATCGTAGGAACGTGTTATGGAAGGAACAGTCTGGCTCTGAGGCTTCTGTTGGTCTGCTTGGCCAGATAACGACCGTTGCATGTGAGGAGAATCTCTGTTCACGCCGACTGTAGCAAGGTCAGGATCATGCCCATGACCCCTGTCTACTCGTTCTGTCGTCCGCTGAGAGTCCACAGGTTGGAGTTGCGTGTGATCGTTCAAGTTAGGGCGATGGTCATATGAGGCTGACTGGGACACGGGGAGCTGTCCATGGACATGGCCTTCGGAAGCTGGAAGGGGGCGTCCCTGAGGAACAGACGAAGGCACCAACCGACGACCGTCATCTGCATCAAGACTACCTGTACCTCGCCTCGGCGTCCGTTCTGTTTGTGCTGAACTACTGCCACCTACGATGGGCGTCTGGTGCGGCGGGGTCCCGACTTTGACATCTCTTCGGAACGAAGGCTTGCGATTAACAGAGTGAGGCACAGGTGGTATATCATATTGAGGCAGGATCGGCGTCGGTTGGACTCGAGCTGATGAGCGGCCATCTGGCACCGGACTAGAGTAGACTAAAGGAGTGGCCGACGAGTAGGCAGCATTGGAAGACGGCGCCACTTGATACGATGGAAAGGCGACAGTGGTATTTCCTCTAGCCTCGGGCACCAACCGGTCGCCGTGCCGAGACTGCTCTCGTGATGAGACGGGCGGGGCTGCGGGGGAAGACTTCTTCCAGGCTTCATCCATTGCGTCTAGGGTCGCAGGCGCAGGAAAGGACATCGCAACAGGACGTTGATTTGACGCATCCGTAAGAGGAACGTTTGCTTGCAGTGGCGCGTTGCTAGTCCCATCGGCAACAGACGTGGAAGCATTCGACGTTACTCCCGTCGCGCCTCTACTTACATGATCCACAGGAAGACCTGGAGGGACAACTGGAGCAGCAGAAGGGCGAGGAGTTGCATGGACTCGCTCTCTCTCTCGCTCTCTTTCTCTACTGTCGATAGCAATGGGTTCTCCCTCAGTGCGAGCGGCAGTTGTTGAGACGTTCGTAGGCGCGGACGTCCCTGCAGCCGCAGAGGCAACTTGTGGCCCGGGGGTGGGATGAGAATGCCGAGACACTTCCGGCGCATTGGGCCCTTTGCTCCTATCATTCTTTGACTTAGCCTTTGTCGACTCTCGACGAAAAAGCCAGTTCAACGATCCCTTTTTCTGCGGACCAATGATTTCAGCAGCTTTCGGTTGAGGAATGATAGGCACCAACCTGGTGTCCTCCTGAAGTTTCTTGAGCGGCAATATTGCCTGCTACATGCTCCTCATTGGACTTTGGCTCTGGCTGCTTAGCCGGATCAAGCACTGGCAAAACACCAGAGTGGTGTTGACCTTGCCCACCGACTACCATATCCACGGGTTTCGCGCTCGAAGTCTGTCGAAAAGGACGTTAGGTATGGACGAATAACGTAATAGGTAACGAACTTGGGTCCGATTGTATTCTCTCTCGGTCTCACTTCCAGCTAACGCGGCCTCTCGGTCGCGATTCCTCGCTAAATCCTTTCCACGATAGGACTGGTGGTACCGTTCTTGATCCACAACCTGATGCTGCGGTTGAACCTGCATGACAGTACCACCGTGACGGCTCCGGTAGAGACTAGCTGAGCTTGACGTAGGTCCGTTAGCGGTGAAACTAGCTCGCGTTGTCGCATCATCCGGGCCAGCAGTATACGCTGCTGGAGGTTGCGCTTTCTGCTGATACACCATTGGTTGACGATATGCGTAATCTTGAGCCTATACACGCACATATGGTCAGAGAAAGGAGCGTATACTCTCTAAGGACAGCACTTGCAGCAGAACTACCAGTCACAAATTCCGCCTGATAACGACTACCATGAGCTCCTGCCAATCGCCTACGCGAAGCATCCGATTCATCCGAATCTTTATGCCTATCTTCTGGATACTGCCGTGTCGGTTGTGTAGACCTCGAGAGTTTTCGTGATTCTGCTTTCCTCGCATCGTCCGCTCTTCTATCTTCTTTCGCAACGCGATAACGCTCCTCCGCATAGGTTCTCTCCGCGAGTTGCCTTGCCCTTTGCTTTTCCTCTTCTCTTTGCCTCCGCCGTCTCACCCTGTCCTCCTCATCGCGACGATCGTATTCCTCCTTTGAACCACGACCCGTCGATTTCGTCCTGACCTTCTCTGAAGAACCATCATAAGGCCATGCTTGCGAAACAGCAGTTGCGGAGGGCGTGGCGGCAGGAGCAGTGCGAGGTGCTGATGAAGTCGCATGTTCCTGACGAGCATAGTGAGCACGACGAACGTCTTCAGTGGTTGGAACCCTGTCAGCCGAAGCACTGGGTCGCTCTAATCCGTTCCGCCGGTAGTGAGGGTACGGGACAGACGTTTCCACTTTTTCCTTCCGCCTATTCTCATCGTCTGCGCGCGGATACGATGGTTGGTAAATCGGCGCCTGAGGTCTGGCGGTCGATGTAGTATGCTTCTGGGGATGGGTGGCATACTGACTCTGCGTACGGCTAGAAGTAGCTTTGCTTGCAGAAACACCCGAGATAGGGTGGGAAGCAGAGGTGCGGTGTAAGGAAGACGAGATGTGTCCATTGGAGGAGTAGACTCGACTCGATAAGTGAGGCCTCCGAGAGGATTCTGCCATGGATCCAATGTTGTCATAGCTATGTTGTTGGGTGCTCGAAGGTCTTCGCCGACTCTGCTCTGGAGGTCCAGCAGGGGGAATCCAGCGTTCGTGATTGTGGGTGTCTTTGGGTGTCGAATCGTAAGTGTCATAACGCCGACTGCTCATCTAGTCATTCAGTTCAAGTGCCAACGGCGAAGGTAACAGTCTGGGACAACAGCTTCAGGGTCGTTTTATAGGGAAAGAAGGAATGCACTACGAAAGCGAACATAGAAGGAAAAGGCAGCGCCCGTGGCGGACATGAGGCATCGAGCACCGTGAGCAACCGGTCCAAGAACAGTTCCGTGTCTCCACTGGCGTACTAACGACGCATTTGGGATTTCTGCCCATTGATGTCGGAGAACATAGAATATATCCAACAGGACATGATCGAACATGCAAAGTGCAGCTGCCCTATCTAAGCCGATTCTAGGCAACCTTGACCGTTTGAATGACAGTTGTCTCGTCAACGAATGCACATCCTTGTTGCAATCCAAATGCTTCAGCTTCAACACCCACTAATTCTAAACTCCCCAATTAGAGCGGGACAGACCCTCAGGCCTCAGGCATAAAACTCTCCGCGATCCAGTCGACCGCAGATTGCCCTCGGGCCTCATATGCATGCAAAACACCTGATGATGCTTCCAAACATACAGCGACACACTTGCAACTTACACAGCCTGCTATGCACAATTCTGTTGAATGAGATAATTCATGTATATTACTACTACATAGGCATAGACGATGTAACATTGAGAACTGTATGCCACAGGTATAGGGAGGACTCGCATACGTGCCCCATGGCAGGACAAGCGAGCTCTTCCATACCAATTGGCCGAGCCCAAGATGGGGAACAAGCTGACCATGATTCAATACGAGTCACAGGCCAGGCATTCCCCCAGGGTTACTCTTACACGATTTTGACTCATTACCGACAGTGAACAGCGGAAAAGCTGGTAAAGGTGGAAACCTTCCTGTCGACATAATTTAAGGGATCGTGTGGTGACTGCTGGTCCTCGAAGAGCAAATACGGCCGACGTTCTTATCAAGTCAATGATGATAACACATAGTATTACAAACAAGTAAGATAGCCAGCGTCGAGCGTGGTCGAGTGCGAAGACCTGAGGCTTTTGGCAAAGGCTTTGTTGGCCTTATATAGGTTGGCTGTGGCGAGACTCGATTACCAATACTGGCGCGGGTCCGCCCGGACTCCGCGCAGAGACTGCACTTCGCAGTGACCTTAATAACGCCGTCATCCTCAACGCGCTCGTCTATTTCGCTCTCTTTTCTATTGCTGCACTGCGAACGCGGCCTGTATCGTATCAGAAACTAGTGACTCGAAAGAGGAACGCAGTGCTGGCATAGGAGATCGAGTCATTTGGTACGTGTATCATGCTGGTTCTATCATTGTCGGTACAGCCTTAGCCATTCCCTATCCTCTCCAGATGAAACTATGGACGCCCTGGACGAGAAAACTAACGGAGTTCCTCCTATGGAAGTGGATGAAGTAGTGTCCGTCCTGGATCGTAAGTGAAAGGCTTCTCCGAGGCGCGTTTATAGTCGCTGATGCATGTTTCGCTATCAAGACGATGCGTTCGCTGCCAAGCATATGCCAGACCTGGGCCATGAAGTGAAGGAGTTCAAGGTGTACCATTGGAAACTATCAAACTGGAAGAAGCTGGAGAAGAAGCTTACGAGCCCAGAATTTGAGTGTGGCGGGCACAGATGGTACGAATCGTTTGACTCGCGGATGCCTCTTTAATAAAGGCAATGTTGCCAGGCGCATATTACTGTTTCCGTTCGGCAACTCGAACGCGCCGCCGAATGATACCGTGTCTGTATATCTCGACTACGCCAACCCCAAAAACGCGCCGGAGGGTTGGCACGCTTGTGCGCAGTTTGCTTTAGTTATCTCGAATCCTCACGACCCAACGATCTACACCGTCAGCCGTGCGTATATACCTTCCATGAATTTTATGCGCTTCTGACTCGTGGATACATCAGATGCGCATCACCGGTTCATCGCAGAGGAATGTGATTGGGGCTTCACGCGGTTCAGCGAATTGAGGAAGCTGTTCACGGTACAAGAAGGACATAATCGGCCGACAATCGAAGACGAATCAGCCATGGTGTCTGTCTTTGTCCGAGTGTTGGAAGATCCTACGGGTGTCCTCTGGCATAATTTCGTCAAGTAGGTACATTTCACTCGTGAGACAATCTGTTATCAACGAACCCCTTTTAGTTATGATTCGAAGAAGGAGACAGGTTACGTGGGCCTGAAGAATCAAGGCGCTACATGTTACATGAACTCCCTACTCCAGTCCCTCTATTGCACACGATATTTCCGAAAGGTATGGGAAGTTGTGAAGTTGAATTGGGTGTCCGAGATGTGACTAGTTTTGATAGGCTGTCTATCAAATTCCGACGGAAGACGAGCACCCTACTGAAAGTGTGGCTCTTGCTTTACAGCGGGTCTTCTACCATCTGCAGACATCCGACCAGCCAGTCGGTAAGTGATACTTTCCCACAGATATTCCTCGCCTATAACGGTTTAACAGGTACTACCGAATTGACAAAGTCTTTCGGGTGGAAGTCCTTGGACTCCTTCCTGCAACATGATGTGCAGGAATTCAACCGAGTCTTGCAAGACAAGTTGGAATCCAAGATGAAGGTAACACATATTCGACAAGCCTTGGCAGAAGGGGCTGAAGTAGTTCACAGGGCACGAAAGCGGAGGGCGCCATTGCTAAGCTCTTCCTGGGTAAAATGAAGAGTTATATCAAGTGCGTCAATGTCGATTACGAGTCATCCCGTATCGAAGAGTTCAGCGGTGCGCATCATCGCCTTGATCATCTCATGTTAGCTCACATCGAACACCTATTGACAGACATTCAGCTAAACGTCAAGGGAATGAAGAACCTGTATGAGTCGTTCAAGGATTATGTCGCTGTCGAGACCCTGGACGGTGATAACAAGTACCAGGCAGAAGGTTATGGTTTGCAAGATGCCAAGAAGGGTATCATCTTTCAGTCATTCCCTCCCGTCCTCCATTTGCAATTGAAGCGCTTCGAGTACGATATTCAACGCGACGCCATGGTCAAGGTGCGTGTCGTATGCTAGAGTCCAGTGCTACATCTGACATATGAGATCAGATCAACGATCGTCATGAATTCCCTTTCGAGATTGATCTCGACGAATTCCTGGATGAGACAGCTGACAGGTCGCAACCATGGGTTTACAAGCTGCACGGTGTCTTAGTTCACTCTGGCGATTTGCACGGCGGTCACTACTTCGCTCTGATCAAGCCTGACCGTGAGACACGGTGGCTGAAGTTCGATGATGACCGAGTGACTCCTGTGACTGATCGAGAGGTGCTGGAGGAGAACTACGGAGGCGAGCCTCTAAACGGAGTCCCTCCCGCAATGCAACGCAACCAGGTTCGGGCGATGAAGAGGTTTACGAACGCGTACATGTTGGTGTACATCCGTGAATCAGCGATTGATGAGATCCTTGCACCTTTCACGGAGGAAGACACCCCTGCCCATCTCAGTGAGTGCAATCTCTCATTGGCTGGATGTCTATGTGCTGATGTCTTTCTGCTAGAACGACGCTTGGACGAGGAACGGTTACAATTGGAGGCCAAGCGGAGGGAGAGGGAAGAACAGCACTTGTTCTTGACTGCCAAGGTACGTAGGAGTTTGGGACTGGGTCAACGATGCTGAAAATTTTCCAGGTTATCACAGACGAGACATTTGCGCGACATGAAGGGTTCGATTTGGCTTCTTTCGATGAAAAGAATTGGCCGCCCTCCGATCTTCCAAGCTTCCGTGTTCTGAAACAGGAAACCTACCCCGTATTCAAGAGTCGGGTGGCGCAGCACTTCCATTACCCCGAGAACCAGATACGCCTATGGGTTTTGGTGAATAGACAGAACAAAACTGTGCGGCCCGATACCCACATACCCGAGAATGAGCCTACGTTAAGTACGTCGCCTATTTATCCGCTCCCTCGTTTCCTGACGTGTTCCCGCAGCCGTGGAGGTCATTCGTAATAACATGGCTGCCAGGCAGAACGATCTCCGACTATATCTGGACGTAGTCACTGACCCGTCCAAGGTAGTACACATCTGCACTTTTTTGTAATTATCTAGCTAACTCGTTTGGCCTCCGAACCAGCCAGACCCGCCCCCGGGATCCATCATGATATTCCTGAAGCATTTCGACACGACAAAACAGACGCTCTATGGTGTGGGCAAGTGTTACGTCCAACGGAATGCCAAGGTCGGCGACCTAATGCCCATAATCAATGAGAGAATGAGATGGACACCTGGCACGCCACTCAAGCTTTATGAGGTGGACGAACAAGTAACTGGGTGTAACGGTTGTGCTAATATTACCTGTCCAGGAAATCAAACCGGGAATGATCGAGCTCATGAAGCCCAAACTTACCTTCGCGCAGAGCGAAATTCAGGACGGTGATGTGATTTGTTTCCAAGTCGAGATTAACGACAAAGAGTGAGTTTAAAGCAACCGATCTCCGACACCATGCTTATGTAGGGTCAGGGTCCACGACCTCGAGAGTCAAGGTCTCTATTCGAATCCCGTGCAATATTACGACTTCCTTCAGAACCGCGTTATGATCATCTTCCGACCCAAGTTTGAGGAACCAGACGCATCTCATCCGGAGTTCAATTTGGTGCTGAGTAAGAAGCAAAACTATGACATCGTAAGTGTCTTGGTACGAACGTTGGATTGGGGCTCAACATCTACCATAAGATGGCCACCAAAGTAGGGGAATACTTACGGCATGACCCGATCAAACTGCGGTTTACTACGACACATGCAACGAACGGGACACCGAAGGCGGTTTTGAAGCGGTCTCTCAATCAGAGCATCGCAGAAATCATGGCGCCCAGCTACGTGAACCCTACGACGACTGTCATCCTCTACGAGAAGTTGGATGTCAGCATAGTGGAACTAGAAACGAAGCGGAGCCTCAAGGTTATCTGGACGGGTATCCACAACAAGGAGGAGGCCTCGCACTCGTTCCTGCTCCCGAAGACGAGCATGGTACATGACCTTGCGGATCATCTGGCCAAGCTGGTAACTCTAACACCGGATGGTACGGGCAAGATTCGCATATTCGAGGTTTCCAAAGATGGCAAGACACAGAAGGAATTCACTGGGTCGGAAATGATTGGGAATATACCAGACCCAGTGGAGCTATATGCTGAGGAGATACCGGTTGAGGAAGCCGAGGCAGATGACCACGACAAGGTCATCAGCGTCTTCCACTTCTCAAAGGAGGTGTCAAGGACGCATGGAGTGCCCTTCAAGTTTGTTGTCAAGCCTGTGTGTCCTAATCATTATGTCTCTCTCGAGTTGTCACTGACTATAGTTTGTCTCCAGGGTGAGAAATTCTTGGAGACAAAGAAACGTCTTCAAGCTCGGATAGGCGTCTCAGACAAGGACTTCGCCAAGTATCGCTTTGCACTTGTGCAGGTTGCGACGTTTAAGCAGCCATCATACATCGAAGATGGTGAGTGTATCCTTACACAGACGGATGCGGGACCTTAACCCGATTTTGCAGAGGATACCATATACGATCATAAGTTCGCGCCCGAAGACGCACTAGGATTGGACCACGTAGACAAGTCTGGCAAGACACGGACAGGCACAGGGGAGAAGGCGATTGTCATCAGAGGCTGAACTGCGAAGTGAGTATGGTGATTTGTGCGCTTGTCATTTAGCCCTACAGTGGGCGGACATGTTTGGCTCTCGCTGTATGCTATGGAGTGATTACCGAGGGATTGCTGTAGTGTTACTTGCAACTGTATTATTTCTTTCTCAATTTTATAACTGAACGCTCATGATGCTCGATGCAAGGGATGTTTCAATGATGCAACCAGAGAACAAAGGAGGAACAGGTGATAACATTCGTTCTACTTCCGCTTCTTGCCCTTCTTATTGGACTAGACAGGGATCAGACATCACCAATACTCACATGAGGAAAGAGACGCACAGATTTCGAAGGTGACTTAGGCGACGAAGGTGAAGGCGAACGCGTTCTCTCGCTCTCGTTCCCACTGTCAGCACCTGGGGCAGACGGTGGTGTAAGGCCATTCGCATTCGCCAATGGCGGGCTTGCAGGCTGAAGAGGGGCTGATGGCTTAGGGGATTGAGGGAGGGTCTCGGGTCCTGCCGCGATCGCTTTCTTCGTCTGCTTGCCATACTTTGCCTCTGACGACACGTGAATTGGAAGGAGACATCCCAGCAACGACATGACATACCCTTCTCCGCCCTTGCCTTGGCCGACGCTTCGATCACGCCCCGTATTTTCTCGTTGTTTATCATCTCGCTAGCGGTCTGGAAGATTATCTGACCCCAACCCTCGACAAATGTATTCGCCTCAGCCACGACTTCCAGAATCTCTGCTTCCATCTCCTTTTCCGCCGCCAATAGACTGTTCCATAGATCGTCTCCAACAGATCCCTTCTGCAGCAAGAGCTGCAATGCGGGCTTGTCTTCACGGATTTTAAGGATTCGCTGGACGTCAGCTACCGCGCGGCGGAGCAGAGCAGCTTTAAGGAGCGTCTCATTTGCAGGTGGATCGGTCTGTTGTAGGAGGGTAATATACTGGTTTCGCTCCACATGCGAGGGGAAATAAGGTTCCAATTGTCTCTCTAATGAGACGCGTCGAAGTCAATACATGGGCCGGTAAGTAACTCAGCGGAGACGAACTGGCGGCGCGTTTGCGGTAGAAATAACTGAAGATTCCGAGACTGCCGATGACAAGGACAAGGTACAGAACGGGAACGAAGACCGAGGCCATTCCCAAGAGAAGGAGGGAGAAAGAGAGGACTACTATGAGCTGGCAGAGACAAGCAATGAAGCAGGCAATAATGCGGTGGCAGGTGACCTGGCCGGACGCGCTGCCGCAATGCAGCCGCATCAAATTGTTTGGCTTTACTTGGCTCCGGTGGCGGCAGCTGTCTCCGTGAAGTCGATCGCCAATCTCAGGCTCCCCGGTATTTAAGTAGCCGGAACTCATGCGGGGTAGGCAAGTGTCCCCGGATTGCTCCTCGTCCCCTCTGACATGTTTGCCCAAAGCACCATCCGTAAAGTCACCTTCAAGAGGGCAACGTGCGGTTTGACCCAGAGGAGACTCGCTTCGACTCAGGTAGGTTCCAGCCAGTGCTCGCGGTGCATTGTGTTCATCATAGAGTGCGCACCGTGTCTGGTAGTCTCTGAAGGAAGTCTTGCAAGACGTAGTGCCAGCTAAGCAGGAACAGTTGAAGAAGCTCGTGAGTCCATTCAATCGGTAGGTTTGGGACCCCGTTCTCAAACAGATTGTAGAAAGCCGAACACGCGCAGACCGTGATCGGAGATGTCAAGGTAAGACTCGTAACATGATTGAAATAAACGGCGTTGCTGAGACGCAGCAGGTTGAGCAAGTTGTCGGCGGTATGAGAGGGCTCAAAGCTATGCTTTGGGAAGCGTCGGTGTTAGACCCAAACGAGGTGACGTCTGAGCAGTCCCCTTCGAGGCTCAAACATCTCACCAAGCTCCTTTGCTAGGGCATCCGCTTCCATGGCATGACTATACCAGAATGTCAGAAACACCTCCCAGCGGCTCCTGGGGGAAAGGAGATTCTACCTGAAAGTATGCTGTGGCTGCTCCTCACAGGACAGGTCCCTACCGAGAGCCAAGTTCGACAACTCTCTGCGGAACTGGCGGCCAAAGGAGCATTGCCTTCTTACGTCGAGAAGCTTATTGACTCGTATGTCACTGCGTCTGCTTAATGTAAGATGATCTGACGTCGCTCTCAGGCTACCGAACAACCTGCATCCCATGACGCAGCTGGGTATGGGTGTCGCCGCCTTGAATAAGGAAAGTGTCTTCGCAGAAGCCTACGAGAAAGGCATTAAGAAGAGCGAATATTGGCACTACACGTTGGAAGACTGTCTCAACCTGATTGCCCGGCTACCGGCTCTCGCCGCACGCATATATCGCAATGTCTACAATCCCGGTGCTCCGATACCTGAAGTGTCCTCTGATTTGGATCTCGTGGGTCCGTACGAAGATGGTTGCCCATCTTGCATCCGCTTTTCTGACATGCCTTACAGGAAACTACGCCAGGATGCTAGGATTCGCGAACGAGGACTTGACTGAGTACCTCCGCCTGTATATCGCTATTCATGGTGACCATGAAGGCGGCAACGCATCTGCTCACACCGCTCGTGCGTCACTTAATGTGCACTAGGACCTTGGTTATCGTATCTAACCATGTCAACGGCAGATCTGGTCGGTTCTACCCTTTCTGACCCATATCTGTCCTACTCGGCGGCGTTGTATGCGCTAGCTGGCCCCTTGCACGGGTAGGTCAGAAGCTTGTCGTTGTACAGTTATCGCTGAGATTATCCTTCTTGCAGTCTTGCCAATCAAGAAGTATTACGGTGGCAGCTCGCCATGCAGAAGGAACTGGGCGACAACGTTACCCATGATCAGATTAAGGATTACCTGTGGAAGACTCTTAAGAGCGGACAGGTCGTGCCGGGGTATGCAACAGGTGCTCCCGCAATGTTTGCCGCATCCTCACCGTGTCGTTGAATTCTAGATACGGCCACGGAGTGCTGAGAAACCCCGACCCGAGGTTTATGGCCCTGCAGGAGTTCTGCGATGCTCGCCCGGAGTTGCTTAAGAGTCCCATTATCCAAATGGTCAAGAAGGCGAGTACAGCAAGGTCGCCTCTTCAGATGGTCGACTTCATTGACCTCGACACCATGTAGACTTATGAAGTTGCACCAGGTGTCCTCAAGGAACATGGGAAGGTACGTATGCGGGCACAATTGGTCTATGCCCTGGGCTCATTTGTCTTGGCTTGATAGACGAAGAACCCATACCCCAATGTCGACGCCACCTCTGGTACGTGCTTCGCCTCCGTATTTCCTGTGGACATCCGCTCAATATCCATCTCCAGGTTGTGTACTATACCATTATGGTCTGACTCAGTTCAAGGTGAGTCTTCGCACCGCACCGTAAGCATATGGCTAAATAAAGATCCCTCTCAGTACTACACGGTCATTTTCGGCGTCTCCAGAGGTAGGCTTGATGTGTGTTGCCCGTCTTACGGAAAAAAATCTGACGATCTCCGTCTCAGCTTTGGGTGCACTTACTCAGCTGGTGTGGGCTAGAGCGTTAGGCTTACCTATCGAGAGGCCTAAATGTAGGTGCACCTTGAATACCACGGTGACTTGCGGCTCACGTTCTTCTGTCCATGGACAGCGCTCTCAATGGATGCGATTGAGAAGCTCATCGGCGCCTCCCGCTAAGCTTCATGGTCAACTCATCAGTAAGCTGATCTGTTTCAATCTGGGGGATGCGATGCATGCAAGCCAGGTTTAGCAGCGGCTGGGGAGCAGACACTGCAGTCGCAAAATTAACATCGCATGGGAACGCGGATAGTTCCCACTGTAATAATAATCAGTCATACGGAATAACTAGTAATCAAGAACATGATCCGTTGCACTTGCAAGTCGTATCACGATGGTACTGTTCCAATTGATTCGGCGAACGGGACATCGTATCGAGCCCAGAGAACGCTCTGTTTGTCTCTAAAGAGTTCTGGCCATGAGAAGCCGTCAACATAGATTGCTTCACAACCACTAAACACGATGGAAGCCAAAGGAAAAACAGAAAAACTATTCTGACACACAATCGCTGCGTAAGCCCCCAAGCTGATGTACATGGGTAAAGGAGTGCAAAGGAAAATGAAAGGAAACCGGACGTATCCTCTTATATTTACAGGCCCAATGAGCAATCAGGTTCACGACGCCAGGCCGGGAATTCAAGAAAGCCTCGGCGACGTCATCAAGTCCTGAACAGAGTTCTGCCTTGCTCTCCAATAGAAAGCAAATTGAAGTCCTGCTAGCTATCTGCTCATGTACAGACGCAGAGGCTGCAAGCCTGACGATTAGAATCTGCCGCCTTGACCAGGAACGGGTTGGCGCATCTGCGGAGGCGGAGGAGACCTAAACCCTTGCGGAGCTGGCATGCCAGGCCCTGGCATACCCATCGGCGGCCCGGGCCTTGGCTGACCAGCGCCTGGTCCGTATCCTTGCGGAGGGAATCCGCCAGGGCCTGGTGGAGGAGCACCGTTGGGTCCTGGCGGCGGGTATCCTCTGCCAAAGCCCCCTGGAGGAGGCGGGCCACCGGGCCCTGGGGGAGGTCCGCGCATACTCGCGCCAGGGGCAGGGCCCGGGAAGCCGCCTGGGGGTGCGGGGCCCGCGGGGCCTGGTGGGCCGCGCTGCTGCTGGGGAGGCGGGGGACCCTGGTTCGGCGGGACTTGGCCTTGGGGAGGACGGGCACCCGGGTCACGGAGGGTGACGGGCACGGGCTGCCGGCCGTGGAGGGTGGGCGTGGATGCTGAGGGAGAGGGTCCCCCTGACTTCTCTGCCGCTTTAATAATCTCATCGCTTTGGGGCAAGAGCAAGCGTTAGAGACTGCAACGGTTGATCTCGCCAAGCAAAGCCTAGAGGAACTCACTCGAGCAGGTTGAGCGCAGCGCAAAGGACTACCCATTCCACACAGTCCTCGTTGCCTTCGCCAAGTGTCTGCCACACCGCCTTCTCCTCGGGCGTCTTGCCAGTGATGCTGATTCTCGTCCCTCCTCCGTTAGGCCCGGGCGGGTTCTTCTGGATCTTCCCAAACTCGATACGCTTCGGGGGTATGTTATGACCAGCATATGCAAAATAGAACATGCTCCAGAATCCAGCATTGGGGTTGGGTTTGCTGATTTGGAACAAGGGGAGGTCGGGCGAGTCGGGAGAGGGGAGGGAGAGCTTGTAGATAGGAGATATCACGCCAGTATTGGCTATGGTCCACTTGAGATTGCGAGACGCTTCGCAGCGCACGACACGCGGTTGTGATGCAGAGGCATGAGATGAAGACGAATGACCAGGGTCAGAAGCAGACGCTTTCGTGTTGGTCGGTGCTCCGGGACGGGGAGGGAAGAGCTTGGCGACACAAAGGTCGCCTTGCGGAGACGGAGTGAGCAGATAGTTTTCGGTGTTCTACTGGCACGTTCAGATAGAAGTTGAAGACGAGATACGCTGTACTCACGTAGTTTGTGTGCAGGTACGAATACAGGATATTCTGAGGTTGACCTGGGCGATCCATGAGCCGAGAGCTTCCGGAGCAAACAGGACTTACCTACCATGCGGCGTGACTATCAAGGTAGGTAAATGGTTGGGTATAGGCGGATGAGTGGGAGACGTGTACACGGCGTAAATCGCTGCAACTGCAGTGAGCAACGGACCGAAGCCGGCGAATCACCGGCCCAAACTCACCAGCCATGCTGCAACAAAGTCCTTACAAAGAGTAGTAAAACAGAGGAAATGAGAAACAAGTAGAAGGGAGAGCTAGCAGGCGGGAGTCAGGCAGGGGGTCGGCAGCGTTGCTAGTAGGATGCGGGCTGAAATGGACGCCTTCGGAGAAAGATCCGGGATATGCTGCTACACGCGACTACCATATTTATCCCCGTATACACGCTGCTGCGCTCGATCCTTACTCGTTGCTATAAATTCCCCATGTCATAGTCAACAGTCAAGACAACACGATCACACAACATAATGCAGAGAAAAAAAGAAATGAAGTGCGTTTAATCAGTGCGTATTGTACATGCGGTCATTATTTTGGTCATGTCCGGAAAGCGCGAAAATACAATACATTCATGCAGAGCAAATGACGAACACCCCTTAGTCGACCTCCTCAACGCTGGGACCATCCTCACCACCAGGTGCGCCGCCGGGGAAGCCACCAGGAGCAGCACCGCCAGGGAAGCCTCCAGCGCCGCCAGGGAAGCCACCCGCCGCACCTGCACCTGCGTACAGCTTCTGCATGATCGGGTTGGCGACGGCCTCGAGCTCCTTCTGCTTCTCCTCATACTCCTCCTTCGATGCTTCTTGTGAAGCGTCGAGCCATGAGATCGTCTCGTTGACGGCCGACTCGAGCTTGCTCTTGTCCGCGGCATCGAATTTGTCAGCCAGCTTCTCGTCGGTCAACGAATTGCGCAAGTTGTAAGAGTATGACTCGAGAGCATTCTTGGCCGTGATACGAGCAGCTGCCGCCTCGTCCTCAGCTAGAACCACATTCAGTCAGTATCGAATCTTCCACTGTCGAGTACGAGATTCAACTTACCCTTGTACTTCTCGGCCTCGCTGACCATACGCTCGATCTCCTCCTTCGACAACCGTCCCTTGTCGTTGGTGATCGTGATGCGGTTCGACTTGCCGGTCGTCTTGTCGGAGGCAGAGACGTTAAGGATACCGTTGGCATCGATGTCGAAGGTGACCTCGATCTGAGGAACACCACGAGGTGCAGGAGGAATGCCAGACAGCTCGAACTTGCCAAGCAGGTTGTTATCCTTCGTCCGCGCACGCTCACCCTCGTACACCTGGATAAGCACACCAGGCTGGTTGTCAGAGTATGTCGAGAAGATTTCGGACTTCTTCGTCGGCACAGTGGTGTTACGCTTGATAAGAGGAGTCATGACACCACCAGCAGTCTCGATACCCAGGGACAACGGAGCGACATCAAGGAGGAGCAGGTCTTGCGTCTTCTCCGAGGTGTCACCCGAAAGGATGGCAGCCTGAACAGCAGCACCGTATGCGACGGCCTCGTCGGGGTTGATGCTCTTGTTGGGCTCCTTACCGTTGAAGAAGTCCGACACGAGCTTGACGATACGAGGGATACGGGTCGAACCACCGACCAAAACGATTTCGTGGACGTTAGACTTGTCGATCTTCGCATCCCGAAGAACCTTCTCGACAGGGTCAAGTGTGCTGCGGAAGAGGTCCTGGCACAGCTCCTCAAACCGTGCACGGGTGATGGAGGTGTAGAAGTCGATACCCTCGTACAGGGAGTCGATCTCGATGGAAGTCTGCGTGGCGGACGACAGAGTGCGCTTGGCACGCTCGCAAGCCGTCCGTAGACGACGGAGAGCACGAGGGTTCGAGGAGAGATCTGTGTGGTCATAGTCAGTATGATATTCAATAACTGATCTCGCCACTGTCAACACTTACCCTTCTTGTTCTTCCGCTTGAACTCCTGCACGAAGTGGTTGACGAGACGGTTATCGAAGTCCTCACCACCCAAGTGAGTGTCACCAGCGGTAGCCTTGACCTCGAAGATACCCTCCTCAATGGTCAAGAGGGACACATCAAAGGTTCCTCCACCCAGATCGAAGATGAGAACGTTCTTCTCACCAACTGTCTTCTTGTCGAGACCGTAGGCGATGGCGGCTGCGGTGGGCTCATTGATGATACGGAGAACGTTCAAGCCAGCAATGACACCGGCATCCTTTGTGGCCTGACGTTGCGAGTCGTTGAAGTAGGCAGGTACGGTGACGACAGCGTCCTTGACGGTCGTACCGAGGTACGACTCAGCGGTCTCCTTCATCTTCGTCAGGACCATGGAGGAAATCTCTTCGGGTGACTGTGAAAACAGTGGTCAGTCTCCGGTCCCCGTTGCTCGACACATCAAGGACGCTTACGAATTCCTTAGTCTCCCCACGGTACTGCACAGAGATGTAGGGCTTGCCACCCTTGTCGAAGACCTTGAAGGGGAAGTGCTTGATATCGGACTGAACCTCAGCGTCGGCGAACTTGCGGCCAATTAACCGCTTGGCGTCGAAGACACTGCATGATGAATGTCAGTATATTGAACAGATCATTAAACATCCACAAAGTACTCACGTGTTGTGGGGGTTCATCGCTACCTGGTTCTTCGCAGCATCACCGATTAACCGCTCTGACTCGGTGAAGGCGACATATGAGGGCGTTGTTCGGTTACCCTGGTCGTTGGCGATAATCTCAACACGATCATTTTGCCAGACACCGACGCAGCTGGTGGATAATTTCCGACTCAGTACAACTTTCAAAGCAGTCAAGATCGCACAGATCTACTCACGAGTAGGTCGTGCCCAAGTCGATTCCAACAGCTTTTGACATGATTATTGCGCTCGATAAACTCTAGAGGTTTTAGAGTAGTCGTATGCGAGTCGTAGAGAATTATCAAACTGCAGAACGACGCTTGCTGGCCCGCCATATTTTATACACTTGAAAAGCGAATGTTCCAGGAGGTTCTTTCCTTCTCCATTACCTTACGTAAGTCATACATCATTGCAAAACCGCTCATCTTTCTCTCAGCCACCTGTGGCGGGAGAACCTTGGAATCGCCTGGTATGTTCGCATTCCTGCGGGCTGTGGTGCGGAATATTGCTGCTCAGTACTTGCGAACAGTCCGGAATGTGTACGCAACATCTACAATGATCCTGTGGCTTCAGAAGTAACCAGTATTTTTCAAAACGGTTGGTCTCAGTAGTACCGTAAGCGTAGTAAACCCAGCAAGGGAAAATGGATATCGGATGTTAGCAGATTATACAGTAGGTGCTACACTGAAAATGCAATGCACGGATCACAAAGGAGTGCAGAGAATCGATTCCACTGAAAGGCAGACATCGCCGCTACTTGGGAGGGGAACATAGTTACAAACGAACCATTGGAACAGAGAAAAAAAAGAGGGCCTGCCAACCGAAGCAGAAATGGATATATGTATAGCGATGTGCGCAGTGCGGCATAAAACAAAGGTCCGTGTGGCACTGTCACAAAGAGACACACCACCTCTGCGGAGAACATCGCTCAGGCTTCAGCCGCCTGTGGGCCGCCTAACGAGTCGTCCAGACTGCGGTGATTTTGCAGGTCACGCAAAACGGTAGGGTCGACTACAGAGCAGAATTCAGTCATGCATGCTATAGGTCTGATAACTCGGAGTTTACCTGGGAGGACACTCTTGCGGCGGACGTGAGGCCCCGTAGGCGACGTCGGTGAGTGCTCGAGGCCTACTTCTGGAAAGGATCGCTATGAACAGCGCGCTCAGGTAACGTGCATACGTGCTCTGGCATCCCACTTACATCCACCCCAGGGTCTGCCATTGGCACCCTTTCAATCCCACTCTCGTCAAGCTCATTTGGCATATCCCCGTCAATCGTGACAGCATTCAACTCCATCGTCAAATTGATAATATCAGAATCATCGATGGCTGGAGGTGGAGGGGGGGGCTCAGGCTCGTTTTCCATGAACCCTTCGGGTAGCTTGCCGTGAGCGTTTTGAATGGCTTTCTCGCGCAGCTTCTTCCACGCTTCATACTGAGCAATTGCGTGTTGCCGCTCCCTGTGTCACGTAACACGCCGTCAGTATCTAGATACTCTTAAAGCTAGAACGGAACATACTCCATTTTACGCTGCTTGTATTGATGCATCGTCTCATCAAAGAGGTCAGGATTAACTTCCATGAAGAATTTCAATGCATTGTACACCATGCCGTGTATTGTCCTGGCTTCACGGTCAGGAAGAACATGAACGGATGTCGATAATGTGTGCGCACCGGTTCCAATGTGACCTAGAGTTCTGATACAAGGCGGGGAACACGATGGGCAATATCACAGAGAGATTATCGCTCATCAGGTTCACGATATACTCGTTGTGCCAGTATGACAAAGCACGTTCGGCCACTTGGAAATGCTGGCTATTGATACATCTCGCAATCTGAGTGAAGAGGGGTACCATGACCTTCTGAAATTCGGCAGGATCGATGACGTCCAAAATCTCGTCCACCTCGGTCAGGAACATCACCTCCTTCGGAGAATTCACTTTCGGCCAATACTTCAACAGTCCGAGAATAACATCTTCCGCTAAGGAAGAGTCTTTCTCAAGGAACTGAACCACACAATATGCGAGCTGGGGATGATACAGCGATAGACTCTTCACTTTGTGCAAAGGGATGAGGACCTTGAGCAAGAACGTCTTGTGTTCATCCTTCAATGGCAATGCGAAACCATTGATGATCGACCCCAGGATCTCCAACAGTTCTGCGATGCCGTTGTGTCGCTCCGTCTCGTAGATGAAGTGGAAAAAGACATTGTTGATGGATCGCCGAATGAAGGCTCGCAAGTTCAGGAACTTGCCATAGATACGATGCAGGGTGGTCTTGAGGAAGTCCCGCTCCCGAGGATCTTCGGAGTCGAATAATTCAAGGAGATTTAGCACGAAAGACTGGTCGATGTAGCGTTTCGCGACGTTAGTGTTGAAGTCCGGGCTTTCGACGAAGCGCAGGAAGAATTCATAGACAAATTGCAGGTGGGGCCAAGCCAGTTCCAGCACGGGTTCATCCTCTTCAGGGTCAAAAGCATCTCCGGTCGGATTTACAGGAGGTGGTATCGAGCGAAAAAGGTTGGTAGCAAACTGGACACAAAACAATTAAGGGAGTTTATGACGGACATGCGCGATGAACCAACCATGTTGACAACCTCGGGGTATATGTTTTCGGTAATGACACCTCGCTGGGTGGTGATGTATTCCAGCATTTCGTGCAGGGTTTGCGCCTTAATCTGTTTACCCTTTAGCTCTGAGCTGGCATCGTTGAAGTCGAACAGGACATTGCATTGGTGGATCTTCTTGATGAAGAGTTGCATTCTTTCATTAGGCGGGGTCTCTAGACCATCGGGTGGTAGATCAACATGAATGCACCACGGCCGTGGATACGACAAACGTACCTGAGAAAGCAGGCAGCCTCTCGATTTCCACCTTCTCTGTCACAACAAAACGACTGCTTCTTTGCTTCCGGGGCGGTTTCCCGACGATAGGGATAGTATCCTTGGGACCAGAGCGTAGACGATTCAGCGTCCCCGCACGAGGTGGTGTTGCCCCTCCTGGGCCAGTGAGTGGTTCCAGTCCTACAGAAGCCCTTTCTGGGGAATTGTGTATGCCGTTACGAGGAGCCGCTTCAGGGTCCGGGCTGACCACTACTATAGGAGGGGCAGCTGCGGCTCTGTCCAACACATCGTACTCATGATTAAGAGCAGGAGGACGAGGAGCAATAACAGATACTGACCGGCTCGATGAGGCACTTTGCGCCGCAGGAGTCAAGTGGCTGTTGATGCTGTTGCTAGAGATATTGTTCAAATTGGTGATTGCGGACGAGCCGTTTGGTGCTGTAGGTTTGGGGGGAGGTGGAGGGGCAGCGGCTGCGCTGCTGCCAGACTTCCCATCCTTACTCTTCGATGAAGTCGTTGAATCTTGTGAGCTTTTCCTGTTGAGCTGTCATTGATCGGCTGTAAGTATACGATCTCCTGCTGGTGCATATCCAAGGAGCTCACCCCGCCGAACGTCTTCTTAAGGCCCTTCATGGCGGATAAGCGTGAAACGTAGCGGGCACGTCGTCTTCAGACTTGCTGCAGATCCCTTAGAACGTACAATCGCACAGAAGAAACCGTTGGCCGCCAGTCGGATCGATGAGTGCACAACCGTAGTGGACGGGAAAGTAGCGCGAACTGGCGTGACAGTTATGTGACGCCTGGCGCAACGAGGCGCGCTCAACGATGGCCTGAGCTATAGCCAACCTCTTCTGGATGAAAATCTATCATCACGGTCTCTGTCCCATTCGGTTATTTTTCGGCAATACTCTACGCGGAGGGCTCTTCACAACCTTTCTGTATGGTACGCTCAAGAATGGGAGAATAGCCTTAGACGTTCGTCTGGCAAGGCGCCTTTAGAACGGTTTGCAGTTGTACTGCTGGGCGACATTTCGCTGATCCAAAATCAACACCGGATCAGAGATATGCCAATAGGTGTCCTGTGATTGACCTTAATAATGGGATAATATGTTTACAGGTGCCGCCCTTAGGGTCGGGGCCGCCATAAGAAAGAAGAGCCGCAACGCTAAGACAAGTCGCAGTAGACCGGCGCGTCATGGATCCTTGGACCTCATACACAAACGATGTACAGTATTCTGTAACCAGAACACAACCGCTTTTGCTTATCCAGGAATCGGTCCATTCTACCCGCGCGGTATCCGTCGTTTCAGACTACAGTTGACTTCAGAACTCCCGCCGCGACGTTCCCACCCGCTACTGGGCGCGTCAGCTTGTTTGCGCCTATACATACAACACCAACATGAGACTAGGCAATAATCTGGCATACGACAAGCCCTTACCCTTCTGTACATTGAACTGCGCGCTGGAGAACCCATCGAGGTTGGCAGTTTCTATGGACTGCGTCAGCGAAACCCGGCCACCGAAAGATGCTCGCGTACTGATATTGTTCATTGCGTAATAAGTCGCATTGATGTTATTGGCGTCGATGGTTAGTGTAAAGAATCCTCGGTAAGAGCCTTCACTCCATTGCAAGTCAGGGTTGGCTGCCACATAGACTTGAGATATCTTGTCTGCTGCTTGCGGGGAGATCCCTGCACCAAATGCCGAGGAAGAGGTAACTGCTGTTCCGGCAAACTCGACCCCAATAGCGCCATCCCCGGTATTAGGGTTGTACCTTGCATGCTCTTTTAACAGGTGAGTCTCTCGGATCAGCCTCCAACTTACGTGGTCGTATCATTCGGGACTTGTCAGGTACGGTTAATCCAGCCATTACGAGTGGAACATGTCACTCACTCGCCAGATCGGAGACCCAGTTTGCATGACTATCTCCTGACAGGATGATTGTATTCGTGATATGATTGTTGTACAGATAGTCCAAGACACGCATTCGATTCGCGCGGTAACCGTCCCAAGCGTCCTTAAGTGGATTAACGCAATAAAGGCGATGAATGAAAGTCAGCTTATCTGCTTTGAGGGTAGGCACTAACCAGATCAACTGTTCAACAGAAACATTCCATTATTACATGCCGGGTCATGGAGAAGGTACACAACACGCACAGGTACCAGATTCGTTTAGTTGCGAAAACACGATTTGCTGACTGGGGAGCGAAGGTTCAAGTTATTTCTGACGTGAGGCTTCCCGTCGAGGGTCCGGACGTACCCAATGATTCGCCAAACGGCACCTCGCGCCTGCGACTCGGACAGAGAACTGTAAAACCCTGGAGGAAGAGTTCACTCTGGACCGTCCCGGACACTGGGCGTTCGGGAAACTTACAATTTTCTTGTTCGAATCCCATGATTGAGCGATTCGGATACGAAGAGATGGTATTGACATCTGTAATCTGCCTTACACAAGTGCTCATATACATGGTGGCTTAGGACTCACATTCTGTGAAAGATCTCATGGCTTGCTAAACCTCTGTCGCCATGAACGACTCACCAGTATTGAAGTATAGCTGCATCTGTTATTCAGTATTATTCAGAGAATGCTCAGGCAGGTTACTTACATCAGTAATATCTCGATCATATTGGCCTTGGTGAGTTTCACTCATTAGCAGAATATCATCATCGAAGATATTGCCGTGGCTAACTTACGGGTATCTAGCATCGTTAGATCCTGTCCATTCGCAGTCAGTGAGCTCGTACTCGCGCATAAAACAATCAGCCCTACCAGGAGCTTTCCGATCTGGAAGTTGCGCCATATTCGTAATTTGTCGTCTGCTACTACCTGCCGGATAGCTATGGCACAAGCGCTATGAGAGGACGGGCGAAAGCTCGACAATGCCGGATATACTCACGGATCCATTCATGGTATGCTCGGACAGCAGCGAGCTTTCTGTCCGTGAAGCATGCACCAGAAGGCGAGAAGCTGCATCCTACTGTCGTATCATTCGAATCCGCCGTCCCGGCCTTCCACGCTTGGTCGGCGACCTTAGTGTTGGTGAGTGGCCTCAATGGTGAGCACTAATTATGAAGATGAGCTGACCTCATGGTCATCCTGCGCAGAAATCGAGATTTAACCACTTGACGCCCGTTTGAACGTAGAGCCTGACTCACCCTTCCGCGGCGATATCAGTGAAAGCTATACATGCAGCACTGAGTCTGACCTACCAGACTGTTATCCACGGGGAATACTGATGGGCATAAATGAGACTGGTGTCTGTGCGATATTGGCCTAGGCGCTGACGATAGTCGAAGATAGTCGCCAACTCTCTGCCCAAGGTCTGTCGGCCAATCGAGGCCCTGCAAAGAGCAAACTCGGCATTGTGGCTCCAAGGAAAGAAGGAAGCTGTAAATACCCGTTCCCTAGAGACTCGTAGATCTGAATGAATTGTCAGCGCCATAGATGGATGGTAGGTGGCCATCACTGACATAATCACCCAGGTGGATGAAGATATCTGCCGAGGTATTATGCGCAGCATATCCGTATGCATTGAAATAACCTCAAGGGATATCGCACTCTTTTCAGTCGGATGTCATCCGGGCTCGACACCGACTTACCGTCCTGCCATCTAGAGCATGAGAACACCGCCAAGGTTAACGGTTTGCCGCCGTTGACGTCCTCCGCGGGGGCTACGACGGTTAAATTAGGTGAGCATGCCACAGGTTAGAGAATGTAGACATACTATCAGGGTCCGGCAGGGTCCTGGTCGCTCCTACGGGGCTCACCGTAACGGCATTAGTGCAATCAGCGAATTGGTACCAGTATCGAGTATCAGCTTTCAATCCCGTAGCTTCAACTTTGACGGTCCAGTCGACATCGTAAGAGGTGAATGCTTCTCCAGAATTGATCACCGACCCAGACAGTCGCGGGTTGTCGAAGACTTTATAGGAGACACAGATCGGAACATCGACGTCTGGTCCCGGGTTCGCAGTCGATACAGGAGCAGCACGGGTCCACAGTAGAACAGATGTGTCAAACGGATCTCCCTACAGTACGCGATGCTCCAGAACAACAGCAGCGGGTCGTGTGTTTGATTAGTACTTACACTGGCAACTATCAGGTTTCTTCAGTCTACTGCCGTAAACGCAATATCAGGTATTACCTACCGTTGTGGGTGAAGTTGACTCCACCGCTCCAGACGAATGGTGCCTACAGCCAGTCATTCAAAAGCGTCCTTGTCACAAAGAAGTAACCCCTAAATTAGGGTCCTCACATTGCTGAAGTCGCCACCATAGAAGGTAGGATAATGCTCGTCGCTGAAGCCGCTGGAGCTCTCTACCTGTCTCTTTGCATGCCGGACCTGACGTTCGTGGATCTCGCGAGTATCATGACCGAACTTTTTAAGATGCGGATTATTACGATCCATCAAGTGACTTCTGAGTAGCCAAGGCGTCCCACCTGCGGATGTTCGAAGAAGGGAGAACGGTACACCAAGTTGCGGTCCAAAAGTTGAGTACCCACAACTGCTGGTATCAGCAGCAGGATGCTGGCGATTAGATGCATCGCGTTGGCCTGGTAGTATCGTCACAGCTGTGTCCTTTTATAAGGCAAAGATGGTCAGAGCGCTGTCGCGCAATTTACGGCACTCACATTCACTGCCTGGTTTCGCGGTCCGGCTGGCCAATTATAACGGTTGTACTTACGCCTGACCCGAGTGCAAGCCTGTCGAGAGACGCACGTTCGTCCAGCAGGCACAAGAAGATTTCCCAACGAGAGGTATCCCGATTACATGCGTGTATAGAGTACCGGCGAGATGGTCGGCCTTTCGGATATAACGGCAGACAGACCGTTTGTGGTTGAAGAAGTTGGATTGCACTCAACATCCACTGCTTCCCCGGGTGATAGACGGAATAATCATTGTGACTGACGAACGTTTCAAGAGAGAACCAACACGATATTCTTACACTTTGCATCACATGCGTAGCAGACAGTTCCAAACCAGACGCTCATTCAACCTTTGCTTGGAATTTAAACTTTACGCCCTCGGTAGCTTCCAGCAGAGCGAACTCGGGCTGGGCAGCGAACCAGCCTACCCGGCCGTTACCAGTCTTCTTCCAGGTGTCGTAGGCCTGTTCTTCGGGTATCTTGAGGGTATCTTGTCCCCTGCCAGCGGCAGCAGCGTCTGCCAGCAGCTGCACCTGGCAGCACCTTTCTAAAGACATGTAGAAGCTGACGGTCGCTTCTATCGAGTCGGTAGCGACGAGAAGGCCGTGGTTCTATGGGTAGTTATTAATTATTTGGACCTGAGATGCGGAAAGTCGAACACACCTGCAGAAGGACATATTAGGACCTACCTTCTTATTGCCCAAAGCGGTTGCAATATGCGCGCCCTCCTCCTTGTCCAACACGAGACCGTTGAACTGCGTATATACGGCATGGTCCTGTGGCTCTTTAGTAGCTGTAATGGCCAGGCTAGCATCGTACCTGTACACCTACATTATAGAAGGCGCAGCTGTCTTGGGTGATTATGTCGAGCTCTTTACCCAGGGCGCAGTATGCTCTTCCATAGATGGAGTGAGTGTGGGCTGCACACATAACATCCGGTCTCCTATGGATCGCGGAATGGATCATGAAAGCGGCTTCATTGAGTATCCTGTTTGGCCCTGACTCGTCGAGGACGTTGCCATCGTGGTCGACCAGTAGCAAGTCTGACGGCTGGATTTGCTTGAAGTGCACTCCCTGCGCATCCTAAGCAGCATGCTCCACCAAAGGATAGTCCATTCCTTACATAGGGATTCACCCAGAAGCAGTCTGGTTTGATGGGGTCCTTCGATGAGCTCGGATGTCAGCACCGCGTACATGCAGCATACGTCATTGCGCTACGCTCGCACATACCCTTACGGTAATATGCCCAGCGATCCCCTCATCGTAGCCCTGCTTACCTGTGATACCAGAACACTTGACATCAACGAAGGTCCCATATCAAACATAAGATAGGCACTGCTGACCGAAGATGCGGAAGGCTTGCGCTAGCCGGAACTTTAGAAATTCTCTTTCGTCGACTTTGGAAGAGAACGCAGGAGGTTTGGGCCACGCCGACTTGGACAAACCCCCCGAGTCTTGTTGTGCAGAGGTAGCGGTCATGCTGGTTGTAGATGCACGAGACTGAGCGCATACGACATGCTGGCTTATATCGAGAAGTGTAGCGCCCTACGGCTCCCCGTCCTTACGTGCCCGATTTACTGACTGTATCATGAGGACAAGTTCTATCAGCACCGAAACATAGTTGCAAGCTTGACAGTCTTCTGCCACTGGAGTTGTGAGAGTCACTCGATCGGCAACTGCTCAGTTGGCAGGATGGTGAGATGTCTGCTTGCTATTGTTTCCGCCAGTGCACGTGGACAGTGCTTCGTTCCCAAGCGAGCGTTCCCTTGGTGTTCTTGCTTTGGCAAGTGAATTGGTACGGCTGTGGGTTGATTGTATGCGCTGCTGGGCTCGTCTGTTTTATTGCGCCTCTTTCTCTGCCCGGACGTCCTCCAACTAATGCCTGGCCATCATGCGGAACGTTCCCCTGTTCGTCGTACCTCGCCGCATCCGAGCAGGAACGGGAAGACCTCGCCCTGGCCTTCGACATCCCTGAACCATGTTCACATCACCGACGCGCTACTGAGGTCTCCCGATGATGGTGTTACATTGGACTTGTCCCACAAGGGATTGACGGACATTGGAGAGTCGGGGGTCGAGGAGCTCGCCACGATCGGTAGGGAGGATCTGGTGGAGGACGAGAGTTCTATCCAGAGGTATGTACGCCTCTGGGATCCCTCTCGAGACACATTCTCACCGCGAGATATCCTTCCCCGCATGTGCAGAATAACACTGGGGCATAATCATCTGACAACCCTTCCTATGGCGTTTGCACTGCTGTCTCGGTTACGGTACCTCAATTTGAAGTCCAACAATATCATCGTTTTCCCTGACGTCGTATGTTATGGATGCTCTCTGTTCCAAGGCTGGAATAACACCTCCACATAGCTCACTGTTATGCCGTCACTGGAAATCCTGGATATAGGCAGGAACAAGATCAAGCGATTCCCCTCCCAGCCTGGTTCTCTAGTCAATCTGAAGGTTCGTTCATCTAGACTGTGGTTGCACGTGCACGGCAATACCAACGCTAGGTGTCCATTAGGTCTTTTCTATATCCCGGAACAAAATCACTAGGCTACCTACCTACTTCAAGGAGTTCCATCGCTTGACCTTGTTCCAAATTGACCACAATCCGATAGAATGGCCTCCGCGAGATATCATGGAGAATGGCGGTGGTGCAGATGGCTCACAGGAAATGAAGGATTGGATCCGCGGCATACAGAAATGGATAGAAGACAATACGACGTTTCCCGACGACCGTAAGTCGTCGATTCTCGGCGAATACGTCGACAGTCCGGCGCATGAACCAAGGTAAGAATGCTTGGGCCCCGGACTTTGTTAGAGCATATTAATCAATAACCTATCCTCCCAGTGATGAGCCCGCCGACACTCGGTTTCGTTTCCCAGTTAGAAACCAGAGCTTTGACTCGGGGATCGCGCCGCACTTGCGCTCTTTCTCTATTGAATCCGATGTGTCAATCAACTCTGACATCAACCGAGTGCAGAATGGCCTGCGTGCTTCAGACATACCTTCTCCCATTGGTCCGCCACGGCTATACACGAATCCTAATAGTTCATTTCCTGGTTTAGGCGCAGCTACGTCTCTGCCTTCAAGATCACCTGATCGGTATCTACCCACGCCCGAGGAGTCTGTCGCGTCAGCCGACGAGGATTTGACACAAGCATCGCAACAGCATGGGCGAAATGCTTCTTTTGCGAGCAGCACGCGGAAGCCCACTCGCCCGCTTCTCTTGACGAAGAAGAGTTTGCCTGACCTGCGCACCGCAAAGGTCCAGTTCGGACCTGGCAGGAGAGAGACCGGCTTGACCGAGCCCGCCATTCGAGATAGCGGGGTCATACCCGCAGACTTCCATCAGCCATCCCCAGTGTCGTCAAGACAGGATTCCAGTTCGTCAGAGGACACCGCCGCGAGATCGAAAGGCGCACGCCCGTCACCCTTTGCTGCCAGTACTCCCATCACATCGTCCCCGACGGCATTGGAGCGGCCGATACCGTCCATGGATATTGAACGCAACTCGTATTTCCGCCGATTATCAACCTTGCCGTCGTCGACCATTTCGAAGACCATCCCCGACTCGCTACTGTCTTTAGTGGACGCCGTTCGCGGGATACTGTTTGCCCTGTCTCAGATATACCAGACGCTCCAGCACTACACAGTTTATGCCATCGACGATCGGCTCTCCTCCGTCCTGACGAAAGTGCTTGACCCTGCGAGTACTTACCTGACTCAGCTGATCAATGCCCTAGACCGCTTCGACTCGATGAGTCGGAGGCACCTGCCACATCCATCCGTGTGCAGGACTGTTGTCGAGAGCTGCAAGGACAACGTGGCAGTTTTCGGCAAGGCGGTGAGCGTATTGGCGCTGCAGCTCAAAGTCTTGGCTACGGGGGACGATGTGCGATATACTCGGCAAATGTTACTCACTCTTTACGGAGCAACTGCAGAAATCTCGAATGCGTGGCAGTCTATAGTTCCGCACATTGCTGCTGTTGAGCCGCTGCTTCGGGACCATCGACCACCTCCGGCTTCGAAGGGACAAGGATCAACTTGGTCTACTATGCCGTCTGTATCCGAGAGCGCCGAGGAGGAACCGTCAACGGCCTCTCCGCTCACGTATTCGCTCTTCAGCCCAGGCACAACGGCGTACCCGTTGATGCGCTCGCACTCAGCTCAGCCGCCTAACAAGGTCCTGATCAATCGCCGCCACGCGGGGTCCTTCAGTTCTCGGGACGTGGAAGTGGGGAAGACTTTACCTTCGTATGTTGAGCCGCTGCATAGGGCGACGGGTGTTATCAGGGGTGGCCCGTTGGAATCGCCTGTATCACGAACGGGCCTGCGTTCGGCGACTGGCTCGCCCGCGTTACCGTCTCCGCCTATTCTACATCAGCCCATAGCGTCGTCGTCGAGGATAGACCCTTATGCAAGAGCGCGAGATGCTCACTCGAGGCAAACATCTCTGTCGTCCCTGAAGACGTCTTCAAATCAACCGTCTCCGCGAACCACTTCGAGGCCGCCGCTGCTGGACATACCAACGAATTCAACGACGCTCGTCGACAAGGAAGCGCTAGACGCTATGACTACGGCGGTGGAAGCTGCGCCGGTTGTATGGGAGATGATAGACGAAATTCTGAACGACAGCGGCGACGAGCGCGAGGATCTTCGAGAGACACTTGCAAAGGCTGAAGCTGTCACGATCAGTTTGAGGGATAACATCCGATTAGTACAGGAGAACGACCCGGTAGCCGACAGAAAGACCCTGCGAGAGGACGCACACGTGTTCGTGAAGGTATTTGATCTTTCTCTTGGAAGATCATATCAATATGTCTGACTTGCTGCCCACTTGCGCGCCTCGTGGTTAGACCGTTGTACAGTTATCAAATGCTATCAAGAGTTATGGGGAAGGCCACCCTGTGTCCCCCAAACTTCGTAGCAGCATGGTCAAATTGACCAATGCTACGGAAGAGTTCGTCATTCTCTTACATGTCTCCTCCTTCTCGCCATCGGCGACGCCGAGACCATTTTCACCCATGGTTCCCAGCCAGCCAAACGGCGCGGGGCTTGCGCCGGAAGATGGCAAGTTGGGTGCTAACCTGTCCAGGAGTCGGAGCGCCCTACCTCCCTCCAGTTCCAAGCTCACACCTTCACCGCGAGATGGGTCGCGCAGCGCGATGGCCCATCAGCAGACATTCAAGCTGCCGAATACCCCCCGGCCAGGCGCCTCGAGGGACCACGACAACGCCGGATCCAGCCTGGGATCATAACGCATAACTTATCCAAGCTAATACCTAATCCATTGATACACCCTACCTAGCCGCCCTCTATCTATCTATCTATCCCCCCGTGTCTAATAGGTCGAGTTCATATAATGCACATCTTATTGGGTCTGTACTGTCACTGCGCGCGCCGTTCGTTCGTTCGTTTACTGGCATATTTATCCTACTTTGCTCTCCACTTGCAATGCTATTCGGTTTGATAGGTCCTCATGCGCAATGCGGCGAGAATCACCCTCCACGGGTCTTCGTTTCATGCGTCAAAAGGTATGATCCGAACAAATGCGATGATATGCTACATCTCTCCCTCTGTCCAGAGTCAACGCTAGCTGCTCGGGATGCCCCCCGCGTTCCCCGACCGCCCGCCCGCGGCGAGCATGCGCTCGATCTCCGCGCGGATCTCGCGCAGGTTGAGCTTGAGCGTGCGCGCGTCCTCGAACTTGCGGCGCGCGAGCGCCTCCGCGACGAACGTCTCCAGCAGCGCCTCCTGCTCGAGCAGCGGCTGCAGCCGCCGCGCGAGCGCCGAGTCCGGGTCGACCGCGGGCGCGTCGCGCTCGGACACGGGCGAGCTGGCGCCCGTCGACGTGGCGGACTCGGGTTTGTGCCTCGGGCGGGAGAGGGACTTGCGTGCAAGTCGGTGAGTTGGTTGGTCGATTAGTGTGAGAGAAGGGAGCGGGGAGCGCGCGCACCTGGAGAGGCAGCATGTGCTGCTGCAGGAAGAGGTTCGCGCGCGCGGACACGGCGGCCTGCACGCGCTCCTGCGAGCTGCCCTTGGCGCAGGGCAGCTTGCGGATGCGCTTCGCGAGCGCGTCGTACTGCGCGAAGCTGTCGAGCAGGTGCCTGCGGATCGCGGACGCCTCCTTCGTCGGCTGCTCGTCGTTGCTGGCGGGGCGTGAGCGGCGGCGAGGCATGTCAGGGTGGGTACGGACGCACCTGAGGGTGACGAGGAGCTCTTGGAATTGCGGGAGCGTCTCCTCGATGTCTTTTTCCAGCGAGATGAACGCCTGTCGAACGATAAATCAATCATAAGCTCCCCGTACGACCTACGCCTCACCTCGTACAGCCTCGCAAACACCGGCACCTGCCTAACCTCCTGCTGGTACTGCTGCTGCCTGCATCCACACCGATCAGCACCCCTCCCTCCCCACCCACCAAACCAAGCAAACGCTCACTCACATCAACACCGGCCGACACTCCCTGCAAATCCTTACGCCCTTCAGAAACTTCTCCGCCTCGTCCATCCCCTGCCCCGCGCCCGCGGTCCTCCGGCGCACGCCATAGTCGACGCCCTCGCCGACCTCCTCGATGCGGCCGTCGCTCACGACGAAGAGCAGCGAGCAGGGCGGCGCGCGCGGGAGCGAGCAGACGACGCGCCCGCAGAGGCGGCAGTGGTGTTTGCGGTTGGTCAGCGGGTGGAAGGAGGTTCTAGGTGGGGTGGGGTGAGTGGGAGGGGGAGGGGGAAGAGGGGGGAGAGGGGGGAGCGTACGAGCAGAGCGGGCAGGCGGAGACTTCCGCGTCGTCCTGCCAGGGCGTGATCTTCTGCTCCGCGGCTACAACCAGTAAACAGACGCGCGCAGACTTTGATATTAACCCATGCGCAGGCCAACCCCGAATGCAGCGAAGGAGAACGCACCTCGGATGTCCGTCTTCCCGCCGTGCGCCTGCGCCTGGCCCTGCACGACGCCCTTCCACAGCTCGCCCGCGGCCATCCTGCGCAGGTCCGTCAAATCCAGATCAAAGAACGACGACGCGCGCTTCGCGGGCAGCGGGCGCTTGTCCTCCTCCTTGCCCTTGTCACGAGCTGGCGGGGGAAAGTGCAGCTGGATGAGCTTCTCGAGGCGGCGCGCGAGGCGGGTGCGCTCGATGCGGCCTGCGGCGCGCGCGGCGGTGCGCAGCTGGAGGAACTCGTCCGTGCGCGGGCGGTAGACGCCTTTGGGCTGGAAGCCGGGGCGGTAGAGCGCGGCGGGGCGCGGGGAGGGGGTCGGCGTGGGCGGGGCAGGGGTGGAACGCGGGGTGTACGCGGCGGGGACGGGTTGGGGTTGGGGAGGGACGGCGGGCGAGGAGGTGCGGGAGGCGGTAGAGGAGAGAGCGGGGGAGGGCGCGTGGGGCGGGAGGGAGGTCGAGCGCGGTGGGGGCGTGAGGTCGACGGAGTGCTCCGCTGGACGTGATGGGACGGGGTGCCGGAGCGCCTCGGCGGGGGGGATCGGGAGCAGGACGCGGTCGTTCTGCGGCGTCGGGGGCGCGGTGTCCGGCTGGGACGCGCAGGACGGCGTGCGGGAGTGGGAGGGCGTGGAGGTGGCGCCGGGGCGGAGGGGCGAGGAGGGGAGCGGGGAGCGGGAGTTGGCGGGGCGGAGGGGGAGGCGGCGGAAGGTCGAGGATTTGCGGGTCGTCGGCGCGGGCTTGGGCGGGACGGGCGATGCTGTGGAAGGACCTGCGACGGGCGCCTCTGACGGTTCTTTGATGGCGGGGATTGGCGCGGGGACGGGAGATGGCGGCGTGGCGGGCGGAGACGACAAGGGCGAGGAAGCGTCGCTGCCGCCGTTGGCAGGCGAGGCTGCTTGTGACACAGTACCGTTTCCGTTCATAGCACCGGCTGTCGTTGTCGTGGGCGAAGGGGGCTGCGCGTCGGGCGTGGCGGCGACTGCGCCGACGTCGGACGCAGACGGTGCACCATTGTCACTGCCGTTGGCTGCCTGAGCGTCTGTCCAGTTGGGCACGACCGGGGCGCTGGCGGTGAGGAGACTGGTCGGGCGGGACCGGGGCGGGGGCGGGGACGCGGGGTTGGCGAGCTGGGGATTGGAGGACGCGCGGGCGAGCTGGGGATTGGAGGACGCGCGGGCGTGCTGGCGCTTGGACTAGCGGGGATGAGACAGAGCGACAGACTCGGGCGTGTGACAGACCTTGTAGGCGGCGTACGGCACTGCGGGCGGGTCCATGGTTCTAGTCGAGAGCAAAGGCAGTCTTTGACAGTCTTTGAAAGCCAGTCTACGCAAGAGTGCTACGTCTGCCACCGGTCCGGGCCCTTCCGCCATCTCTTCAGCCTCACCCGCCATGTCCGCAACGTCTGGGATCGGCGTCTCCCCCGACCTCCGCGACGTCTTCGCCGCCGCCCTCGACTCCAACTCCGTCCGCTTCATCAAGGTCTCCATCCACAACGGTCGCCCCTCTCCTCCTCCTTATCCGCACTCATCTCACCTCCCCTTCCAGAGACCCTCGTCCACGATCTCTCCTTTGCTGTCGCCAACTCCCTGCAAGACGACCTGCCCGTCCTCCACGACGCCCTCGACGACAACACGCCCGCGTACGTCCTCGCCAGGCTCGACGACCCGCCCACCGACTGGCTCGCCATCTTCTACGTCCCCGACTCCGCCAAAGTCCGGGACAAGGTCCGTGCCCTCCACTACACTGCCCTCCCCCTCTCCCCCTCACAGCTATCTAGATGCTCTACGCCTCCTCCCGCAACGCCCTCACCAAATCCCTCGGCTCCGCCCACTTTACCGACTCCCTCTTCGCCACCTCCAAGGCCGACCTCACCCCCGAGGCCTACGCCGCCCACAAGCGCCACCAGGCCGCGCCCCAGCCCATGAGCGCCCGCGAGAAGGAGATGGCCGACATCAGGGCCGCCGAGCGCGAGGGCGGCGTGCCCTACCGCGGCAGCCAGGTCCGGCAGAACGTCATGGGCACCGGCGTGGGCTTGAATTGGGGCCCGGAGGTGGAGGAGGCGGTCAAGGGGTTGGGCGACGGCGACGGGAGTTGGTTGGTTGTTCTCGTGAGGCATCTACGCTTCGCTGAAGGACTCGTGCTGAATCGGACCACCGCAGACGATCGACCCCGCGACGGAGACACTCCTCCTATCTAGCTCGTCCGAGAAATCCGTGCACGAGCTGTCCACCGCCCTCCCTACATCGGAGCCATGTACGTCCCCATCCCCCCGTCTCGCATCTATCTAACCCCCCGCAGGCTACGCCTTCTTCGCCTACCCCCACCCCTCCGCGCGCACGATCGTCTTCATCTACTCCTGCCCCTCCGCCTCGCCCATCAAGCACCGCATGCTCTACTCCTCCGGCTCGTCGGGCGTGTACGCCGCCGCGAAATCCCTGCTCGCGTCGTCCCAGTCGCAGGTGGCGGGGCGGAAGGTCGAGACGAGCGACCCCGCGGAGCTGACGGAGGGGTATTTGGAGAGCGAGCTGGGCTTGGGCGACGGGGAGCAGAAGGCGGCGCCGGCTGCTGTGGGCTCAGGAGGAGGGTTTGCGAGGCCGAAGGGGCCCGGGAGGAGGAGATGAGGACAAGAGGTACAAGAGAATGTGTACGATGGAAGAATCGACGACTTGTATAATTTCGTGGATCTCGGGACCTGTTGGTATACTGAACGCCAGTCTCTGCGCTACAAACGTTCTCTCTCGGCGTCTTTCCTCTCATAGCATTCAAGCTTCGGTACAATGTCCATCTATCGCGCTACGCATGATACACTGATCACTTCCCGCCACCGATTCCGAAAACGTCGAATCCATTTCCTGATCCGGACGCACGCTCTGTGGCACGCGAGCGGGCGCGCCGTCCCCGCCTCATCAGGTGCCCAACTGCTAGAACATATATGCCGCGCGCTGCTATAACATAAGAACTCGACTGCCCTCGTCCGGTTCTCGGGTCGCCGCCGACACTGCACTACGTACTTACCCCTCGCTGTCCCCAATTATGCTGAGGAGACAGACCGCAGTGCTGAGGGTCGTCGCGGGGAGGAGGTACTACGCGAGCGCCGTCGAGGCTGCTGTGCCGAAGAAGAAGAAGGTGTGGGACAGCGCGGAGGAGGCGGTGGGGGACGTCAAGGCGGGGGATATGATCCTCAGCGGAGGTGCGTGGTCTGAGCTTAGAGTGTTCTGTGCTGGTGCTCATGCCTGGTTCGTACCATGTATGTAGGCTTCGGGCTGTGCGGGACGCCTGGTGAGCGTGTACTTTACTTTGTCTCTGCGTGTGTGGTGCATTAGGGAGGGTGCTGATGCTCGGGGGGTGTAGATACCCTCATCGGGGCGCTGGCGAAGAGGCCCGAGGTGAAGATGTTGACGGCCGTGTCTAACAACGCCGGGTCGGGCGAGCTGGGTCTCGGTATGCGTCTCGTACCAGCAGCTACACGAAATGTGGTTAACTAACAGGGACCCAGGCAAGCTCCTGCAGTCCGGGCAAATAGACAAGATGATCGCGTCCTACATCGGCGGGTGCGCCCCCACCCCTTCCTCCCCGTAACCCACAACAGCAACTGACACGCTCTGACATAGAAACAAAGTCTTCGAATCCATGTACCTCAAAGGCCAGATCTCGCTGGAGCTCGTCCCGCAGGGCACGCTCGCGGAGCGCATGCGCGCCGGCGCCGCGGGCATCCCCGCGTTCTACACGCCCACGGGCGCCTCCACCGCCGTCGAGCAGGGCGCGATCCCGCAGCGCTACGCGAGCGGGGGCATGCAGGCGGGGGTGAAGGTCCCCGGGAATCGGAAGGAGAGCAGGGAGTTTGGGGGGCGGCGGTATGTGCTTGAGCCGGCGATTTATGGGGATGTCGCGCTTGTGAGGGCGTGGAAGGTGGATGAGGTGGGGAATTGTGTGTTTAGGTGGGTGGTGGGCTTGCATTGTTTGGGGAGGGACTCAATAATGGTGGGTTTGGCAGGTATACGGCGAATAATTTCAGCACGGTCATGGCGAAGAACGCGAGGCTCACGATCGTCGAGGTACGCTAAGCAGACATTTGATGCGCTCATGTCTGTAACGATGCGCCTCAGGCCGAGAACATCGTCCCCGTGGGCTCGCTCTCCCCGAACGCCATCCACCTGCCGGGCATCTACGTCGACCGCATCGTCCCCGCGACGACGCCAAAGCAGATCGAGATCGAGACCGTCGCGGTGGACACGACGCAGCCGTCCGAAACGCCGAGCAAGAAGGATCTGGCGAAGGACATGCGCCACCGCATCGCGCGGCGGGCGGCGAAGGAGCTCAGGGATGGGTTTTATGTGAATTTGGGGATTGGCATGCCGACGCTCGTGCCGGAGCATTTGGAGCCGGGCGTGAAGGTGTGGCTGCAGAGCGAGAATGGGATTCTCGGGATGGGGCCGTACCCGACCAGGGCTCAGCTGGATGCGGATATTATTAATGCGGGCAAGGAGACCGTTACTCTCTTGCCGGGCGCGTCGGTCTTTGGTATGTGGTCCCCTCAAGTGGTTTGGTTTGTTTGCAGCTGAAGGTTGGTTTTGCCCAGATTCCAGTGAATCCTTTGGTATGATCCGTGGCGGACATATTGATGTTGCTATCCTGGGTGCAATGCAAGTATCGCAGGCTGGTGACATTGCCAACTTTATGATCCCCGGAAAGCTTGTCAAAGGTGCCCTTTGCGCGCGAATAACTTTGCGGCCTGTTTATCTGATCGCAGGCTTTATCCAGGTATCGGAGGTGCCATGGACCTAGTATCCAATCCAGACAGGACCAAGGTTATTGCTGTCCTGGAGCATTGCGCAAAAGATGGTAGCCCGAAGATCCTGAAAGAGTGCGCCTTGCCATTGACAGGAGCTCGGACTGTCAGCCTCATCATCACGGACCTCGCGGTATTTGAGGTGGACCGCAACGCGGGGGAGCTGGAGTTGATTGAGCTTGCGGACGGTGTTACCCTTGACGAGGTCAAGGCTAAGACGGGATGCGAGTTCAAGGTGAGGAGTAACCTGGGGAAGGTCTGATTGTAAGGATACGCACCCGCGCTCGCTACCGTATTCGGCCAGTAGATTCCTTATTCGGCTACTCGCTACTATATTCGGACTCTAAGCTATACGGCTCCTTCGGAGCCTTCGAGTTAATCCTCTTCGCATTCATTTCGTCTCTTCTCGTATTCTTCTATTTTCTGTCTCTATCTCTTCTATTCGGTACATGTAATCTCGTAGTATAAAAGCCCAGCCCATGTACCTCATACCTAAGTCTTTTTCGAACACGAATCTCTTGCTACTCATCCCTGTGAGAGACTCGAACGTTGAAGACTTTCCGTGGTGTCGCTTATCTAATCAGCGACCTCACATTTTTTTGAGTCGTTTTTTCTATTTCTATTCGTGTTTAACGCAGACGGACTGATCACCCGTTTG